GAAAGCTACAAAGTCCTGAGTGATTTCTTGTAGTTTTAGGGCCCCATATAAGAGCCTCATAGTTTTATCTCAATTTCCGGTTTCGAAAAATGATGTAAATAATTATTACCGTTGCTTCCAGTTTTTCAGGGAAAAAAGTTGTTATTGAAAGTTATAAAAAGCTTAGGAATAGCTTACAAATGACTGGTAGTAAGTTAAAAAAGGTGAATTTGTTTTAATTGCAAATGCATTAAAATCATTAAAAATAACATTTCTTTAATTGTTTAATAACTTTGTTAATAATTATTAAATTTGTTTACAACTTACCAGGAATGTTCTCCTTGCAAAGCTATATAAATTTAAAAAAATTCTACTTGATCGGATAAATAGTTTGTTTTATTACATTTGTTAACTAAAAACATGAAATTTTTAACGGAATTTCCACCCTTTTGGACCTGCGAATTTTGTTTCAGTTAATTTTTTTCTTCAAACAATTCCTGACATGTTCATTCACTTATAAACAGTTCTACTTTATTTTAAGATCCAATGAATTTTAGCTAAAACAATGACTTAACATAGGCAATATAAATAAATTAATACAAGGAATGTTATTTATTTTATTTCTTTGTTGTTTTTTATTAATTTGTAATTTGTATACAAAATGAAATTTTTGTTTTTAATATTTAACGCAATATTGAATTTTAATTGCTTATGAATTTATATATTTAATTTAAGAATTTGTATTTTTTAACAGATATACCTTTTTGGTTTCATTTTTTGGTATTCAGAGGAATAGAGAATCCAATTAGTTAAAAGTTCAATTGATAGTCAGAATAAACATTTTAAGAAAAACTTCTAATATTATAACTATTATAAACACATTTTTCCTACCATGCATTCCTACATACTTAAGCATTCATTCTTTTTCCCTTTCATAATTCAACAATGTTGTATATATATATCAATTATTTTAACTTTATTTAAATAATAAATATAATAAATTTGAGTAATCCCTTATAACACAGGTATATTTATGAAATACCTTTAGCGTTCGAAGGTAATATTTTTTCTGTCCTGAATTATTTTCTAATGGATATCCATGGATGTTTATAAGATGATGTAGAGTAATTGAATTCGTCAATAGAAAAATATATTCCTTCGAAGTACCAGAGATATTCTAAACATCCCCACACAACACCGAAACTTTTATAAAAAATTTGCTTGCAGACTTCAGAGTATTTACTTGCAAAGTTTAGTGAAAATTGTGTAAAAATTTAAATGTTGGACATTTCAATCTTTATGAAATTGTTACTAAACTTTGTAAGTAAATACTTCGAGGTTTGTAAGTAAATGTTTAATAAATATTTATGAAAGTTTCGGTGCTGTGTGGGTCCTTGTGATGTAAGGAATTTAATTGTGAACTGTAGTTATAATGATAATGAAAATGGCTTGATGCAACGTTTGTTTAAGTTTAAAGTGATATTAAATTAATTTAAGAAAGAGTGTAACATAGATCTGAGTGTAGCTCAGAATTATTTGCTTTACTTACATATTTGAGTTTCTAAATAAGTTACATATAAAGCACGGAGAAATAGATTGTTTTTAGGACGTTTTTAGAACTTAGGCGACGTAAGGACGACCTAAAAACAATGTAGGCCTCCGAGCCTACTGGGATTTTGCGTTTATCAACGTACAGCGTGTCTCTTTTTGAAAGATTGCGCCTAATACTCTTCTACGTACATAATTTTAGCTTGTCTTTCTAAAACAAAATTTCAAAATTTTTATAGTAATAAGTTTCAATTGGAATATGTAAAAATTTTTGATCCTTCAAATTTATAAGTAATTATCAGAAACGCAAAAAGATACACTAGATAACATCATTACTCAGAATTAAATGGTATTATAATAAAAAGGGTTTTGTTATAAAAGCACAAAAATTATTTGTATCAATGTAGTTACATATTTTTGCATTTTAGGACAGATGTCTACTAATATTGCGTACGTCTTATGATGCTCTAAAAATTTAATCTACGTACAGTAATTTTAAGCGATGCCTTTTCATTTTGCTCTATGTTTAGATAAATAACGTTTTCCTGCTTAAAACAAAGTAAATTGCAAAGTAAGAAGGTATCAGTGAATATTACTGTATTTATTTTCGACATGAATGCTTAAACTAATACTATATATATGTAAAGTATATTTATAATATATAATTGCATATACAAACTATTTTGTATATCTTACTTGAAGCAATAGTAATTACCTTTCTTAAAGCTATTTTGTTTCTTCATTTCGATTTTTAAAACACTCAATTCGTGTGTATCTAAACATTTTGTTTAAGTTATCTATACTGCTGTTTAACCACTTTTATCCATCTTTTACAAATTTAATCCTATAAAACAAAGTTTCCTATTTCTTCTTCAAGTAAAGTTAAAAAATTAGTGTTGTAAATATTAATTTCATTGACTATAACTTAAGTATAGGAAAAATGATTTAACGTTTTCACATTTGTATTATAAAATCAAAGTCAATTTAATTTTTAACTCTTTATTAAGAGAATAGTTAAAGGTCATAATTAATTAATTAACGAAGAATTAGTTCTTTTTTATACTTACTGGATGGGACTAATCATTCGTGACTTTTTTACTTCATTTAAAAAAGAAATGTAAAACTTTTTTAGTGACTTTTAACCCATGAAAATGCTAGTACTAATTTTTAAATTTTACCTTTAAAACTAATAACTTAGCTTACCTAAGACAATAAGACGATATTATTTTTCATAAAATAGATGTTACTCATAGCAAAGCAGCTCGACTTAATGATGACATATTAATAGAAGTTGCTCTGCAGTCACATTTTCTAACAATAAAATATTTTTACATGTTGACTTTTTTTTAGAAATATTACAATGATGTGATCGAAAACCATTTTTTTGACGTCAACTTGGAACTTATCATTGCATAACGATCTATGCTATGTATAACATAATAATCATAACGATTTATATTTCAATTAATTTTTCTTACGTCACAACAGCTCGTGATCAGAATTACGATACACAGGTAGCATTTAATTTAATAACAAATGCCCTTTTGCGAGGAGTGATACACAACTCCAAAATATTTTGTCTGAATATTACAGTGTAATATTGCCGAACTTACCATAAAGTAACTCAAATAACGGTCCTCCTACTGTATGTTCATGAGCTAAATGAGAAGCAACAAAAATTTTTCCATCGGTAGTGTAAATTTTGTAATTTAAATGAAAAATGGTTTTCAATGCTTTTTTCTCCAATAAACAAAAATATAAAGATTGATATTCTATATCAAGAAACTTTGAATACATTATATGGACATTATAAGTTGAAGCTTAAATTTTAGCTTTGTTTCAAGTCCTTGCACTCACAGAATCACCTAATTTTTTAATTCCATGGAAAATACTTTTTCAAATTTCATACTTAAATTTTTTTAATTCTGTTACAGAAATTTAAGATTGTTTTAAGAGGTCTTAAAAGTAGAATTGTTTTGTTAAGAAAATGCACCGCAGTTTATAGCAATTAAATAAAATGTAACCAACACAGATAGCACAACATTTTTCAAGATGTTTATAGCAAACATTTAGCATATATCAGAATATCGTACACTTACAAACTTTCTAAGAAATAAATAAAAAAAATTTAATATATCCACATACATACTTTCAATAAAAAGATTATAAAATGTGTTCAATCCTTTCCCCAAAGAAAACTACTAACAAGAGTCAAATTAATTTTAAATTTGTATGTAATTTTTATGCAAATTCTTATAACAGATTTATTCCCAGGAAAGAAATGTAAATGTTTTTCGTAAATTTATATCAGAAGTTCTTTGCAGAATCGTTCTAAAAAATACTTGTACCACCCGGTCTGGTTGGAAAGGACTTTCTTATTTTGCATGAACATGTGGTCTAACATAAATAAAAATTAAAATTTATAGGTAATGCTGTGAAAGAATGAAGAAGACGTTTTCATTTTTATATATTTAATGACCTTCTTTAAGTAGAACGTTTTATATATTTATGAAAAAATGATCTTTAATTTTAGCCATTTGTTGTTCCAAACAACAAATAATGCATTATGTCTCTCTTTAACACTTAAATTAAAACATGTGAAAATTATTACAATTGGGGTTTCTTATTGATTTTATTTCTTAGACAGTTTTTAAATTAGATGCTAAATTGTGCTAGGACATAAAGTAATGTTTAGCTAATTCATAATTTAGCCATGCAAATGTTAGAAAGCTTAAATTTTTTCATCTATAGTAAACCTGGTAGATCAACAAATTTTCGGTTAGCTTTTCACGAATTTGAGCATTACCGTATTAATTAGTAAATATCACTATGTTTTTATATGAAGAACTACGTGTTATTAAAGTTATAAAATGCTTATAAAATAATATTGCAAATATTCAACAAAATAACAATTGCGAAATACACAGTATTTATTTGTGGTGGTCAGTAAGTTTAATGTCAGAAATAGAAATAGATGTTAGTAAAATCTAGTATTTCCGAAAAATGTGATAATAATTTATTAACTTCAGTTTATCTTAAATCTTCATTTTTTATTCATTGTTGATAAAAAATTTAAAGTCAGATACTTTTACCTATATAATGAGAAAAACTTTTACTTTATTAGCAATCAACAAGTGTAATTCGTTATTTTAATGAAAATTAACAATATGTTTTTACAACATTTTTACAGTATTTCTATACTTTAATAGCATGTATTATTGCATTTATACTCTTCAAAATAGGTTTGAAGGATAAATATTTTTATTTTGCGATCTAAAGTTTCTAAAATGATAATAGTCAAGTTTACGAATCCGTCGGACCTATTTTTTATTATAAAGACCACCTTCGAATTCTTTTTTGTTTATAGGGAAATATAGTTTACATGGTGTGAGTAATATCTATGTACAAACGCGTATGCATTCAAAAAATTCGTATACTGAAGCTATAGTCATTAAGAACTTGTCAAAGAAGAAACTTATTCTTCAACTTAATCGCTTATAAATAATGAAGTTTAAAAAGTTTTCAAATAAATAACAGAAAAATCGTAGATGGTGAGGTCAACAAGCATGTTAAAAAATATTCCGAAGTCATAGTTGTTTCACAAAAACTATATGAAAAACTTTTTACAAAGCTGTTGTTAATATAATGTTGCAGAAACATCAACGTTTGCTTAATCTACCATTAATTCAAAATGCACAGATCCACGTCTTTCAAATCTGTCGTGGAATATGTTTCTCGCCCAAGCTTTGCACTCAATGTTGATCAAAACTCCATCTATAAAATATTATTAAAAAGTTTCAATAATAAGATTATATACCTTAATGAAATGGCTGACTTTATCCCCTTGTCGCTTAATATACTATTACTTACACTTTGGTTTCTCAAAAAAGACAGCAACGAGTGGACTCAAATATCCTTTTGTGTTTGTGAATGGGAAATAAAAGCCAGGGAAGCCTCTTCGTGGTATATATTGAATCGGTCCAATGTTTTCAACATCAGCTGGATTTTCACCCTCACATGAAACCCAAATAGTATCCACAGATTTAGGGTTTCTAGATTTTTCATTTAAAATGTGCATTTTTAGGTCATCTGGCATGTTAGTGGGCAATTTCTCCGTATCGTTAAAATATTCTGGTAGCCAGCCAAAAATCTGTGGAAAAATGTATCTATTGGTAAAAATAATATATGTGCATCCTTTAAGACAGACATATTTATTTTAATAATGTTGATGATTTTAACCATCACTTGGAGTCAATTTAAAAAGAATAGAAGTAAGAAAAGAAAACTATGCTTAACGTTTTAACGGCGTTCATTCAGGTACTGATTGACAGAGTTCAAATAGTTCTGGCAACCAGTACTGGTCTAGTATATTGCGTCCTACAGGACGCAAACTCAATACGCATACCTCATATCTACGCAAACTCAGAAGAGATTTCTCGTATATTGATCTGTCGCTTGTACGTATTTTAATATCAGCCGTCAATACTTAACTATTCCGATCATTGGGAGTGGAGGAACATCATCTGACAGTACTCGACAACGGTCTCGATTAAACTTCAATTAACTCATTCTGATCAATTGCATCTGCTTAACGCTTTAGTTATTTAATTTATCACCTAGTCAACTTGGCGACTCATTCACAACTGCTTAACGATGTTTAAAATCATTGCTCAGCAGAATATAAAAAAATCAAATCTACAGAAGTCTGTATCATTCATTCTTACAAGAATGTGAAGATCTCAATCACATAGCTCGTGTTCCATCATCGTGGTGTACTCAGGGATCAAAGGACTTCAACAAGATTATGAGTTGTTTTCCTTGAATCTTGCTCAACCAAGAAAAATTTAGGCAGGTTCGATCCTATTGCAATTGTAAAAATGGTATCTAAACTGATTCAGAAAGAAAGATATATATTAGTAGCAGGAATCAAGCAAAAATATTTTGCGAAGTTCAGGCTACCTATTCTGTTTTGGAAATTATAAACAACTTAGATGGGAAATCTCGCCTTTTAATCATCTCAGCTCACAGAAGGAAACAAAAAGGGAGTAATACTCCTTTCGATTGTATTGATCTTACATTTAAAAAAAATCTTTTCCTAAAACAATTTTTATATACAGCGTTGCCTTTCACGTCTCAACTAACATTCTTCAACCAAAAAGGTGCCATAATTGCTAATCATTTGGCCATATAATCATTCAATGCCAGTCATCTAGGCCCGTTTGTGAATTCTGCGGATAATTTCATGAGTCCAACGATTGTGATAATCAATCCTCCAATAATTAATGTTTCAACTGTTCAGGAAATCATAAATCCTCTTCAAATCGCTGTCCAGTTTATCACTATGCATATTTAGTAATGAAAGAAAGATTCTTATGTAATCTTAATAGAGACGAAGCTATTAACAAACTCCTTCAAAAAGGCATTTCCATGTTCAAACAATCTGATCAATTAATGGTGGCCCCTAAATCACCAACTCCTACACACAGTTTCTCTCACTTAATGTCACCAAGAGGAAATCCTCAACAGATTAAACAAAATCCTTTAACATTGACATTTGAGAAAATGACATCAGACAATGTAAACAATCCGAACAGTTGCTTTAGCAGCATCTCTTAAGAATCTTTCCCTAGTAATCTTCAAAGTGAAATAGAAATAAGTTTCATCGCTCAAAATTTAATTACAAGTTAAGTTATGTAAAAACTTTTCCCACAAAGTAAAATGCACTCAGCAATTGGTAAAGCTGATTTCAAATGCTGAACATGGAACGCACGCAGCGTTTTCAACAAAAATTACAATGTGAAACTTTTATTCTTCACCACAATGTGGGTCTCCTGGGTATCACGGAGACCTGGCTATCCGAAAAATCTTAATTTAGTATTAAGGGATTTAATTGTATCAGATGCGACTGTAATAACCCTTTACCTTGAGGTAGCACGGCTATCCTCCTCAGAAATCAATATATTTTCGACAAGATTGACCTGGATGGTCCGTGGTTGGACTTTTTGCAGGTAGTATGCATCAGAATAAATTCAATATTTGGCTACTTACACGTTATTTCAATGTACAGTAGTGTTCAATGAAGCCTTCCTCGGATGACCGTGTTGCACTCATATACTCCCATAAGTGCAACACGATCATCCGAGGAAGGCTTCATTGAACACTATTGTACATCCCTCCCAATGCCAAAATTTTTTTAGAATTTATAACAGGTTTGTAACGGAAATCTGAAAAATATATTTCAACGGGAAATACAATTTTATCATACGTTAGCCAAAAAGCAAAGAAAACTATTGGGTAACCGACGCGAGTGAAAAAGAAACAAAAATTTCTAGCGTAGACTTACTTCAAAGTACAGCTTATTTTACAAAACATGATTAAGGGACAGGTTCCACCACATCAAATTAAGCGAAACTTCGATACAATACACTGTGTTCAGTACTCCGGAGGTACAGTCCGAGTATTTAAAAATGCTATTTGGGCTTGTAAATCCTTCGTCTTATTTTTAGAGATACTTGAGTATAATTTTCCACGAATTCCTTCCCAAAGATTTACTTCTTATGTAATTAGACGACTTTTTAATCGCTACAAAAACGTTAAAATAAAACTTCGAGAATTTTCGGGAAATGTTAAGGCTTATGGTTGACAATGGATTGCGGTTGAGAATCGACAAATGTGTTTTCGGTGTAACTAAAATAGAATATCTTGGATATGTAATCAGAAGATCAAACCGAGTCACGACCATGTTAAAGCTTTGTTAACAAATTTTATCCTGCGAAGTGTGAAATAAGTGACAAAATTCTTGGGTTTAGTTAAGCTAGCATTAAAAAAATAAATAAATACACGAATTCAACGATGGCCTTACGAGCTGCAAGTTTATTTTCAAATCGAGCACAGACCATCAGACCGAATGCCTCACGTTGATGCCTTGAGCAGAGAAATATATGTTATCGAACAGCTTACATTTGTACAAGAATTAACGTACAAACAACTGTCTGATCCTGCGTTAAAAGAGACCCGAGATTCTCTCGAAATTGGTAAAAACGATAAATACGAAACTCCTAATGGATTATTGTTTCGAAAGTGGAAGGGTGATGTATTATTCTATGTACCAGAAAGAATGACCAATATGCTCCACTGAAAAATACTCCTCTAGGGTACAAACATGTTTTACTAATTATTGACGGATATGCCAAATTTGTTGTATTCTATCCCGTAGGTAAAGTCGCGGATTTCAGAGAATCAATTAATAAATTAAAAGACTATTTTCACCACTATGGAAAATCGTGATTCCCAGTTTCTGGCAGAGGGACATGTTCCACTTAGGAGGAATTCTCTGAATTCGTTCAATCTTATGGTGTGAAACATGTCAAAATAGCAGTAGGAACCCCAAGGCCCAATAGCCAAGCAAAAAGGGTTTTCATTACTTCTTTTGATTTTAAAACAAATCCATTTTAATTTATCGTAAGTTTCAACTCAGATTCGTAATTATTCAGTCAAGAAACATTAGAAAAACTTTTGTTAAACATTAAATTTTTTAGTATAACGCCCAACATGTTTTATCGGCTATTTTGAATTTAGTGCATCTGACCTCAGATTCATATTGAGCAACTTGAAAAATGTTGGAATACTGAGTTTCAGAATTATTTACATAATTTTTCAGGATTTCGACCGCCATATTGGATCGGCCATTTTGAATTTTAAAAGCAGATTCTTATGGCGGTATCAAAGTCAATGCCATTTTCCCATTGAAGCTCAATGTAAAAATCCAATCCACTTTGACACCCCTTAACGAGTAATGCGTTAGTCCCAAAACATACCTTTTTCAGTCTTCCTGAAATTTATTTGTTTAAAATGTTGCAATTTCAATGTTTATTACTTTAAAAAATACGAAAATAATCAAAAAGTTTTCACGGCACAGACGACATTTTGAATTTTGGAAATGCGGCAAGGGTTTTAAATTCTGTGATACTTGAAACTTCACGTAACGAAGTTGCATTAATTGTTATTAAAAATTGACTTGCTTACAGAATTTTGACGCCTCTTACTACGTTTTGCTCCACTGTGATATAACTTGTTTACATGACATTTTAAGTAGTATTGTACAACACATGAAATATTTTTACGAATTAATTTATTACAACTATTATACGTATCTAATGACTCTTTTTAACAGACATTTAATCATTATGTATCTGTTTTTCATTAAAAAATTTTCATTAATTTTTTAATATTAAATACTTTGTGATATGTAAATACATATGTATAAAAAACTACTGAATTCCCATAAGACATATTTTTAAAACCTCTATCAAAAGGCGCTTGCACACTTCAAAATTTTTGGGTGAGCACCGAATTTTCATGGCCTTGAAACTTACGTCACTAAATATGATTGGCTCAACAAAAAGTTGCGTGAAAATGTACTTTTATCAGAGCCAATCATATTTAGTGATGTTAGTTTCAAGGCTGTGAAAATTCGGTGTTCGCCCAAAAATTTGGAAGTGTGCAAGCGCCTTAACAGTGGTTTAAGATTCATTAAATTGGTAATGTTAATTCTATTTCTGATAGAACATCCTTAAAAAATTATGATACATACCTTATTGAGCTTCAAGAAAATACACGGAGCTGATTTGTGATAATTATAGCTGTTGGCTTTTGTGCAAGGTGTCCATGTTTTTACGTCAACATCACAAACTTTTCCGGGTGGTGGAGGTCTACCATAATCACAAGTTATTCTTTGATCTGCTCCAGTGGATAGACTTTTGTCATAACCTGTCATCAAAATATATTTCTGTTACATTATTATGATAAATGTCGCTTCTTGAGAATACTGGAAAAAATAATTGTAAAGTAGTGCTACAGTCACCAGGCCGATTCACAAAAAGAATCGTAAAAGTGAACACGTAAACTTTACATGAGAAACAAGAGGAAAAAAATATTTCTTATTTACTCTTATTCTTATGATTTACACTGTAAGAAATAGGACTCTAACTTTACACGAATGAGATTGAAAAGAAATATCAATTTCACATAATGTGAATGCATGCATTTAATTGGAATAAAGTTTTTAATCCTTCCAATTAAATGAAAGTATTAACTTCTAGAGATTAAAACAATATAATTTTTAATCATTCGGTGTAAAGTTGGAGTCCAATTTTAAAAAAGCGTGCCTACACAGCACCGAAGATTTCCTGTGTTCGCTTTTCTTATAATTATCAAAATATGCCCTGCTGGAAGTAAATAGATAGAAACCTTTTCTCTTTTAATCCCTTTCTATTGCTAATATAGAAAGAGATATGAATAATGTATAACTTTTAATCTCCTACCTATACTTCTTTATGCCTTTCTATTCCTACCTTTATCAACTTGTTCGCTATTTCTTTTAATCACCTTTTTTGAATAACTTTTAATAGCCATTTTAAACCCTTCTATCTCTTTTTATATACAATCTTATTACAACTTTTTGTTATCCCTTTCAATCACCTTTTCTCTATTACTTTTAAAATCCTGTCTATTTCCTTGTATCTCTTTCAATGTTAGACCTTATAGACACTATTCTTTATACCTATTAATAACCTATTCTCAATACCTTTTAATAACCTGTCTATAAACTTCTATCTCTTTTTATGACAGAAGTTCTTGATACTCTTCTTTCTCCACATTTATAACCTATTCTTAATAACTATTGATATCCTATTTATACCCTTCCATCGCTTTTTATGTAGGATCTTATTAACACTTATTTATTACCATTATTCCCATTATTGAGATAGAAAAAGATAGAAATGCGAGACTGCAAAACTATAAACCTTTTTTATTTCTTTTTATCATTCTTCTTTTCCGAATGTTATTCTTTTAATCTTCTTTCAATCCCATATTCTATCTCCTATTACTTTATTTAGAAGAGATAGGGATAGTTAAGAATATGGGGATTTGAGGAGATATAATAAGATTATCTCTTCTAATCTACTATAGTATATCCCTTTCTATATACATACTCATAAACTTATACGCGCATGCGTCGATCTTCCCAGCTGTTATGTGTCATGGCGTCGGGTCAGTAGATCCGTAGATCAGAAAGCGTGTGTTATGCACTGTGCGATTGTACGTTTTTGTTTGAGTTTATAACTTCCATATTTTTATAGTTTATTGTAAATATATTTAACCAATAAATGTTTATCAGTAATAGACAACCAAAATTAGTTTTAAACTCACAAAGCATCGAAACTTTTCTAAAAATGTATTAAAGATTTACTTGCAAATTTTTTATAGTTAATCGTAATGAATTAAAACAACACGCCGATTAAGAAACTCAATTAACAACAATAGAGAAAGTTTTTAATTGAAATTAATCGATTTCTTCTATAAGGGGTATCTCCTTTTTTACTTTCCTTTGGATTAGAAAGGATGTGAAAATGGATAGAGGAAGACAGAAATGTATGAATAGAAAGAGATTAAAAAGTTCTATCTTCTTTAATTCACCACTTTGCATCCCCAATTTTTTATCTCTTTCTATATATTTTTTTCTATATATTTCTATATCTAAAACTGTATATAAAGAGATTAGAAGGGATAAAAAGATATATAAATATAAAGTTATAGAAAGAGATAAAAAAATTGTATCTCTTTTAAGTATTCATTTTGCATCTCCAAACTATTATATTTTCTAATCTTTTTTTATCCCCTTTTTTTAATCTCTTTGTATCTCTTTACTTCCAGCAGGGTGATTTTATTGATTTTTTTAATTGATTTTGACACTTCTGCATGATCATATGTTATCAAATTTACATCGTAATTCGTTTATTTTATAGTTTAAAAATATTTAATTACTCTCACAACACCAGGATATCCCAGGAACGTCCTAGGATGTCCTGAATATTCCGATGCTATTACCTGATCACAATTGAAATATCGGTAAATATTTGTGCGGGGATACGGTGACACTAAAAAATTCAAATCTGGGGACTTTATATATTGGGAAACACGTACATGAAGAAATGTAAGGAGGGACAATGACATTTTATTTTAGATAATTTTTTTGTGATGATAGTATATGTATACTTACCTCTAAGTGCTCTGTGAGTTTCAAAATGGGATCTGCATAATTTTCCGAGAAATAAATAAAAATGTTCAATACTGTGGGTCACATTTCTAGCTTTGCGTGAAAAAAACGAGCATCTGTAGCAAGATCTTGGGATCGAGCAATATTCGTATTATATAAAACTAAAAATATGACCCATAGCATTAAACATTATTTATTTATTTCTCGGTAAAGTTTTGCAGATCCCATTTTACAGATCACAGAGCACTTAGAGGTAAGTATATACCACCACCACACAATAAATTATCAAAAATAAAGGTGGAGTTTTTTCAAAAATGGAAAATAAAATTTTTTTCTTTAATATCGACAAAGTAGCGAATAAATTATCTTTCAAATTTTTTTTAGTGGAAAGTGTGTCTTTTTATTGACAGTTTAAGCGTTTTTAGAACATTGTACGTTCTTAAGCCGTTATGTAGCGGACATGAAACGTTCTAAAAACGTTTTAGGAACGTTTCTAGAACAAAGACGTTTCCGTCCCCAGAGGGAAGACTGTTACCTGATTTTTTAAAATACTGTATCTTTTCCGGTACAGTATGGGTTTCCTCACGTTCTTTATACTCTTGGTTAATTGAGCCCTTGGATTCTATAACAGCCGCTGCGCGCGGTCCGGAAGGGATAATACCAGTCAGGTAGCAGTGAGCGTCTCTGAGTGGCTTGCTGCTACCTGACTGGTATTATCCCTTTCGGACTGCGCGCAGCGGCTGTTATAGAATCCAGGGGCTCAATTTCACTTGAACTTGGATTAAAATCAGGTATCTCGAACAGAAATTGACCAAAACGATTTTCGGACAGCTGGTACCACTAACTTTTTTAACAGACTGGTCGGGACCGGTACCGTCGCATTTTTAAAAGTGGTGGTAACTTTTAAGCGTCGTCTGGGTTAAAATAACCCAGTGTAATTACAATTAGATATTCATAAGCAATTAGGGGTCGTCCATAAATTACGTAAGTCACTTTTTTGGAAAATTTGACCGCCCACCCCTCTTTGTAAGAATTTTTACATACATGAGCGCCATTTTTTCTACGGTTCGTAAGATTTAACAGACTCACTCCTCCCCCAAAATGTCTTACGTAATTTATGGACGACCCCTTATTTTAAAATTACAACTGCTTTAATTATTAAAAAATTATTATTTTCTAATAATTAAAGCAGTTGTAATTTTAAAATAATTGGTTATGAATATCTAATTGTAAGATAAAAAATTAAACTTATACAAACTATTAAATTTCAATTTCATACACTACATATAGAATGCTGACTAACATATTTCTGAAATGTAAAGTGTTTTCTACTTTACCCTCAAGGAATTTGTTTAGCGCTTTTGTCCAGTGACCATAGTTGCCTTGGTCGGTTGCTTTGTACCAGATTAACGTACTCTCAACGTTACTGTCAGGTGGCATAGGACGGAATCCAAGTCCTGGATTGTTACCAATAAGCGATTTTTCTCTTTGCCACTTAGGTTGATTCGGATCCAATGTTTGATAAAAGACTGCTAGCATGGCACCGAAGAAGCCACTTAGCACGGCGTAGAATATAACGTAGAACAATAGGATTTTTGCTAAAAAAATATTAACAATATAACAATGTTAATAATGTTTTATACTTAACGGTTTTATAAATATATATATTTTAAATAAAACTTAGGTTAAACTGAAAGACAATAAAATAGACTTCTAAATATAAGTAGAATATTAAAAACTTGATATTAATTTATAAATGATTAAAATCTTTTAATATTCTGTTCGTTTTAAAAATCAAAAAATTCTCCAGATCACAAATCTCATCATTTTTAGCTGTACGGTAGGGTGCAAAGGTGCCTTCTTAGTTTGAACGTGTCACACTCATATGTTTCCATGGAAACAATGGAAACATATGAGTGCAACACGTTCAAACTAGGAAGGCGTCTTTGCACTCTACTGTACTACAATAAAGCTCTTTTACAAAAATTTAATTTTCAAAATTTTCAAAATGGTGGTTCATAGAAATGAATCAGATCAATGTATGCAATGTTTTATCGAAATCAAATTTTCAAAATCAAAATGGCGGATTCAATATGGCGGACTCATTTTTAAATTTGATCAAATTCACACACTAAAAAAAAAGTTTTACTTTCAGCCTATTTTTGAGGCTGAATTTAAGATGTAAACCGAGTCAGTCCCGTTAAACAAGGACAGACTTATGTAAAATACATGGGCTGAATTTAAGGTGTAAACGGAGTCAGACTTTTTTTCCTGTGCACTTGAAACTTGTTTCTCGTGTGTCTTCGGGGTCGCTGATTACGAATATGAAGTCAGTTTTTAAAAATTTAAAATGGCGGATCCAATATGTCGGACTTATTTTCTAAACTGATAAAAATTCACTTGAAACTTCTTTCTCGGGGGTTTTTGAAGTCGCTGATTACTAATATAAAGTTAAATTTTTAAAATACAAAATGGCTGATCCAATATGGTGGAAATTTTTTTAAATAATAATCGAAATCGCTTGAAACTTTAAATTCAATTAGTTCAAAAAAATTCGTCTACCATATTGGATCCGCCATTTTGAATTATGAAAAACTAACTGGGACCCCAAAAAAACACGAGTAACAAGTTTGAAGCAAATCTGTTCGATATTTAAAAAAATAAGTCCGCCATATTGGTTCCGACATTTTGAATTTTTAAAAACTAACCTAAGAGTCGTAATCAGCGACCCCAAAAACTGTCTAGACATGATCCTCAAAGTATTCTATGTTATTGGTTAGACACAATTACATTTATTGTAAAAAACGTTTTTTTAAAGTTTATTTATTTATAACATTTTCTTTTTTCAACAAAAATATATTTTTTTCTTTGTTATAGAAAAGGAATATATAGTTTTGTCATTGAAGCAAATGATATAGTGCTTTGAGAAATGCAAAAAAGTGGAGAAAAAAGGATGACACTCTGGAGTGTTACTATGCCGCAAAAGGTTAAAATGATTCTATATATGGACGTTAAATAAGGTTAATTTCTTCGGAAAATATAAAGAAATTAAAGAAATCACTGAAAATGGAATTTTTGTTAAATATCTTATTGAAAAATAAACATTTTTTTGTCGTAAAGGTGTCATTTTTTTAGAATTTTATCAGTTTATTGAAAATATAAAGGAGAAAATTTTAGTTATTATATTTTTCAAGTTAAAAGTTATTGAATAGTCATAAAAAAGTAGGGATCAATGTTGGCAAAGTTGGCTAAAAACGTTGTGAACAATTTTTCCATACTCAGTCAATACTTGATGCCGAGGCTTGTCTGAACTTTGCTCTCTAAATCTCAATTAGTAGTTTCCTACTAATTAAATAGTGCAGATTCGTTTACCAATTAAATAACAGTAACAGCTTTTACTAATTTTTAGTAGTTTTATACTACCTAATTTCTAATATAAAACTACTAATTCATTAGTAAGTAGGCTTACTAATTTGAAATAGTATAAAATACAACTTACTAATTGAATCAGTAATTTTGTACTATGCTAGTAAATAGTAGTTTTTTAATAAAAATTAGTCAAAACTGTTACAAATTCAAATTGGTAATTAGTAAACGAATACGCACTATTTCATTAGTATAGAAAAATACTAAAGAGAGACAAAAATTCTGTGCAGTGACAGCACTAATTGTCAAGGCTCGGCTGGACTACGGCACTGCATTTCTCGTCGGGAAGGAGTTTTCTCGTCAAGTCTTCACCGGTATGTAAAAAAGTTCTTGAAACAGCGGCGGCGATATTTTTTTCTAACATAGGTAGATATATATACAATAACAATATATGTATGTTATATAAAAATTCTATAATCAAATAATAAAGTTTTTTTATTAAAAAGTTAATGTATATCTGTTAAAAACACTTGAATTATAAAGTATCATTCTGTTTTATTTATAATATTTCTTGACGCGATTTCACTTATTGTTAGTAAACCCAGATAAGTATAAGAGACCAATTATGAATTGTAGACTAATTGACCTGAAAAGATGTACAATTGGAATAAATGATATTGAGGGTTATTTCATTTTAAAAGTAGTAATAAAGTCAAATTTATTTATTATAATTTTTTATGATTTAAATATTATTCTTAGTTTTAAGCAATAAATAGATTTCAGATTTAAATACACACAACACCGAAATAATTTAAATTTTTGAATAGTTCATTATTAAAAATATTTATTGTAGCATATATTATTTATATTTAATTATAATTATTATATTATATTCCATTAAATAATAATTAATTAAATAAATAATCTCATATCAGCTCACATGTCAGACTTGCTGTCATGTACCTAAAAGTAGAGTAGCAAAAAATTTTGCTAGTTTTAATAGCAAAAAAAATGTTTACGCCTAGAAAATATTTTTTACAATTTTTGCATTTTTTGCTTGAATTTTCATTTGAATTTAAAGTTTATTTTATATTGCAAACAATTTTTTATAAATTGAGGTTATTTTATATCTGTTTACATTTATTGCTCTTCAAATGTCTTTGATCAATAACTAAAATTTTTGCCAATAAAAAAATTTACTTTGTTTAAAACAATAATTTAATTCGTTGTAAATTAATCGTAACATTTATAAATTATGTATTCAGGTTAACATATAATATTTTTAAGTCAATTATTAATATTTTTTACACTCGATAAATTCAAAAATAAATTCAAATATAAAAAAAATTGTAAGTTAACTACTTATTAAACATAAAGAATTTAAAATATAACTGTCCCAAGTTTCATGGAAAATACGCCTTAAATATTTTCTGATGTTACTTGCACCATTTTCTCCTAACTCTAATTTACTTAGCTTATTGATTATTTTTTACTGGAGAGGGGTTCTCAATACTGATAGAACTGAGTTAGTTTATAACTTTCAGCATGTACTGCTCTCAAAACAGTAAGAAAAATTTATAAAATACATTTCAAATGTTTCTTAAATTAATTTATTATTTAATTGTAAATATTATAATTAATTATTATTATTGTTATTATTATTATTGTAGATATAATTTAAAAATAATAATACTGTTTAATAATACGAAAATTCTATACTGAATTTCGCAAAAATAGATGAGCTCGGACGCACGTACTAATACCAGTCGAGTACCAATGAACGCCACTGAGCTATTCACTGCTACTTGACCGGTATTAGCGCGTGCATCCAAGCGTATAGCAAAAATAAAAAAAAATTGTAATGCTTCCTTCATGAGCATTGAATTTTATTTACTTTTAATAAGAAAGAGATTTATTACACAAAATTTAATAAAATTTTATAAACAAGATATATATTTCACATCATTTAAATTTAAACAATTCAAACTTTAAATTCTAAAATTTTTGAATCTTTTAAACCAAATTTTTTTTTGCAGAAAGTTTGCAGATACTATGTAGGGTTTTTTAATACTTTATTCTGCTAACATCTTTATTTCTAGATCTATAATGTCTTAAAGTTGTATAAAAGTCCTTATTTCTAACATCAATTTTTTTAAAAATTTCAAAATACTTCATAAGATTTGGCAGGAGTTGTAGTATTGGTAAAATTGTAATACTGTTACAATAAACCTTTAACATTTCACATTTATAAATCCTATTAATTTCTTTGGGGTTAAATTGGCCCAAAAATAAAGCGTTTTTATGGTTTCTTGAGAAAAATGGGCATAAAAAATTTTAAAGACATTAAAAAAATTGTTTTCTAGTTTAATTGTTTAGAATAAATCCTTATGATGAGAATTCCGATTGAATCTTTAATTTATGTAAAACAGGTTACGAAGAAACTATCTCAATAAAAATGGTGTCTATCTGAAAGACGCCACCTACAGCTACGAATATGAACTAAAAATACTTAAAAAATTTTTTTTTTAATTATCCTCTTGAAGTATATAAATATACATGACCTTAATGGCATTATGTTAATTTGGTTAAATATTAAATTACTTTTGAAATAAGTTTATAAATATTAAAGTATTGTGAATAAATTAGAAATAATAATTTTAACGGAAATAATGCAAGTTAAGGTGAAAGACATCTGAAATGTTAACCCATTGAAATTTACGTTTTAAATGATGTTAATTTTTGGTGCATTTTTTGTGATCAAAATATATTATTATATAAAATTGAACAAGAAAATTTTTTTATTTATTTTAGAATTATCATTTTTAGAAAAAATAAATTTTTTTTAAAATCCATACAATTATTCGGAACCATGAAAAAATTGTTAATTACAAATAATAAAAGTTGTACAAGAAATTGAAATTTGAAAGAATGCACTATTGGTATTTTCACTAATTAAAATTTTCAACTGCACTCCATCACATTATATAAAAAAAAGTTTTGTGTGACCAATTTAAAAATTTTTTAGAAAAATTTTATTTTTTTTGGAAAAATTAAAATATTTTTAAGTCTATATACGAATGATTGTTCAAAACCATAAAAAAACCTAATAAAACATAGTTAAAGATAAAAAATAATAGAAATTGTAGAAAAAAGTTCAAATTTAAATTTTTCTATAATTTAGGGTTTCAATATCAAATTTGTAAAGTAGCAAAGTTTTTTCATAATTTTCGTCAAAAAAAGTCGATGAATTGACATTCTTTACTTCCATAAAGTCTCTTTCCTAAAATAATTTTTTTGATATTTTATTAAAGTATTAACTCCAATTAGTTTGTTTAAATGATTAATTGTTGTTCATTTTTGAAAATGATTAATTCTTAAAATTTACACTAATATTTAATTTGAACTTAATTAAAATGTAAAAAGTTAACATATAATCTGTTATAAAAACTTATGTTTTGTAAACTTATGTTATGTAAAATTAACGATTTTTTGTAGTATTAAATACCTCGGTCGGTACTATGTGAATGTAAATTAAGGAAAATTTTATAAAACATTCGAATTATTTAAAAAAACATTGATGAGAACTAAAAATCAATGTCTCAAGCCCCCTTATACAGGAAGAATTAATGTATTGCCCTAATTTTTTACTTTTTCACAAAAAATATTTGTATTTCAAATCAATTTTTGAGACTGAATTCATTACGTAAATGGAGATACCCTCCCTAGATAGGAAAAAAATTTAAGTGCAATAAGTTGACTAAATCTCAGATATAAACTATTCAAGACTGTTTTTACTGTACAGATTGAGAAAACTTATATATAAATGTATTATATACATATATTCGAACTAATATAAGAATAAAAGAATAATCGATTTTACATGATTAAGTTATTTTACATTTTACAATATACAGAATATCAACAGTATTCTAGCTTTTTACATAAATAAATACTTTAAATTATTAAAAAACTAAAAACTATATTTGTTGAGAACAAAATGTCTGATTCTTTTTTATTTTGAATCTCAAAATCGATAGTACGTACACCATTCTACACCATTAGAAAGCACCCCAGATTTTATATTTAAAAAATAGTAAATTAATTTCTTCTCAACTTAAAATATAAATAATCATCTTAAAATTTTGACTTATATATTATAAGTACCTAGAAAGTATCCTAAAAAGTAATGTCTGCCTTTATTGCAGTACACCTACAAAAGTGAGTTAAAAGGTATAGAGCATCTTATGTAAGAATATAAAAATCTTACCCCAACTGGAGCCAGTGCGACCCATAAATTGTCCTGTTTCCGAATTCCAAAGAAATAATCGGATACCCTCCCATTTCCCCAGCTTTGGTGGCCGTTGATAATATTGCTCCTGCTTTTTGCCGTCCATAGTTTTCTCCATCAGATTAGAACTTTTTTTTCAAATACAAATTAATAAAGATGGTTTTTTAAAATTACTGTTCGCTTATATGTTCTGTTAAATAGTTAAGGGAAATTTATTTATAATAAAATTTCGCGAGCGAGTAACACAAAGTGCAAACTTTTCGTTATTTCACCTAGAATCCGTTTTCACCATCACCACTCAACGTTATCGTATAGCCAAGGGATGAATATTGAGCGATCCAACTTCTCGGCCCAGCTACGACCCTTGCGACTCTTCAATACTGCGCAAGCTTCATTATCGTATGTGCCAAGGCGAACCGACCTATCCACTATCACGACATATCGACTCCCAACTTTATCCCTTCTGTGTTTGCAGTGGCGTCATATATTTATACATAGACGTCATCCTCTGTGTGGATGTCACTGTTGATCGCCAAGCTTCGCGAAATAAACTTGTCAAATTGTGTGAATAACTCACGAATTGATCAATTCTAATAACTTAATGAATACTTTATTATATTTAGAGATTTAGAAAAAATTTACTATATTCTACAGCAATTTGAACTAAACTATTATATTTTAGAGTGAGGTTCATTATACTGATAAGTAGTTCTTATCATTATTAAAGTTTTCCAAGTTCTGACATAATAAGATAACTTTTACTAGTATAATAAACAACAATTTTAAATACAAAGAATTTTTAAAAATCGTTATAAAATCATATTTAAGAGTTTAAATGATAAAAATCTAGGAAACTGTTTGAACCCGAGTCAAAATTTAAGACCTACTTTAGACCCCATTTGAACCTCCTGTAAAACTCAATGGTTCCAGAAGTCCTACCCCTTTGGGCCTACTTTTCTTGTAAGGAGCCCTATTTAAAACCCTGTCAAACCTGGGTTTTTAAACAGACCTTTTTACCAATACAACTCATAATTAAAAATTTAATAATAAAAATTTCAGTTTACAACATTATAATCAAAATTATAAATATTTCGATAAGTTTTATGTAACAGGCGCGAAGTTTTAACTCACAAAACATGTATTAAATCTGATAAATAAAAGAGGTTTTTAAAAGAAAACCTAACGTCAAACCTAACGATTTAGAAAATGTTAATCTTATGTCTATTTTGAACCACGTTGAACCTTTCGACTTTATAGTTTCTTCTATTTAGAGCCCCGTTATACCTATAAACTTTAAATTTTCTTGTAAATATTCGCCACACTGTATTTATTATTTATAATTATAGTTTTTAGTTTCAATATTTATATGTTCCAATTTTTATTTTACCAACCCAGTAAGAAGTGAGGAATTGAAAAGAATTAGAAAATTTTAATTCTTTTAAATTTCGTTTCTGACCATTCTATTTGTATTCATTTGGAGAAGCCGAAAAGAAGCTTAATTCAATTTTTTTCAATACCGTTTTAATATTTTACGCGGAAAAAAAATTTGACAGTTGGGAGATTTGAACCCTCAATTTTCATTGTCGGAGACAAAGAGCTTTTTCGCACAGCTGTAGAAACTGTTCTATAACTATACTGAATTTTAGATACTTACTTTAGAGTATTATGAACTTCAGGAATTGCAGACTTCTTATTTAATCGAATGTTTATTTTAAGTTTATGAGGCATTCGATTTCAAAACGACCCCCTTCGTAAAGAATTGCCAATGTAAGACAATTTTTCAATAAATATTTCTTAGATATTTAGTGGAACGAAATTTTTTATATTAGCGATTTCAAAAGCAGAATTTCTGAAATTTCTGTTAATAAAAATATATTTTTTTTTTAATTATTATTTAATTTCAATAGAGAATTGAGTTTATAACAGCTAAACTTTGAAAAAATTCAAAACACGTTATTTCCTATTTTAATAAAATTTATATCAAACGAAAGCTTAAATATTCTACTTTTTATTTATCAAACGATAATGGATATTTCAGGCGATTTTAATAAATTAATTAACTTTTACAATCATTTCGAAGGTTATATCTAATTGAACCACTGGATCGTAGAAGGGCATATAGCCAATGTAATTCAAATGGGCTGTGTGCCCATTTGAAACGTCTCTAAAATTTAATTAATTTTATAAAATCGCCTAAAATGTCTAATTCTAAGTATAAATCTTAGTCTAAGTCATAGTCTAAGAATTAGTGAAAGAGTCGTAGTCTAAGTCTTAGTCTAGAAATTAGTGAAAGAGTCACAGTCAAAGTCTAAGTCTTAGTCTACGTCTTACTCTAAATCTTAGACTACGTCTTAGTCTAAGTCTTATTCTTAGTCTATGTCTCAGCAGTCTAATTTTTAGTATTAATCAAAGTCATAGTATTAGTCAAAGTACTTAATCAAAGTCAAAGTATTAGTCTGTCTTATTTTGAGTCTTAGAAAAAACTAAGAAGGTACTAAATAAAAATGGAAATGTTGAAACTAATATTTAGTACTTTAAACGTAAAAAGTAAATAACATTTTTAAAATGTTATAAATATATTTAAGTGTTTAATTATATATTTAAGTTATTTATTAAATAAATATTCGTTTCTTAGTTATTTAAATTCCACAACATATCACGTAGTTTTCTTCACGCGTCAAGCTTCCCTCATTTCTTTCTTGTGTTTCTGTTGAATTTGTTCCTGGAGGAAAGTTGATATCATATTCATAGAATTCTTCTTCGTTCCATTCATCTGAGTTTATCAATCATAAGTTGTAGAGTACGCAGCATGCAATTACAAATTTGATCGCAGAGTGATGTTACTGTGATATCAAAATGTTCGCCTGGTTGTACTAATTTTAATATAAACATATTTAGATATGGTAGTGACAAGCCTAGGTACCATTTATTAACTACGTAAGGATAATTATTTAATTTTGACCTCCCCTTCTATTTTAAAACGTACTCATTTTTTTAATTAATCATCAATTTAGGAATGCAAGGCAAACATACTTCTTAAAGTAGAATTATGTAAAAGTATTTTATTAAATTACTTAAATTAAAAAATTATTTTGTATTTGTAGTCATTTAGATAATTTAAATATTTATTGTCCTAAAATATTGTTCGTTTTCTTAAACTTTAAACGTTAAAGTATTGGATACTCCATGTGGGTTTGATGACTCTTTCGTAAAATTGTTCTCCGATAAGTATATCAAAAAGGTCTGAAATTTATCGCCATGGTATTTCATCTTTTGACGAAGTTGCAACAAGGAATGAAGTCAGATTGGATGTGAAAAAGATGCAAATTTTTTGACTTACTAATTATGGGAACAATGATGAGGATATAGATGATAGTCAAAAAGCGGATCATTGTCTAGTATTCATGTTCCAACCACTTCAAGAATCATTTGTGCAGCCAGTTGCCGTTTGTGTATCTAAAGGACCGGCTTGCGGTATTACTACAGCTAAAATAGTCATTCAGTAAGCACAAAGAAAAAAATATGTTATTAATTAATGAAGTGTTTAAAAAATTAATTATTTCTATATATTTTTAATACTTATTCGTTTATTTCGGAAAGTCTTATTGAAGTTTTAACTTAATTATAAAGAAAAACAACATAGAAATTGTGTTTTACGAACTTTTTATGTAACATTCGTAGAAGCGATTATTATTACAAAATTAATTAAAATCAGCTTCACAAGGTGTTAACAATGAGCAATGTACAAGTTACTAATAAATTATGAAGGATGTGGCCTTCTTTGAGGTTCAGGAGTATATCGAACGTAAGCTCTAATATGCTGTGGACTTCCAGGCACAGAACAACTTTCAGATAACCTCCTAGGAGGTGGCTGCGGTGGTAAAGATGAAACATACCTGAGAAAAAAATTCACTTTGTAGTATAATTTAGGACAATAAAATATTTACCAGATAATTACTGTCGATCATGTACAAAAGAGTTACTTCCTAATTATCATAGAAATCTTCAAAAATTTGACGTTCATATGACAAAAAAAGACAACCGATAATAGTTCACACACTGAGAAAGACCGATTATTCAGGTTAAGAAAGTTAAAAATGTAATATTAGGTAGTTTCTATAATTATGTTGCTGTGTGGCTGGGAGCATTTTTTACATAATGCATATTTTATGGACAGTTTTTAAATGAAATTTAATATAAACCAGTATACTAAATTAACGAAAATTTCTAACTTTGTATCGCATATAAAGATAAAATTTCAAAATAAAGATAATGAAAATATATTCAAATGCTTATTGTAATGACAAACCTTCGACTCAAAGATGGAGAAGACTGCTCTATTATATGGCGTCGAGTAGGTAAAGGAGATTCTCCTCGGCTTAATCTAGGTGGTGGTTCTGGAGAAGGAACTCGATCAATTCCCAACCTTAATCTTACGTAAGAAGTCAAACGTTTCTTTGCAGATTCTTTAGAAGAAACAGGGAACTGAGGAATTGTAGATGGCGGTTCCTGTTTTATGTGATGCCCTAAGCGCGTTATCAATAACTCAGAAGCATGTGAATTATATAAAGTCTGAGTTTTTATTTCTGAAGGGTATCTGCAACAAAAATTTAGGTATATCTTAATTGCCCACGGTGGCCAGTGAATCTTAAGTGCAAAATTGGGGAAAAATTTTAGGGAAAACATATGCTAAGTGTGTTCAATAGTGGATTCCGCTTCGTGTTGAAAAGAAAACTTATGATAGAAAACTTCATATAACCCATAAATGAGTGTTTAATAGTAATCGCGTAACCAATCCGTTGTTTTTGACACTCCTTCATCATAATTTTTTTCAACGCATGACATATTCAAAGAGGAATATTTTTATAGGACATGAACTTACTAGAGTGAAACATTACACATAATAAAAGAAATATGAATTATACTAGATTACATATTAAAATTTTTTTTAAACTTACCGTTTCCGATTAATCATAGGACTACCAAAAATATCCTGAGAATGTAGATGTGTCTGAGGCACTGGAATATGTTCTAATCGACTTTGTACATAGGGAGAGTGTCGTCCATTTTCAACAACTGGTGGAATTACACCTGGAGGATCTACATTTTCCCGACGCCAAGGTGAGTAATCTCTGACATGAGGACTTTGTGATCTTCTAGTTTGCCATCGATCTCCACTGCATTCTTGTTGTTCCGTATTATTTGAGTAGGAAGAATGCGTTCTTCCAAAATCTCTATTTTGACTACTAATAGAAGTTCTATTGAATGTTAAATTCTTTTGTTCCAAAAAATTTCTATATGATGAAACTGGACGTTGTACGTTAATATCACCATTGTCCCAAATTGTTTGAGGTGAAAAAGGTTTGCTCTCTTTTCGCCGTAAAGCATATGGACTATAAGGTACATAATTAGCTATATTATCGCTGAATGAGCGTTGATGATTAGGTAAACAAGTCATATCTTGTGAATCAATAGTAACGCTACTTGAATGAGATGTTTCACTTTTTCCTTTCAAACTCACAGTTTGTTTCAAAGAGATATGACCAGTTGGCCGATGTGGTCCTCCTGGTACCCTAGAAGAACAACAAAAATAAAATTTAACATTTAGTTTAAACGGACATTAACCATAAATCAAATTATCTGAACTTTGATTTGATTTTTAGATCTGCTCCTTTCATTTAAATATTTAGATTTATATTGTATGCATAGGAATTTATAATGCATTCCTTGCACAAAAATAAAAAAAGTATTTAAAAATTAATAAAAATATGTGAAAAACAAATGATTAATTCCTAGTCAAGAAAAAAGAAAAAATACTACTCTACTACTTACTACATCGATGGGTTTCATGTTATATTTATTTCCAAATACCTTCAAAAATGTTTATTTTAATTATTTTCCCCTGCATTAAAGTTCATATTCTCAGAAAAATAGTTAAACGTATATTTTTTTATTTTAGTAAAAAATTAAAAGTGCTATACCTACGTCCCACAAATTAAGAAAACATTAAGGTCTAAAAAATTTGAAAATTTTCTTTTAAATAGCAATTACATGATGTCAAATGACTTCTAATTTATTCTTCTTACAAAGTTTTTTTTAAATATCCACAAAAATAGGCCTTCCAATGTGGTGTCCTCCCCTAATTAGTGTTTATAATGGTGACGACATTAATGAGGTTAGGTGTAGTCAATGACGACTCATAATTTAAACCTTCGAAAGAAGATATATTTTTAACAAAACAAAATAATAACAAAAAGTTGTACAAAAGAATAATAATAAAATAAGAGAATGAATACAAGGCAAAAAATGTAGAAGAAACAAGAAAATATAAAAACTGAATATAATGCAAATAGAAAAATAGAAAACTACACAAAATATCAATGTGAAAATCTAGAAAATCTATCTAATATTCGCTGATGAAGAATTTGATTATAACAAAAACAGAAAAATAATAAGCAACAGTGAATTTTTCACCGATCTTGAAGCGCGGTTTCTCCTACGCTGGTCCTGCTCGCCTTTAATCTGAAAGAACAGATTTTATTTGAATTAAGTTCTAACAATTATATTGTAGGCCAAATAACGCTTCACATCGGGAAGAATATAGATATTGAAATCCATTCGATATTCATGCCTGACGAGAAGTTAGTGCGAATTGAATAGTATTACAGGTTGCATCTCCACCCGAGAAGCCCCTCGAGAAAGGAAATTTACTTGATGCATCATCTCTGTTGAGAGAGTAGCTCCTCTACTTGGCAGGGATCGTTCGCGATGTTAACCCTCTGCCTACGCTGACTTATCCCCACTCTAGCGCTTTTGAATGTATTTCCCATAGTCCCCACCAGGCGACCGAATTGTCGTTTTTTGTCGATAACGGTCACTTGCGTAGGCAGAGGGTTAAAATCGTGTGCACGTGTATTTGAGAATCTGAGCGAAAAGATAGGAAAGAAGACGAAGGGTATTATTTAGTCGAGAAAGTTCCCAGACCTGGTACATTCTCAGGAAGTCGAAAGGACTGTTGGACGTTGTAGCTCCTGCAGATCATATACCCTAACAAAGAAGGCATAAGGGATCGAAGAATAGAACGAAAGTGTAAAACGATTTGCTGTCGGTTGTCTTGAGAAGCTTCTCGAAGCCGGTCGAGGGCGAACTGAGTAAATTGTCAGTGCAACAAAGTACGAAAAGAATGCTCGTAGCTCGAGAGAGGCTATGGTTCGTTCTTCTTCAATATAAATTGAATCATGAAAGAAGAAGTTTAAAATGTTCTTCGAATGTTTCCTTGGTTACAAAGATGTAATCGAAGTATGAAAATAAATTAGATATTAGTTCAACTGGAATTACTAGGTTGATAATTCGTTAGAATGTTGCAGGTGCTGAGTGTAGTTCAAAAGGCATGACTATTGCTTCATGATTGATCTTTTCCGAGAGACTTATTCAATCCAGAGGGGCTAGGCCCGTGCGCAGGATTTTCTTCTGGAGGGTTCAAACATGTTTAAAAGCTTGAATAACTTTTATCTTTTTAAAATATTTCAATAGAAAAACATAGTGGCTACCCCAGATAGACAAAATTTTTGGAAATTGATAAAAATCGGCTTAAAATCGATAATGCCAGAAACCAAATTTCAAAAACATGACAACAATAATCTTATTGAAATTACAAAAAATTACGTTTAGTTTATTTCATATAACAATTATAATTTATACATAATATGCACTTCTTATTAATTATTTAAAATCAAATTTTCCGCCACAAATTTTTGATCCTATAGAGTTTAATTGATTTTATTTAATTTATTGTAAGTGTATAATTAAAAAGAATCACACTTCCTTGAGCTTTTCCCAGACTGCAGACTAAATTCCCTGTCTTTTCCGGATTTTTAAGATTCCCTGTCTATTTACGGTTTTCCAGATGGCTCGCCACCCTGCAAAAATCACATAAACTTTGTTTGACGCTCGTTACTCGGGTGTTTTCAAGGGTGCTGATTATGAATCCAATTTCAGTTTTCCAAAATTAAATGTGGGGGGCAAATTATAAAATAAATGTTAAATTTTTATGAAATTCAATAACTACTCATGTTTATAGTTTCGAGGCGCATGATTATTCCTCAAATGTCATTTGACCGAAATAATATAACAGTTCTTTAAATGCCACTTCGGTCAAATGACATTTGGGGAATAACCTTGCGTCTCTATAGTTTCTAATACATAAAAATTTTCAGCGATACCGTAAGTAATTTGTAAATAACTTGTTTAAAGCAAAGTAAGTAAACTTGGAATGATATTCTCTCAAATATTGAATCCTCCATCTTGAATTTTAAAAAACTGACTTCGGATTCATAATCAGCGGCTCTGAAAACCTCCGAATAACGAGTTTCATGTATATTCTATGCGATTTTTAAAAATTCCTTAGCCATATTATATCCGCCATTTTGAATTTTGAAAAACTTATATATCGGAATTGTAATCAGCGATCTTAAAAAGCACCGAGTAACGAAAGTTATAGTAATCCAAACATTATTTTGTGAGTTATTGTTAATTAGTATTTCACGACCTGAATCTCATGGTTAATTTGTTTACAAACAGCTGTAAAATTTGTAATTATTAACTGACTCTTTCAGACAACTTTTATAGTACTATTAACTCGAATTTAAAACACTTTTTAGAACCTAAACACAAAAAAAACATTGTGTGCCGAAATTTTCTTCCTTGGTTTGTAGAACACCCATATGGGGCATTATTTCTCAAACGTCCCAGCCAGAAATTAGAAGTCTTGGGATTGGCTTGATACTTTGCAGTTGAACGACACAAATATCATTGTTTTATCTTCATCGTCAATTAATAATAATATATGATAATTCTGATAACCCAGCTCCTTGGATTCGAAGCAGGACTCGCCCACAGATCATTACTCCGCAAACTTCTCAGCCAGCAAACCGACAACAACGACCAGAGCCGGCTTCACGACGAGCTGTTGCAGCAATACCTGTACAGCTTAGAGGAACTGCTCGACAACGTTTGAGGAGAGTCATGAGAATGATGCGATAAATTTTTTACATCATTCACTATATTCAGTTTTTTTCATTAATCATGTTTTTTTGTTTTGCTTGCACTGTATTGTATTTTTTCGGTGTATGGTGTAAATAAGATAACCCATCAGATCAGCGATTTCAAGGTGGCATAAGTCAATGTTGCAACTTAGTCACTAATATCTATAACTGTTAGTAAATATTTGAAACACTTATTTACTTTTGACTAAGGTATCATTTCTACTAAATATGCTTGCCATGGCTCATCAATATCACGCATTTCAACTCGACGGAGATGATAATTTTTATAGCCTGAGTATGCAGTTCATTCACTATTGTTAATGTTTTGTTGCTCACTCTCGAGAGCCCTCAAGCGGATATCCAATTCACTAATAATTTTAATATGACAAGTCTTCATTTATATCTTTTTCAAAAATTTTAAGTTTTGCTGCAATAGCCATCAAGGATCTTTAGAAACAAGTTGTTATTGTCTACCTTTGATCTAAGTGATGCACTCGCTTTCTAGAATAAACGCACTTCCTCTTTTATCATATGGCGTACAAGTTTTAAATTGACTGCATCGTTCTCTTCTTCAGCGCAAGCAAGATTACAGATGTTTCTACCTTCAACGACGAAGTAACCTTGAGAATTGAGTTTAAAACAAATTCCAGATGGACCAGAAGGTTCCTTTAGCTTCATGTAGTTCAATAATGGACATAATTTCAATATTGTGACTATGATTTCCAGCAGCTTGAGAAGCCATCAAACGCCTGAGATGGTCAACCAACTCATTTGGATCATCTTAATAGATATATTTTCGGTGAAAATTAATTTTTGTAATAATTTTAGGTATTGATCTACCACTTACAGATGGCTGTTTGGTCGGTGGTCGGGGGAAGAATTGAGATATAAAATCAAAATACTTGTAGCTTTTATCCATACGGATAGATTCAGAGAAACTATATTTCTTTTTGTGTGCATTAGTAGCAATAAGAATCCCTATATAAATAATGAATGAATCCCTTTCACACATTTTCAGCAGCTTCTGTTACCCATTTAACTTACGATGTTTTCGCCTAAATGCCTCACTAGCTTTAGCAATTTGATGAAGATATTATTTTTTTTATGAAACGTTTTATTATTACAAGGTTTCATATTAAACTAACAACATTTTTAAAGATGACCATAAGCTGTCAAATCCTTTCCTATATCTTTCATCATTTAAATCAGAATCCTTATCAATTACTACAAAGCCATACTTGTCTGAATTCCAACATGTTGATCATAGTTCTCGAAATTGATTAAATGTCATGTCAGTATTTACGTGATCATCATACACTTGTCCTAAATTTTTCTCATCTTGACGAAAAAGAACTAATAAATTAACATTATCACGCACTAAATGTGAAGGAATGCGGGCACACTAAATGGTAAATACCCTACTCCATCAGCATTACTTACAACTTGTTCCAAGAATTCATACTTGAGTTGATGCAGAGGTTTTGAGTATAAGTAAATATTATCAAATCTAACATCATTAGGGTGTAAAATTAGAGAAATATAATTAAAAATATGTGAAAATTAAAAATATTCTTATTATTTAAAAGGCGAATTTTAAATAAATAAAATATACCTATAATTTAAAACCTTCAACACGAAAAGTGAAAAAACAAGAAAACATTATTGGTTTTTAATATTTGTAACAAACCTTGGATCAAGTTGACTCATAACTTCGCTGAACCACTGATATTCTGCTGTTGAATTCGTAACATTAGTTTCTTCTTCCTGCGTGAAGTCGTGTTTTTTAATAAAAGGATGTTCCATAAGTTTGTGATACTTTGGTCTATGTTTATAATTTTTGGTAAGGCAACAATTAACAAAATTTCTGAATTCCTTTGAAAATGAAGTATCGAGTGGAAGAGATGGAGGATCATCTTGAACCACCCTACTTAATACCTAAAAAAATATTTTATTAATGACCACATTTAATTATAGACTTGAATTTGTTTTATTTTAAATTATTTAAATAACAAATATATTACAATATAAATAAGTTTTAGTATAAAATAATTTAAATTGAATAATTTACCTCGAAATCAGTCTTGCAGTCACGATAAGGAAATACTCCAGTTGCTAATTCTACTAAGGTTATACCCAAGCTCCATACATCAGCTCTTATGTCATAATCTGGCTTTGTTGGATCTGGTGGATCTATTCTTTCAGGCTAAGCAGAATGTTAAGAAACATTAACATCTTTTATACAAGTTGACGCAAGTTATAAAATGTCGTTCATTTTGTAATGGATCTAATAAAATTAATAGATACTTACCGCCATGTAAGCTGCACATCCAGCACTTCTAGTTTTTGCTTTGCTATCTACTAAACGACCAGATATTCCAAAATCACAGAGTTTGACGCCTCCTTCATCATCCAAAAGAATATTACTAGGTTTCACATCCCTATGAATTACACCGTGTTTTTCCTTCAGATAAGATAATGCCTTCACAGTCTATTAGATAAAAATAATTAACGTTAATATTGATTTTGCGGATCTTAGTATGTTTACGCGAAAAATGATATCAATATCCGAATATAATTAATAATTCATTAAATTTATTAAAACTTTTTATGTCCTTAAAGTGCCAAATTGTTAAGAAATTAAAATACTTACTGAAACAGTTACTTTTCCTAGAAAACATTCTGGTATTGCTTGTCTACCGTTTTTGAGAAGTTTATCTAAGCAAGTAGTCATAAGTTCCATGCAAATCCAGACATCAGATTCTGTAATAAAACATCCGAGGCACTGCACTATGAAGGGACAATCATGTGACTTTAAAACAACATCAAGATCCATAATAATTCTCTTGTTTTCTTCGGCATTTCCAGAACGACGCATTTGTTTCACAGCTATTACAACACCACTAGGTTTATGCTTCATTTTCACTACGTGACCACACGTTCCATTACCTAGTTCTCCTAAATGCTCCAGATCTCTCATTTCTGTTTGGTATTTTCGTCCATTTATGTTTAAATTACCATTCATTTTCATAATTTCTTGTAGCTTCAATTCAAATTCACTATCATACATCTTTGGCGGTAGCATTTGTAAGACTGGTAAATCCAACACCCTTCTAATCCGTGTTGGTGTGCCCATTTCTCCAACTAAGTAGAAAAGATAATTGAAAATTTTTACTTTTTAACGACTGAGTTTTTTTACCGTAATAAGGTAAAGGAGCTTCTACAATAGTTTTCGAATGCATTTCTTTAGACATAATAATTGATAATGTTAAAGAAGATCCTCAGAGAGTCTGGGTCTTCATTATGACAAAAATATCGATAAAATCGTAGGGTTGGAGGACTGGGGAACTGTAAGATCGCAAAAATACGCAGACGAAGGGTTAGTTTTTATGATAAGGGTTGTAGAAACTGGAGACATTTTGCCTTTGTCCTTCAATTTTTGTTCTTAACAAATTACGCGTTCACAATTATTAAATTGCATTGAAGAAACAATCAAAGTCGTGACAGATGCTGCTTTCGACATTGTTGCGACTGTATGCGATGGAGGAACAAACAACCAAGCTGAAATTTTGACACTTCTGGAAGACACTAAAAAATTAATGGGCGAAGAATGTTCTACAACGTAAGTACATGTTGTTATAAATATAGTTTTATTTGATATGGTATGATTAAAAAATCCATGCCTATTTTTAGATTTACAATTTATAAAATATTTATTTCAGATGGAAAATTTATCAATACATTGGGTACTTCAAGACACTTGTCATCAATAATAGGACGCGAATTCATTTGAATGCTGCAAACTGTAAAGATGACGAAGGAAATTTTATTTTTGACTGGAAAAATTATTTTACTTTTTCTGAAAACGAAGAATCACATAAACCGCAGATAATTTCTTCAAGTAACGTTAACATTGTTCCTACTTTTGATTACATTCCCGAAAAGAGTACTACGTCAACTGCAACCATTTCTATTCCTCATTTTTTATATTTTGAAAATTCTAAATTAACTTTATCTAAGTAACTTAAATTCATTATTTGTTGAATATTATGAAAAAAGTGTTTACGATTTGTGCTCAAAATTTAATTATTTCGTTGAAATTAATGAGAACCTGAACCGATATAAACAAAATGTTGAAGATTATAAGATTTTGAAAAAAGCTATCTGAAAGTAATGTTTTATGTTTGGAATTTTATTTCGGGCAAAATTTAGCCCTATCCAAACTACCAGTCTCAGATCAGTTTTACAAAAGGTTAATTTGGCTGCACATTTCTGATGTCAATGTTTTGGGTGAGCAAAAGCGAAGCTACATGTATAATTTTTTAGAAGGAAATTTAAAAAAGGGGTGAAAACTGTATGCAATTTTATTTTTGACTCCATCCAAATATTTAAAAGTTATGAAGCACCACTTAACAGTATAGATTAACTTTGGATATTAAATTGACAATTTGATAAAAATGGATCGAGCTCCTTCGATTGGAATTAGAAAAGAAAAAATTTAAAATGTTCAGTCTTTACTTCAGTACACGAGTGACGAGTCACAAAGTGAAGAATATTTTTAATGATTTAATAGGAAAGTCTTGAATCGAATCAATGAAATGTAATTTAAAGAAACAACATTCATTGAAAAGGCTGTGAAAATCTATAGAACAACTTTATTACCTAATTATTGGTTTAAAAACTTATTAACACTTTAAAAGTTATTGTTTTAAAAATTCAATTATTTTATTGTTATCTAAATGCATAATACGTAGAAAAATAATATTTGTTTTAGTCAAGTAAAACTTACCAATATTAAATATTGGGTGCAATTAGAAAAAATTTAAAAATTAAATACTTTTAAAAAAATGATTCAATTACAAATGCTGTCTTCATGAATAATACATAATTATAAATATGTTAATAAGATTATTGACAAAGATTAAAAATATTTTAAAAAACCTTTAAAGCAAGGTTGCCACAAAACATCGATAAAATTTTGTGACTTTTCCATGTTTTCCAGGCCATTTATTAAAAAATTCTTCATACTTAATTCAAATAGAAAAATAATTTTAAGTGATTTTGTTTAATTAAAATTAGTTTGTAAGCTTAATCTCAATATGTAGAAAAAATTTACTGTTTTGATTCAAAAATGTTATGTTTAAATAATTATGTTTAATTTAAATATATTTCCTGTGTGGATTTAAACAAAAATTATGTTTAAAAATTTTTTGTTTGATTCAAACTTAAAAGTTGATTATAAATAATTTAAAATCTACCACAACTTATGTTTGAATTAAATATAATTATTATTTCTTTAAATGACCAAAAAAATATGTTCGAATTAAACTTTAATATGTTTGACTGTATAGCAAAGATATTTTAAGTTTGATTTAAACAAAATTTGCTTGAATGAAAAAAATCGTTTTCTCAGTGTAAGTTATTAATTTTATAAATAATTAAAATTTAAGTTAAAATTGGCGAGATTATTTGTAATACGCTCTGAAGAAAGGTACCTACCTTAGATAAGGAAATCGCTTTAAGGTTATGTTTGTGTTAATTTTGTAATAATTAAGAATTTAGTAAAGTAAGTTAGTTTGTAAGTTTTTGTATTAATATAAGATTTTTTAAATTGATCCTCAAACATATCAAGGAGGGTAAATAAATAAAATAAAAAAATTCTTTCTATTCCTAACAATAATTGAACTTTCCAAATAAAAATTTCCCTTTTTTAAATTTTAAAAAATAACATTTTTGATAACATTTTATTATTAATTTTTATAATATTTTTTGTAACTTTAATAATTTTGAATCTCAAATTATTTAATTTTTGCATAGAATTTTATTAAATATTTTAGAAAATAATTTGTTTTTAAGAATTTTATTCCAAACTTTGTGAAAATAATTTAATTTTTTTTAATTGAAAATAACTGACTGTATGTATAAAAATAATTGAATTTTTGCAAGTTTTATTCGACGAATTTTGTTAAAATTATATGAAAATAATTCAATTCTTATAAAGAATTTTAATAAAATTTATTAAAAAAAATTGAATTCTTTGGAGAAATTTTATTTAAATTATATTGAAAATAATTGAATTCTTTAGATAAATGTTATTTAAATTGTATTGAAAATATTTACAAATGCAAAAGAAACTTGATTATTGTTCATATAATTATTGTTAACAACAATAATTAAAAAAAAAGAAGGTAAAAGTATATTCATGTCTATCAATAAACATAGACAACATGAAAATCCAAAGACAATATTTTTTCTAATTGTTATTTTTACTTATTTTTACCAAATACTTATCATAATTCAATTATTTAAATACAAAAATAAATAATTAATTATTCGTGTAAATTGCAACTGTACTTTATTGATTTTTTTTAAATTGGGGTTAAATCTTCATACTCCACTTATTTTATTATTTACAAATTAACTGTCAAACTTTTGACATAACAATTCGAACTATAAAGCAAAAGATAGGAATAAAACAACACGAACTTCACGTGAGGACAGATTATGTCGATTATTATAATCTAATTAATAATTCTATAGAAGTTTGTTATTTTTTCAGTACATTTGATAAAATTCTCTGTTTCTCACGTCCTGTGTCAACTCTGATCAATAAAATACTTGGAATTAATTAAAATTTTATACAAAAATAATATCTTCCAGGTGTAGAAATAAATAAATATTCTAAACGACAAATATTTTTATTTCACTTTTAGTAATTTAATGTTTTTCCAAAAATGTTAAATCAGAATTATTTTATCAATTTCTCGAATTTTATCCTGACGACCATAACCTTACTACTATTTTAGAGTTCGGAAATTTTCATATAAGTTCAATTGTTATTTCTCTAAACTTTCCACAACAATCGTTACATGTCAAAGTTTCACTGTCAACTAGGAAAGTATATTAATAATTAACGAAATTTTGACAATTTAAAAATAGTAAAACTCCACTAAAAATATATTCTATTTATTGTATAGTGTAAATAACAAAACAGAATGACATAACCTATATTTGTTTGAGAAATAGTACAAAAGTGGATTTTCATAATGATTTTAAAACAAAAACAGTTAAACATTATCGGTCTAAGACAGAACTTACGTTGTCTAGGTCTTCGAGGAGCAGGGCTTGTAATCGAAACAGAGGATTTTTGCATACCAGTGCATGAAGTATTTTCATTTGATTGTCTATCTCCTTGTAGAGATTCATTTTCTACCCTAAGACGCTCTTGTAAGTTAAGAATTTTATTTTCTAATGTACTTGACATACTATCAACAAAATGTGCGAGTTCAAGATTTCAATCAGTCGCACAAAATATCTCATAACAAAAATAACATCACATAACTTTTTTTTTTAATTAAAAAGGAAGAACTGCGCTCTAAAGTCAGACCATTACACCCTGACAAGTTATATAGAGTCAGTCAGTGGTAAGGAGGAGATAGGATTTCGATATATTTTTTTATAACCCCTTCGATACTCGAAAGTCGATTTAATTTTTTATTTTCAAAAATAGTTTATCCTTCTCTAACTCTTTACTATTAAGGTCTTTCTACAATACGATCGTTCGCGAAAGCTAAACATGAGTTAGAAAAGGACAGAAATATATTTGTGTTCTTTTCTATCTCAAAGGTCTCGTCCGCGAACGACTTTCGCGAACCAATTGTGCATTGGACTTTAGAATCCTAGTGAAGAAAAACCTTTAGGATTCTTTGTTCTCTCCACATGACCAGCCCTGGTTATATGTATGTGTTACTTTTGTGTGTGTGCATGAGACGGCATCATTATTTATATTGGAGAAAAGTAAAGTCATTTAGTTTGAAAATTAAGTAGTTAAATATTTGAAATATTTAAAAATGTCATCACGCTACGATAGAGCGATTACTGTCTTTTCTCCAGATGGCCATTTACTTCAAGTAGAATACGCTCAGGAAGCAGTACGAAAAGGTTCTACCGCTGTAAGTATAATTTTATATGGTTTAACCTCAAAAGAATTTTTAAGTCCGAATTAAAAACAAGTTGTTCATTTCATGATCATTTAGCTTCCTCATTATGATAAACAAATTTCCTCTTGAGAAAGAAAAAAATGCTCATCATGTGAATATAATCTTCAAATTGTTTTACAAATATTGGGTGAAATTTAAATATTATACATGCCAATTACTTTATTTTTACGGAGCTATTCCATTATATTTCGACTAAAGTGGTTGCCGACTACTTTTAAAAAATATTAATACTTGCAGGAATAATTTTAAAAGTATTAGCATTAAGAAATGAAAATAATTTTTTAAAAAATTTTATTGATTGTAAAATAAGCATTTAAAGTATATGAGGTGCTAAAAACTGTCACTTCTTCAATATAATAGAAAATATTAAATATAACACATAATTTTCTATGTGAGAGTAAACAAATTGGAATTTATTAAGAATGACTTAATTTATTAATGTAAATTGATAGAAACAATTAAAGATAAGAAGTAGTAAATAAAAGACGATTTTAAAGTTCACTTGTCAACTGTTTATGATTTAAATAATATAACGTAAGAATTTTATAAATATTAAAGTTGTTCATCCAACAGAATTTTTAACAACAACTGATTACAAAAATTCAATTGTTTTCAAAAAATTTAATAAAATTCTTGGAAAAATTTCAATTATTTTCAAAAACTTTTCTCATTTGAATTATTTTTAATATCTACTATTTTAATAAAATATTCCAAAAGAATTCAATTATTTAAACAAAATTTTAATAAAAATTTCATAGGAATTTAATTACCAATTTTTTATCAATTTCTTCACACCAATTCAATTATTTTTAATTTTTTAATGAAATTTCTCGAAATAATTCAAATATATTCAAAGAATTGAAAAAAAATAGTTTTGAGAAATTCAATTATTTCAAAAAATTTGAATAAAAATCTTTTAAAAATTCTATTATTTAAAAAAATTTTGACAAAATTCTTTACAAAATTTAGTTAATAAAATTGCAATGTAAATACAATTCAATTATTTTTAATACAATTCTTCTTAAAAATTCAATTATTTTCACAAATAATACATTTTTTTATGGGAATTCAATTATTTTATTATTTAAAAAGATTTGAATAAAATTCTTCGCAAGAAATTAATGATTTTCATAAATAACACAATTTTTCTCGAGAATTCAATTATTTTAACAAATTTTGATAAAATGCTCTATAAATTTGAACAATTATAATAATATTGATCATAGAATACAATTATTTTCATAAAATATTACATTCTCTCAAGGAATTACAATTATTGTCAAAAATATTTGTAAAAATCTTCGAAACAATTCATTTATTTTCATAAAAAATAAAATTCTTTGAAGCAATTCAATTATTTAAGAAATTTTCATAAAATTCTTCCCAAGAATTGAATTTTTTTCAAAAATAAAATTTTTTATTGGAATTCAACTATTTAAAAGAAAATTTAATAAAATTCTTCGACAGATTTTAATTTTTTCAATTTTTTAATGAAATTTCTAAATGCAATTTAATTATTTTCAAAAAGTTTTTAAAAATTCTGAAAAATTCAATTATTTCAAAAAATTTGAATAAAATTCTTCACATGAAATTAATTATTTTCATAAATAATAATATTTTTCTCCGGAATTCAATTATTTTCACAAAAGAAATTCTTCACATGAATTTAATTCTTTAAAAAAAAAGTTGTAATAAAATTCGTTGCAAGAATTCAATTATTTTTATAAAGAACAAAACTTATCGCAAAATTTCAATTATTTTTTACACAATTTTAAATAAAATGATAGAAAATTGCATTTATTCTTAAATTTTTTTTAAGATTCGCCGAAAGAATTCAATTATTTTTAAAAATTTTGATAAAATTTTTCATAAAAATTCAATTTTAGGAAATGTTTAATTATTTAATAAATTATTTATTTTTGTATAATTAAATAATTGAATTCTCGAAACATTTTCTTATAAAAATTGATTAAAAAAGGAATTTCACTTAAAATTTTAAATTATAATTGAATATTAAAAGCATTATAGCGTGAATTTTTAGAAATAATTGAATTTTGAAAAGAGTTTAAATTAAAATCTTTGAATATTTGAATCTATAGATTTCAGTATTCTTATGATATAAAATAATGATTTTATCACTCTGTCATCTTAAATTTATTATTGTAAAACATGAAGAAATCGATAACTCCGAGTCTTTGACTCGGAAAAATTTGAATTTCAGAAGGTTTGAATTTGAAAATTTTAATTTTTATGGAAAAATAATAATGATTAAATATTTATTTAAAAAAGAAGTTATTGATGAAATGGAATAATTTTACAATTAAAGCAATTCGTAAATAAATGTAATAGAACATTTTTTGAAATATCTAATAATTTTTGGAGTGAATCAGAATATTCTTCAGGGTTAGGGAAAAAGTCAAAATTTTTTCTGGAAAAACAAAATTAAATTTTTGTGGCAACCGTGATAAAATACATAATAATTTAATTTTTTTTAATTCATTGATATTCGTAGTTGTCTAAAGATTAAAATAAAAAAATTTTTATAAATACTTTTAACTTTTTTCATTTTATGCAACAATCTTCTTAATTTAATTTTCTAAATAATTGAAATAGGTTGGAGTTCGAGGGAAGGATGTCGTTGTTCTTGGAGTTGAAAAAAAATCTGTCGCCAAATTACAAGAAGAACGCACCGTCCGTAAAATATGCCTTTTGGATGATCACGCAGTTATGGCTTTTGCAGGTTATACTTTTTTATATCTCGTTAATTTATTAAGGCAGTGACAATTTTTCTAAAAAAAATATCTTGTGTTAAAATACGATTGACATTATTTTAAAAAAATTTAGGTTTGACTGCTGATGCAAGAGTACTTATAAACAGAGCTCAAATAGAATGCCAAAGTCACAAATTAACTGTTGAAGATCCAGCTACATTAGAATATATTACGAGGTATATCGCAGGTAAGACGAATTTTCATTGATAATTAATAAATCATACAAAAATTAAAACAAAAATTATTTAGAATTTTCTGAAATGTATTGTTGAATTTAACGATAGGTTTAAAGCAGAGATATACTCAAAGTAATGGAAGAAGACCGTTTGGAATTTCCTGTTTATTGGCTGGCTTTGATTATGATGGAGTTCCTCATTTATATCAAACAGAACCCTCTGGCATTTATTACGAATGGAAGGTAAAATATTTTATTATTATCTTTAGCAGTCAAATTATTTTAAATTATTTCAAAGTACTTGAATTTTTATTAACAATATCTTTCAAGTTTTTAAAGTAATCGTATTTTTTAATAATTATAATTGAAAACGTTTAAAATAATTAAATTAATATATGTGAGAAAATAAAAAATTCAAATAATTTAATAAATAATCCGCAATTTTAATTTTAAAGGCAAATGCCACTGGACGCAGCGCTAAAACTGTTCGTGAATTTTTGGAAAAATATTATACATCTGACGAAGTTGCAACTGAGAAAGGTACCATTAAATTAGCCATTAGAGCTCTGCTGGAAGTTGTTCAGTCTGGTCAAAAGAATCTAGAAATTGCAGTTATGCGCAGAGGTCAACCTTTACAGGTAAAACAATATTATTGTATTATTTTAAATTTAAATTTATTTTATTATTTTTAAACTATTTATAAATATCTGAAAAAATATTACATTTGCAGATGCTAGATGCTGACACAATTGGAGATTACGTCACTGAAATTGAAAAAGAAAAAGAAATTGAAGCAGAAAAGAAAAAACAGAAAAAATGAACATTTTTATTTTTATAATGCAATTATTCATATTGTTAATTTCTTATAATAAATGATAAATTTTGATTGAAGAAAATTAATAAATTAACTTTTTTGCAACTTTGTATACCAACAGTCAATCATTTTTTGTCAATTTAGTTTTTCGTGCATGTTATATTAGATACACATTTTTTCGTATTAGGCAAAAATAAAGATTTATTTCTTAAAATAATGAAATTTTTAATTATTGTTATTTATGTTTTGACAGAACAACGTGTAGTTGCAATTTTATTCCGCGTTCATTTCCTTTTTTATACTTAATAATTATATTGTTAATTTATTACACAATTCTTTTTATTATTTAAAAACTTTATATTTAAATAAAGTCTTTTTTACGGGTATAAGAAATATTAAAGTAGAAAAAAATTAAATACTTTGTATTCAATATTTATTTATTTAATGAATTAAAATTTGATTCATAAATATCAGATTTACAAGTTTAGGTATTTAATACAGTAGTAAATTATAAATAAGCGTATAACAAAATACTTGTAAAATTAAAAGCAGTGGTCTGGTGACATTGCTTTTCCTCTGTGATTGAATACTTGAAACGAAGGTAAGTTGCGCAAAGTTTCCCATGATTTGTTCTCCAAGTCTACAACAGCTCGGATTTCTTTGAAATCTCCTGCAATAAACATCACTCCGTACATAACGACAAAAAGACTGAAAATTCCTTGAATGATGATCTGCAAAAAAATTAAAAATATAAAATAAGTTGTGAAAGTTTATAAATTAAAAGAATATTTTATGATTTTAATTAATTTTAAAAAATTTTCCAATCGCAGAAGAAGATAAAGAGTTTGAAAATCTTTAAAAAGTGCGTGAAATGTACTTACATCTATAGGTAATGTTGTAAATTCTTGTTCAGTTATTCGCAGGTAAGAGCGGTCTGAAAAAATAAAAATTATTAAGAAACAAAATGTAATTCCTTAAATTTTACAATTTTCAGTTTATAATTTCCCTTACAATTTACTGCCATTAAAATTATTTTCCCTGCAAAAATTCTTTTTACAGGAAAATACGAAAGTTTACGGAAAATGAGTAGAATTTATAAATTTTAACAAGTTACAATCTATGAAAATAAGCCTCTTAATGTGGTTAATGTTTTTTCTTTTTTTTCAATTTTTTTTTTTTGTATTACATACTAAAAATAATTTTTTCATAACAAATCTTTTTAAAATTAAATAAAACAGTGGTGTAAAATTTGAATGTAGGATAAACAAAATAGAAGGGATTTTTAGTGGGTCCACGTGGACATTTGCATTGATCCCTCCCCCCTTCTTTTGACAGATGACGAGCTGAATATTAAATGTTAAAAAACAAAACCTTTGAATTTTGCTCTAAATATTAACATTTTGCATTGAAATTATTTAAAAAAAAGATTTAAGTAACTTTGCAATTAAATGTAATTTCTATTAAAATTATTAATTCAATAGTTTATTGTACTACCTATTTAATTTAATTTATTTATATTAAAATTTCATTAACTTACGTTGGGCTGCTGAATAAGCTGCATGTATAACAGATAAAAATCCTAGGAATATAATGATTTTGTGAGCTGATGTTACAACCATAATTATTGTTATTTATTAACTAGTTACAAGAAAATAATGTCTTCTTTGGATTATTAGAAATAAATTTCCTTTTGGTTAGTTTTGGTTATTGAAATTGTCTTTTGTATACTCTGCAAGTAAACAGATGATTAAAGGCCAACGCAGAATAGATCTGTAACCGGAACCGCAATCGTAACCGTAAGCGTAAGAATGAGTTAGAGAAGGATAAACAATATACCTATCCTTCTTTAACTCATTCTTACGGTTGCGCTTACGATTGCGGTTCCGGTTACAGATCTATCCTGCGTTGGCCTTAAGCAGTACAGTAGAACGTCTATAATAACAAGATTTTACGAAAGCGCCTAAAGGAGCGTTCATACGACTTTTGGAAAAACTATTCTTGTCTTTCTCTCTCCTATGACAGAGGCATAAGTTTATCTCACTCTACATTTTTTTTTACTTTTTTCAAAAACGGAAAATGTAGAGTGAGACAAACTTATGCCTCTGTCATAGAAGAGAGAAAGACAAGAATGTAGGCGTAAAAGCAGAAAACGTTAAACCCTAAGGGAGCATTTACACCTTCGGTAAAAATTTCCCGAACGGAAAATTTGTCATTGGAGTAAGAGAGACAGACTGTGTATCTGACTCTCTTACTCCAATGCAAATTTTCCTTTCTGGACAATTTTTACAGAAGGTGTAAACGCTCCATTAAAACCTTTTTTCAAATAGAAATCTTTTAAATAGAGAGTTCTTATTGGTTAAATCTTCAGGTTGAGTCCACAATAAGCACCTTGAACGCCGAACAGAACGTAATTGTAACGTAACAATGCAAAATATATTGTTTCGTTACGTTTACGTCCCGTTAAAAAGTGCTATTGTGGACTCAACCTTAACCCTAAACATTCTTCAACAAATTATTTTTTTCTGTTATAGACGCAGCCTTAATAATTAATATTTTGTTATTATTATTACATATCTTATCAACAATTTATTTTTTCACTCGCAAAATCAATAAGTAACGACAATAACACAACATTTTGGTATTTTTTAAGCATATTTTGCAAACACATAGGCCGCAGTCCCATGGCAGCGTTTTGCGTTGCGTTGTAATGAGAGAGAATGCAGCAAACGTATATTTGCGTCTTTTTCTCTCCCATTACGACGCAACGCAAAACGCTGTCATGGGACTCCACCCATAAGGTTGCTATCGCAACATTAAGCTGAAAATAGGCCTTGGCCTTTATCTGAACTTGTGTTATTGTGCTTAGGCCTTAAAACTTACCCGGCCTGATAAACTCGTGGTGTTTTGTAGTTGCATGTTTTTCTTGTCTACTTGTAAACAAAACAAAAGTCTCTAATGTTAATTTAGGCTTTTATGCAGAAAATAAATAATTTTGAATGCACAAAATAACTTTTTTTGTCGATGGATAAAATTGAATAGCTGGCAAAAGCAGACAAAAACAATAAGTATATATGAATTTTAAAATTCCTTATTTTAAAATTGTTTTTTATAACAATTCGACACTAAATTTAACCTTCTTAGTGTAAATTTTTAAAATAAAAAAATATTTTATATCATTTTAAAAAAATTTTTTAATTTTTACCAAAAGACTAAATTATTATTATTATTATTAGTAATTTTGAAAGCAAAATTTTCTAGTTTTATGATGGCGAAATAATTTTTTTTAAAAAGGCATACTACAGGTTGAATGAAAAAAAATATATATTAAATTTTTATTCTTGAATGACTCAAAGTACGAATCAAAGTTGAATTCAATTTACAACAAATAAAAGTTGATATTGTGTATTTTATTTTAATAAAGTTTAGCATTAAGCTGACGTCAAAGTTGATTTAATTTTATGTGCTCCGAGTGTTAAGTAGTCCCAATAATCGGGAATTTCTTCTTTTTAATGATATTAATTTTCTTTCATTTCAGAAGACTATACGGATCTTATTTTGAAATCTACTTTATTTTCAATCATTTCTAAATGTATTGTTTAAAGAAGAGAAAATGAATAAAGTTAATAATGGATTTATTGCTGTACATGTGGGTATGTAGAACGTATATTTACAAAAAAATTAACTTTGTGAATTAAGGAATTTTTTGATCAAGGATTTCAACAGTATTTATTGGAAAAAATTTATTTATTTCATATTTACATACAAGAAAATATTCTTAAATATAATTTTGATAATGATCAACCCCTTGTAAACCACCCCTTACCTATAAAACCAACCTCAAATTTTGTTTCAAAGAGTTAAAAATTTTTTCAAAGATTCTGCTAACTCCAAAAAGATGTATAAACATTTTTTTGTTGCTTTAAAATTTATAACAAAAGTTAAAAAAAGCTAAATTACAAAACTACCCCTAAACGTTTACATTTATCTTAATGTATATAAAAAATTTATTACATCTGGATTCTTAAAAACTGTATACACGCTTAATAATTTTAGAAATTCTTCACTCAGGGCTTAAAAAATAATCTTAAAGTTAAATTCTTATTCATTTATTTAATTTAATAATAATTGATAAGACTTATAAGGAAACATTTAATTTAAAAAAAAATTAAATAATTTTGTATTAAATTGTATTAAATTAAATACAATAATTAGATAAATTTTAATAATTGACCTTAATGTAAAAGATATTATTTATTAGTAAACTATCATTAGTTTAAGAATGTTATTATTTTTTAGGTGCAGGACAGCATTCAGATAGACTTAAAGATAAATATATTAATTTGTGCAAAGAAGCTTGTAGAAAGGTATGTATTTGCTGTTTATAAATTTCAATTAAACATATACATAATAATACATAACTGTAAGAATGTGATGTAATGATTACTATGTGAAATGTAACAATTTTTTTGACTGGTAGTGCAAAAATAATTTAATGTTATTAATTATTCTTATTAACAATTTAATAAGAATAGCCACTGTTTCAATATTCCACAAATTACCGCAGTTAAAGATAACCATCGAGTTTGAGATGGATGAAGAAGTTTGTGTCTTTTTAAATCTAAAAGCACTTGAAATTCTTTTAAAACACTCTTTGAGTAGATTCATACTCATGTCCACACTGTGGGCATCCTTAGTTGACTAAATAGAGAATTTGTAAAAGCTTATTTGCATTTGAAATTAAACCATAAGAATACTTATATATTATTGTCTTCTTTATATCCCTTTCTGTAACCCAGCTTATATGAAACACGATTGAATCGACAGCTTGAAAAATAAGCTGGTAAAGGGGGATTTACTACCAAAATTTTAATTAAGTTCCATATTATTTTAGTAATATAATTCTTAAATTGTTTATAACAAAGGATTTGCTAGCGCGTAGTAAATCGAGTATTTCTCAAATTTTTTTATCATAATAAGAAAAGTTGTCTCTACTTTCAAAAGGTCCGTCTAGATATTACGTATCGCTAATTTTTGAAAATTTTGTCTCCCCCCCCTTATATTCAAAAAGTTATAATTCTTTTTTTAATAGGGAATAGAAAAATTACATGAAGGTGGTGGGCCCTTGGAAGCAGTAGTTGATGCGACTGTTATTTTAGAAAACTCTGAATTGACTAATGCTGGTTATGGATCAAATTTAACTTTTGATGGAAAAGTTGAATGCGATGCTAGTGTCATGGACGGATCTAATCTACACTTTGGAGCTGTTGGAGCTGTTAGTGGAATCAAGAATCCAATTGTTGTTGCAAAACAGCTTTGTGAACGTCAACGTCTTAATATTTCACATGGGAGAATTCCACCTAGGTAAAACTAAATTTAATTGTAGACCGCTTACTATTGATCATGAATATTACTAAATAATTTTCAGTGTACATGATTATGAATCTTAAGTCAGTTTCCAAAATTAAAAAAGTCAGATCTGATGAATTTAAAAAAATATTCCTGCACAAAAAATATCAGTATTTATTGCGGATGATAAAAATTCATTCGGGAATCAAAATGGTACCCGACCATGCAAAAAATTATATTACATTTTTCCATGTTTCAGCTTTTTAGTTGGGTCTGGAGCTAAAACGTGGGCTGATGAATTAGGAATCGAAACAATACCACCAAACGACTTAATATCAGGTAAAACTTAATTGTTAAATAAATTGTCTGTTCAAAATATACTTATGGAGGAATACAAGAATTTTTGTTTTAATCAAAACCAATTATCTAATTAATTTGTTTAATTATATTATCTGTAAATTTGAAATTTATGGATATTATTTTGGTAAATGTACCCATCATGGCTTATTTTGTTTTAGTAAAAGCTGAGAAAGTTTACAAGCATTACAAAAGAAAAGTGGAAAATCATAGTTCCGAAATAGAAAGGGTAAATTTAAAGTTTTTATAAATAAAATTTAATTAGAATTACTTTCATTACAAATTTACAACACATGGCTGCAAAGATCGGTTTTTAGAAAAGTCGATGATAAAAGTTTGAAGAAAATTTATTGATTTTTTAGAAAGTATAGCAACCGGAGAATATCCTTAAAAGTCAAGAAACATTAACTTCATGTACCAGTATAATTTATATATTAATGCATTTAAATATATTACTTTGTATGATTCTTATAAATTTTAGATTACCAAGAAAAGATTGGATACTGTAGGTGCTGTTTGTGTAGACGAATCGGGTAATATCGCATCAGCTTGTTCAAGTGGAGGAATAATTCTAAAACATTCCGGAAGAGTAGGTCAGGTAAATTGCTTAATATAACCTTGACAAAAGCTAGCCAAAGAATATTTCTATCAGCATCTAACAGATTTTGATTTAAACCAGGCTGGGGTATGGGGTTGTGGTGCGTGGGCTGAGAAAGGCAAAAATTCTGTTGGAGTTAGTACATCTGGTTGTGGAGAACATCTAATAAAAACAACATTAGCCCGCACTATTGCAGATGCAATTTCAAATACTGAGTGCCCTATAACAAGTTTTCATGCATCTATGAAAAATGATTTTCTAGGTAAGTTAATATCTTGATAAAATAATTTCCAACAAAATTTGATGTGACTCTTTTATTTAGAATTGACAAAAAATTTTATTGTTGAAAAAGTACTATAGCCCAGGTTTACAATTTTGGATCAAGTTTTGAACCCAAAAAGACAACAACTTTTTTTACCGTATTTTTTAAGCTAAATACAAATCCGTTGCTAGATTTTCCATAGTATTATAATTCATAATTATTTATAATTGACTTTAATTCCATTTATATTATTTAAATAATTCTAGATTCTAAATTCTTATCAGCCTTGGAACAAAAAATGGGTGGTGCAATTGCTATAAGATACATGTCGGAAGAAAAAATAGGAGATTTACTTTGGAGTCACTCTACTAATACTATGATTATAGGCTACATGAACTCAACAGAGAAAACAGCAGTAGTAAGTCTCATCGTTACCAAACCCGACTCTTCAATGACCGGCTCTACAAATTCCAATTTTGCATAATATGACAATTAGAAAAATTCGACTCTTTAAAGACCGAATTTACATTACCAAAAAGAGATTCGAGAAAAATATTTAACACAAATTAACTTCCTAAAAAATTAATCTAATCTACTATTTTCTAATGAAATTTAATGAAATTTTTTTAATTCTAGAGTCATATGTCAACATTGCCAGAAGCAGTTGTTGGTGAAAAAGCAGTAGTTGAAGGAATATGTTTTAGACTGTCTCCTGGTCAAGAAATTTCAAAATCCTCCTAGAGAAATCATCAACTGAAAGATCTCCCTGATCGGTTTTATATTACTTTCGAATTACTCGTGTAAATATTGAAAAACGTCGGTAAACTTTTATCCGATATTTTTACGATGAGAACAAATATAATGAAACAATTAATTAATAAAATCAAATTTCAGACTGATCGAGTATGTCTTTATTTGATTACCTAACCCTTTATTAACCCTCTGCCTACGCAAGTGACCGTTATCTGAAAATTTAATTTAAATTAAAAAATTAAATTTATTTAATTTAAATTTATTCTGTAAATATAAAAGTGAATTCTATTTTACGTAAGACTTATACAGTTTCAATTCAACTCTAATTGAAATAAAATTGTTGTCAACACATATGGTTTAAATGTTTCAAAGTAAACAATGTTATAAAGTTAACGCATTTTGCATTTGAAATAAAATAGTAAAAATAATAATCAGGTTATAATACCTGATTAAAATAAATAAACAGGTTATAATAATTATAAACAGTTTAAAAAAATATAGGTAGAAAAATAACTTTTATTTAAAATTATATGTACATTCTTGTGTTAAAAGATGTTTTTAAAAATTCATTTCATATTGGGTATGTTTAATCATCTGTCAGACCTTCTGTGTTCGGTAGACTTTTTTTCTGGTACTTTTGGCACCTTATAGTTCGCAACATGATCCACTCGAATTGTTCTTCCTAAAATCTAAATTAGATTTTATTATTTATTATATCCGTTTAGAGTATGAAATTTAGAAAAAGTATTAAAATTCATCTATTAATCAGAAATTAACGCAATTAAATTAAATCAGAAAGAAGTAGAATATCATACTCACTTTAATACTATTTAAATTATCAACGGCTAATATTGTACTTCTTTGGTCTTCATAACAAAGAAACCCATAACCCTTTTGTTTTCCAGTTATTTTATCCCGTACAAGGTTAATATTAACAATTTTTCCATACCTTTAAAAAATAAAATTAATAATTTTTAATGTAATTGGTAATTTATAATGTCCTTTAATTCATAGGAATATTTTGAAGACTTTACAATATTATATACTTAGAATTGAATTGAGACTATATTTTTTCAAGTTCTGAATTCAGTAGAACTTAGTCATAAAGATAAAACAATGAGACCTATTGCACATTATAAAAATTGAAATAAGTAGCATTTTATAATAAATTATAAGTAAATACAAAAATACTTACTGAGAAAATACAGCGACTATATCCCCTTCAGTTAAATTATATGGGAGCCCACCTACAAAAACCCAGGCACTGTCTTTGTACTGCTCATGCCAAGAAGTTTTCAAATTTCCATCTAGTTCTTGTTGTCCAAGTTTCGCAATATTTTTAACATTTCTAAAACATATTTTTCAAATAAGGTTGTAAAACCTTAAAAAACTTGAAATAATTTTTAAAAAAATGCAATTAAACTTTTTCTAAAAAATTAATTCTACAGAATTAATATTAATAATCGAAATAGACTGAAAGATTGCCAGAAATAAAATTTAAGAGACTGATCTATTGAATTACTATTCCTATTGTGACTTTTTCAAAAGCAAAATTTTTACTTACGTTAAAGGATTCATTGTTTTCTATCACTTCTCTTATTCGTTGATTTCACTTAATAGTTTCTTGTTGCTTCTTCTAAAATGATTTTAGGCATAAGGCGATCATACACCTCAGAAATTTACGATTTACTAAAAGCAAGTGAGCGTTTTTTGACGTCTGTCGTTAGTAAACAAACATCCCTAACCTACAAAGTAATATTTAATCATAAGGGAGCGTTTACACCTTCTGTAAAGATTGTCCAGAAAGGAAAATTTGCATTGGAGTAAGAGAGTCAGATACACAATCTGTCTCTCTTACTCCCTTATACACCTGAATCGACTCTGACATATCGAAAACGAGATTTGTGAAGGTGCATTCATACTGTTACGTACTGGGTTCAACTTAACGTTACGATTTCCGTAATAGTCGAATATCGAATAGTTGTAGAGATATCGATTGTTTCCTCGATTTTAGACAAGAAAAAAATTAGAAGGCTTTCCAATTTTCGTTTGAATTAAAAAACTCAATTCAAATTATAAACAAACACTATTATTTAATTATTTATTAATTTTTATGAGTAAATTATAATCGCGTAGGTCGTTCGCAAACGAGATGTATGAGATAGAAAAGGACAAAAATGTCTCTCTCTCTTTTTCTAACTCATGCTTTGCATTCACGAACAACGTTCACGAAGCAATTGTGCGTTGACCTTTAGCCTTTTTGCTCATATGTGAGTTGTGACTGTACCCTTATTACTACTAGTGTGCCTATCCTGGCTATTTTAAACGCTTTCTATTATTACACTATATATATTATTACATTTTCATATATAAAATATAATACATACTATATATATATATAATATAAAAGTAGCTTTTTATAATGGCGTCGAAAACTCAAATGAATAATGCGGCAAATGAAAGGCGTTTGAGACTAATTTATGGTAAATAAAATTACTTTCTAAACATAAAAGAGAATTTCAAGTTGGTAAAGTTTATTTGGAATTTCTGAATTGATGCTTATTTTCTGATCAATGTATGCCGGCGAAGAGGTTATGTAATAGTGTCTGTATCATTTTATGAGTTTTCATCTTCTAGACTGGCTGGACTTTGGAAATAATAAAAAAGCTCTTCAAGAGGCAGATAAAGTTCTGAAAAAACAACCCGGCCATCAATGTGCTAGAGTTCTTAAAGCATTGGCTCTTCTTAGGCTCGGCAAGGAAAATGAGTGTCAGGTTATTATGGACAAAGTGAGGATGGAAATTCCTTGCGATGATTCTACGTTACAAGCGATGAGTATTTGTTATAGAGAAATACATCAACGTAAGTTTACGTATCATTAGTATTTTTATCATTGTTCATTTTTTTTTAATAATATATTTTTTATTTTCTATTTTCTTTCTTTTGATGAAAGTACACAGTCGTCTACTAAAACCATAACTATTTTACTACTTCTTTATGATTTGCTACTATTTGCTTACTTCTTTTTAGATTTGGAACACTAAATTCTATTTTTTCTTTGTTTGAGAATGTGCACTCCTTTATAAAATATTTATTTTATTTATATATATTATGTATAAAAAATTTATTTTATAATTAGATTTAAAGTCTGACTGAATTTAAAAATTAATTCAATTTTAAAAGAGTTGCATTTACAATTTTCATAAATAAGTGAACTTTACACGGTTTCAAGTAGAAAATTTCAATTTTGAATGAATTTAATTAGAAATTTTAATGAACTTAGATTTTTGAAAAATTTTAATAATTCAAAATCATCTAAAATTAAATTATTTAAATTTGTCAATATATATTTAAATAATTATTAAAAAATAATGGATTTAAAGAAGAATTTTAGTTAAAAACACGAAAAAAAATTGAATTTTGAAGAAGTTTTTTCTTTATTGCAGAAATTCAATTATTTTCAAAATTAATAAAATTCTTACCACAAAATTCAATTATGTTCAAAATTTGTATAAAAATCTCGACAAAATCATAATTATCATCTTTAGAAATAAAAAAAATTCTTCAAAATTCAATTACTTTCAATAATTTTCCTCATTTCAATGATCTTTAATATATAATATTTTAATAAAATTACCCACAAGAAAAAGAATTTTTTTTTTTTATTATTTTTTTTTTATAATTTTTTTCTCAATAATTCAATTATTTTTAGAAATAATATAACTCATCGCAGAATTTAAATTATTTTTAATATAATTTTAATCAAATTCCTTGAAAAATGTAACTTCTATCATAAAACATTTTATTAAACTTTGTAAGAAGAATTCAATTATTTAAAAATTTGTTAATAAAATTCTTTATAAGAATTAAATTTTAACAAACATTTAATTATTTAATAAATAATTTACTTTTGTATTTAAATAATTGAATTCTCGTAGAATTTTCTAATAAAATTTGATTTGAAAGTGAATTTTAGTTTAAATTTTAGATAATAATAGAATATGAAAATAATTTTTAAGAAGTTACAGTAAAGATTTAATATTTTTTAAAACTATATTACTTATGTGTTATTTGTTTATAATATAATTATCAAATGAAAGAAAATTTTAAAAAGGTTACTTGTAAATTATTTTTTTAATTTTTTACCTTTTATAATATGAGATAAAATATATTTTATAATATGAGACTTCGTGGCTTGCAATCGTCGAGGTTAAGCAGACTTGAGTACAGAGTTAGTTGATAACTGGTTGTCAATTTCCGCTATTCATATATTTGAAAATTGAAAACCTTAAAAGTATTTAAAAATTTTTGATTTCAGCTGATAAAATTAGTGAGGTATATGAAGCAGCGGCAAAAGCGGATCCAAACAATGAAGAGCTTCTGACACATTTATTTATGTCATACGTACGACTAGGAGACTTTAAAAAACAGCAACGTACTGCTCTATCCTTATATAAACTGGTTCCTAAAAATCCATACTACTTTTGGGCTGTAATGAGTATTGTTATGCAAGCACTGCAAGCTGATGAAAATATTGCTAAAAGAGTCACGTTACCACTTGCTGAAAGAATGGTTAGTTCTATTAGATATTCACTACCAAATTTATATTGACATCGATACTCATTTTTTTATATGTTCCTAATTATATTTCAAACCCTTTTTATTCTATAAAAAAGGAATTATTAATAATAAGTTATTTCTCTATTTTTCAGAATTTCTCTTAATTTCGTTGACAAATTCCCGTATTGAAATGTAAAACTCTTAATATCTAAAATACATCCCAGTTGACTATTTAAAAAATAATTTTTATTTTTTATAAAGAAAAAATAAAAATATCGTTTTCCTGTAGAAAAATTAATGTTTCAAATGTTAAAAACTTTATTTTATAGCAACATATCGATTTTTCATACTTTGTTAAAAACAAATAAATATAAATAAACAAAAGTTAAAAAAATCGGCATCGAGGAATCAATAGAGAATTTAGTCCTAACGAAGATATTCTTGTAAATGAAATATATCTGCTAAATAAGATTTTTGCTAAAGGTATTAAAATTAGTCGAGGAAGACAAAATTGAAGCAGAACAAGAGGTCCAACTCTATTTAATGATATTGGAATTACAAGGAAAGGATGAAGAAGTCTTGAAGGTTTTATCTGGACCTTTGGCTTCTCGCATTTCGAATCTTCTGCCAAGGAAAGCGCTGCTGCTGCTCAAATTACAGCAATATCCCGAAGCCGTGAGTGCTTTCAAGGAACTAATTAGTCAAGAGTGAGTAATAGGGATAAAACCAAGGTAGAAATACTACATTTTTTCAAATATTATATTGGGTCAGAATTCAGTTTCATTTCACGAATTCTGACCCCATTTTGTGTCGATTCATAGTAAAATTACTTTGCGTTAGTTATCTTGGAAAATAAAATGCCTTTAAAGTTTTGACTTTGCTTTATTTCCGGATGTAAGAATTTAATAAAGTGAAATTTTGTTACATGTTTATAATTAAAGACTTCACCTTTTTTCATTTCAGTGCAGACAACTGGTCTTTTTATCAAGATTATTTGAAAACCGGTTTAAAATGCCAAACCGTAGTCGAATGTTTACAATTTTTAGATGAAACTGCGGGAAAAGTTGAAAAAAAGTTAAGAGCACCACATCTCGCACGCCTTGATTTGCTTAAAAGAGCTCGAGATTCTAAATTGGAATGTCTTTTAGATCCTGTTGAAGATATGGTTAAATACTTTAATCAGTTTGGCTCCAAAGGCTGCGTAGTTAGTGATTTTAAAATATACCTACATCTCTTATCAGCGTCTGAAAAAGATGTGCTATTACAAAAGGTGAGAGTCAAAAAATACAATTTTAATGAAAGTAAGTACTAAGTAAATTTTAATTAATTTAAGTACATTATATAAAAGAACATCATTTTAGATTGAAAAAAGTATTGTAATCAATAATGAAGGATATCCCGATTCTATTTACGAAATGCAAAAATACATTCACTTTGAACAATTGAAGCGACTTTGTGGAATGCATCATTCACCGAAACTTGATTTGAAAGGAAGAACAGAATTGGTTCAACGACTTTGTGATCTTTACAAAAAGGGATGTGAACTTTGTCCAGAGGAGGAAAGATTACCTACTGACTTTTGTCCAGCAGATGTGTATATATTATTAGCAACTCATTTGTTACATCAAATGTGGCATGAGACTGGAGAAGCAGTTTATCTTTATAAGTGAGTATAATCCAGAAATTTAATTATTTTCAATTTAAAAAAAATACTCGTCAACATTTTAATTATCTTAATAAATAGCAAAATTCTTCGACAAATTTTCAGGAATTTTAATAAAGTTCATTGCAAAATTCAATTATTTTCATAATGAATAATATTTACGATAAGAATTCAATTATTTTCAAACATTTTTCTTCATTAAATAATTTTTATATCTTTAATAAAATTTCCCAAAAGAATTCAATTCTTTGAAAACAATTTTGACAAAATTCTACACAAATATTCAATTATTTTCTACAATAATGAAAATTTCACAGGAATTCAATTATTAAAATTAGAATTTGCATAAATTTTTTCCATAAAAAATCGATTGTTTAAAACTTTTTTTAATAAAATTGTTCGCAATAATTCAATTATTTTCATAAATAATAAAACTCATTGCATAATTACAATTATTTTGAATCGAATTTTTCCGAAAATGTAATTATTGTTATAAATTTTATTACAATTCGCCGACAGAATTCAATTATTTAAAAAAATAATTGAATTCTTGTGAAGAATTTTATTAAAATTTTTGAAATTAATTGTATTCATTCGTGAAAAATAATTAAAGTTATGTTAATTGAATTTTTGCAAAAAATTTTACTATTTATAAAAATAATTGAATTCTTACGAAAAATGTTATTATTTATGAAAATAATTGAATTCTTGTGAAGTATTTTATTAAAATTTTTGAAATTAATAAACAAGAATAATTAATGAGTAAATTTTTTTTAAAGTTTGAGTCTGAAATTATTAAAAAATTCATATTAGAAAATAAGAAATTTTGTAATTTGCATAATAATAAGTGAAATTCAATTATTTTTAAAGGTAATAACATTCTTCGCAAAAAATCAATTATGTTCAAAAAATTTTCAAAATTCTCGTCAAAATTTCAATTATCTTTATAAATAATAAAATTCTTCTCCGAAATTAATTTATTTTCAAAAATTTTATTACAATTCCTGGCAAAATTTCAATTATATTCAAAAATTGTTCTCAATTCAATGATTTTCAATATCTATTGTTTTCATAAAATTTTTCAAAAGAATTCAATTATTTGAAATATGTTGATAAAATTCTACGCAAACATTTAATTATTATCATAAAAAAATAATAAACATTTCACAGGAATTCAATTATTTTCTTAAATAATAAAACTCATTGCACAATTTCAATTATTTTTAATACAATTTTATTAAAATTCGTCCAAAGAATTCAATTATTTAAAAATTTATTGATAAAATTCTTTATGAGAATTCAATTTTAAGAAACATTCAATTATTCAATAAATAATTATTTAATTTTGTATTTAAATTATTAAATTTTCGTAGAATTTTCATTTAATAATTGATTTAAAAATGAATTTCAATTCAAATTTTAAAAATCATTGAATTTTGAAAAGTTTTCAAATTAAAATCTTTGAAAATTTGAATTTTTCAAATTTTTAATTAACAATTATGTGGAATTAATATCTTTGGATAGTTTTAATTGTGCATTTTCTAAAAATTATTTGAAGTTTTTATTTTCTAAAATATATTTAATTGAAAAATTTCCGAATAATTGAAATTTTGTAAAATTGAATATTGTAAACAGATGAATTTGAAAATTGTCAAAGAACTTTTTCGAAAGTTATTAAAAATAATTGATTTAAAGAAGAGTTTTATTTAATAGCACAAAAAAATTGAATTTTGGAGAAATTACAAATTATTTGCAGAAATTCAATTATTTTCAAAAGTAATAAAATTCTTCGCAAAAATTCAATTATGTTCAAAATTTTTTTAATTCTTTTTTGGGTTTCAATTATTTTTAGAAATAATGAAACTCGTCGCAAAATTTCAATTATTTTTAATACAATTTTAATTAATTTCTTGAAAAATGTAATTATTCTTAAAATTTATATTAAAATTTGTCGAAAGAATTGAATTATTTAAAAATTTGTTAATAAAATTCTTTTTGAGGATTGAATTTTAAGAAACATTCAATTTATTCAACAAATTATTCATTTTTATATTTAAATAATATTGAATTCTAGTAGAATTTTTTAATAAAAATTGATTTAGAAATGAATTTTAGTGAAAATTTTAGATAAATAATTTCTTTGACTGACAGTAATTTTTTTTGTTTTAGGGCAATAGAGCTCCTTGAACGATGTTTAAGTTCAAGTACTTCTAATTTTCATATAAAAATCGCCTTGACGCGAATGTACATAGAAGTTGGTTTCATTGGAGCTGCTGATTATGTTTTTGTTTTGCTAGATGCGAAGCAAATTCAATTGGATTCTTTAGGATTTTTACATGTTCCTTTACTAGCACCTATGGGTCTTTTGTCGCATGCATCGCATAATTTGGATCATACTGCGAAATTTTTCGTTGGCAACTCCAAAGATGTATGTTGTTGAAACAACTATAATTTTTTTTTAATATTAATTTAATGATTTATTCTTTTTTTATCATATTTATATTTGATTTAGAGTGCTGATCAATTAACCTTTGCCTACAAATATGGAAGTTTCTTGAAGATTCAAGAATTTGTTGATTTGAGAGAACGATTAGAAAAATCAGTTTATTTTGCTTTAACAACTGTTGATAAAATGCTGATTGAATTGACATGGAGCGAGAGTTCGTCAGCTTTTCTCAATTCTTTAGCAAATATGCACGTGCAACCTTATGAAGATACTATTAGTTGGGATCTGCTGAGAGATAATCGAGATTTAGAGGTAATTTAAAAATTTACAATCTCAACACAAAAGTAAATTGAGGAAACATGAAATAATTTATATTTTAAAATAACTTTTTCTTAAATAGGTTGTCATTGGATGGGAACCAATTCTGAATGAGGACTCTGATGTAAGAATGAGGAAAGAAACTCGAGATTGTATGCAATGCCTACTGAAAGCTCGAAGCCTTATATTACGAGTATTGGCCTCAGTTACGGAGCCAGACACAACTGTACTATTTATGAAATTATCGAAAGAAATAAAAACATTAGTTCAAGAAAATATACCAAACGTTCTTCGAAAATTTCAAACACAAGATGGGAAGGATGTAATTAACAGTGTTGTGATTCCAATAGACGCCGTGATGCGTTTGAGAGAAATCTACGAATCAGAACAGTTGATGGCAATTGTTCATCTTATAGAGTGTTTAGCCCAATATCCTTATCCAGATGCGAATTGTATTGAAATACTGAGAAATTCTTTGAGTATAAAAGTACCAACAATCCCGGAACAAGAGAGTCCAGTTTCGTTTAATCAATTTTTCTTAAGAGCATCTACTTGTGGCGAAACTCTTTCGATTTTAGGATCAATTTGTGCTGTTATCATGTCGCAGTCAAAACCGCGTCGCTCTCAAAGGAAAAATAAGAAAAAACCAACGAAGGAAAATGAAGAGCCTTTCTCAGAAATAAGCCAGGTAACATTAATTTCTATGGATCCACATCAAATCATACAGACACTCCGATATTTTCCCTTTATAATCATGATGAATTTTATTTCCCTTTATAATCATAGTCAGGGCTCGAACCAGTGAAAATATTTAAAAATTAATAATACGGACTTTACGGACCAAAAAATAAAAAATTAGGGATTACTGACAAAAATATAAGCAGTCCGAGTCAAGTAAAAGAACATTTTACTTAAAACTATAAATTCAATTTTTTCATAACTATAAAACTAAAAGATATCGATCACTCCGAGATTTTAATTATCTTTATAAAGAGCAAAATTCTTCATCGAAATTCAATTATTTTCAAATTTTCTTTAAAATTCTTGTCAAGAATTTAATTATCTTTATAAGGAGCAAAATTTCAATTTTCAAAAAATTATCTGAACTTAATGATTTTCAATTTTACTATTTTAACTATTTTAATAAAATTTTTCAAAAGAATTCAATTATTATTAACAATTTTTTAATAAAATTCTACGCAAACATTCAATTATTTTCATAAATAATAAAACTTTCACAGGAATTCAATTATTTATGAAAATAGAATTTTGCATAAATTTTTTCAAAAAATATCAATTTATAAAATCTTTAAATAATAAAAAAATTTTTTTTAAAAATCTTCACAATAATTGAATTATTTTCTTAAGTACAATTAAGATTCTTTTCAGGAATTTAATTATTTTCATAAGTAATAAAATTCTATTTAAGAATTCAATTATTTTCATAAAACTCATTGCAGAATTTCAATTATTTTTAATACAATTTTAATTGAATTGCTCAAAAAATCCAATTATTCATAGGGAGTTTCTTTAATAAATATTAATTGGAAATTTTCAAAGTACATGAATTTTATGAGGAATTTCTTTCAAGTTTTTTAAAATAATTGAATTGTTTCGAAGGATTTCTTAAAAGTTTAAAAAATAATTCAATTTTTGCAAAGAATTTAACTTTGTATTTACAAGTATAATTGAATTTTTTTGGAAGAATTTATTAAAATTTTAGAAAATAATTGAATCCTTTACAATTTTTTATAACAAATTAAAAAAAAATTAAATTCTTTCGTGAAATTTTTTTGCATATAATTGAGAATTTTTGCAAAGTATTTTACTATTTATGAATTATATTATTAAATTGTATCGAAAGATTTATTAAAATTTTAGAAAATAATTTATTTTTTTCGAAAAATATTATTAAAAATTAAAAAAATGAAATTCTTTCATGAAATGTTATTAAAATTGTATTAAAAATAATTGAATTTTTGCAAAGAAAGTTTTTAACTAAAATTCTTCTATTTAAATCTATTATTTTTAATAATTTTTGAAAAAGTTCTTTGAGAATTTACAAATTCATTTGTTTATAATTCAATTTTACCTAGTTTCAATTATTCGGAAATTTTTCAATTAAATATATATGAAAAAATAAAAAATTTAAATAATTTAAAAAATAATCTGCAATTAAACTTATTCAAAAGAGTTAATTCCACAGAATTGGTAGTTAAAAATTTGAAAAATCCAAATTTTCAAAGATTTTAATTTGAAACCTTTTCAAAATTCAATTATTTATTAAATGTGAACTGAAATTCAGTTTTAAATATATTTTTAATAGAAAATTCTACGAAAATTTAATAATTTAAATACAAAAGTAAATTATTTATTGAATAATTGAATGTTTCTTAAAATTGAATTCTCATAAAGAATTTTATCAATAAATTTTTAAATAATTGAATTCTTTGGACGAATTTTAATAAAATTTTTTAAGAATAATTACATTTTTCGAGGAATTCGATTAAAATTGTATTAAAAATAATTAAAGTTCTGCAATGAGTTTTATTATTTGTGAAAATAATTGATTTATAAAAAAATTGTATTATGTACGAAAATAATTGAATCTCTGTAAAAGTTTTATTATTTATGAAAATAATTGAATTATTACGAAGAAATTTATAAAAAGTTTATAAATAATTAAATTCCTGTGAAATTTTTATTATTTTATGAAAATGATTAAATTTTTGCGTAGAATTTTATTCAAATTTTTTTAAATAATTGAATTCTTTTGAAAAATTTGATTAGAATAGTGATATTGAAAATCATTGAATTGAGGAAATTGTTCGAAAATAATTGAAATCATTGAAATTTTGTCAAAAATTGTATTAAAATTTTTGAAAATAATTCAATATCGTTGAAGAATTTTACTATTTATAAAAATAATTGAAATTTGGACGAGAATTTAAAAAAAATTTTAAACATAGGTAATTGAATTTCTGCGAAGAATTTTATTACTTTTGAATACAATTGAATTTCTGCAATCAATTATTCCCCTTAAAATCTTTGGTTATTTTCAATGTAAAATCTTAGAAAATTTTTTCTTCAAAGTCCCTTAAAAGTTTAATGAATTTTAAAAAATTTGGAACTTTTTAATGTAAGGTTTGTAAGGTTGAAAAAATCACGAATAAATTTTTGAAATACTGTTCATTAAATTAATTCTTACTTTAACTTTGAACTGCCTGCTTGATTTGATGTGAATCCGTTATAATATGTTTTAAAAAATTTCGAATGAATAGAAAAATTCAATAAATCTGTAAATGAATATTTTATTTTTCAGAATTGGTTAAATATTGAAGAACTTTTATCTGAAAGATTACAAAGTTTAGAAACAGTACTTAATTTACTTAACAGAACATCAGTGGAAACAGGATCTAAAAGCAGTGATGAAGTCGCTCAAAATATTCAGAAGCAGATTTATACAAGCATTAATCAAACTTGTAAATCGTTAAAGTCACGAGTATTCTGCACAATGAAACATTTATCTGAATTAAAAAGCTGAAACCTTGAATGTAAAAAAGTATTTTTTGTCATTGAGTAGTGACTCCTGTTTTGTAAATATTAATAGTTTGTAATTATTATCATTTGTCTCGAAAATCTTGTCAAGTTACATAGTTATTTAATAGTGTGCGAAAACGTTTTTATACATTTTTTTCGATATTTAATTGATACATAAATTACTTGATTACATTTTCGAGAACATAGTCTTATTATTGCCTAAATTGTGACATATCGCTCAACTATTATTTAAAGAATATAAATTGACTATTGACTCATTTAAAGAAAGGCGTATCGATTTGATTCCGATATGCAGAACATCATCATTTCAATTGATAGTTACTGACATGTACTGTTAACAATATCTTTATATTTTCAATGACTATAAAAAATGAGCACATTTGTTATGTTGATCGAATCGAGTTGTATACTAAAATGTAGAAAAAAAATTAAATAGATTTTACAATAAGAATTGGTAAATAATCGAACACAAGCTATACATAAAATCTTTATGTATCATCATTTTTAAATTGAACTTTAAAACATTCGTAAGTGTTTTTTTTTTAAATATTAATAGTTGAAAATCAATATAAATTTTGTTCAAAAATGTTATTATGTATACCGAGCATACATTCTCATCCCTGGAAATATTGTCACAAGTTAGTTAAAACTTGATATCTTCTAGAATATGAAAGTTTTATAACTCGAGAATGGATTGCTCAAGTGATATATTATCAGTTAAAAAAATTCACTGACTGATACAGAATAATAAAGAAACAAATGAAAATAACATATTTTTAAGTAGAAATTAAAAATATACTTTTTATTCCACAGGCAGAAACAAGAATTTCAGATAGCAGAAGGCAAGCAGTGAAATATAAAAATAGAGAAATTTATCCAAAAGGTAAAAATGGTGCATAATCAAGGAAATCAGGGCCAAATTAAAATTGGTCAGGGATTTTTATTAAAAGTACGGACAAAAATTAAATTTTTAGAATTTATAAGAAAATTCTTAATTTTTGTGTCTTTTTTGTTTGCCTCACTTACATAACTTAATTCTTGAAGAACTATCATAAAATTATTATTTAGAAATTATTTCAATTATTTTTAATATTTACTATTTTAATAACATTTTCTAAAATAATTTAATTATTTACACAAAATTTTAATAAAAATTTCACAGGATTTCAATTACTTACCAACTTTTCATAAATTTTTTCGAACTAACTCAATTATTTTTAATTTTTTAATGAAATTTCTCGAAAGAATTCAAATATATTCATAGAATTGAAAAAAAATAGTTTTGAGAAATTCAATTATTTCGAAAAATTCTTTTACAGATTCCATTATTTAAAAAAATACATTAATACATTTTTCTTGTGGAAATTCAATTATTTAAAAAAATTTGAATAAAATTCTTCACAAGAAATTAATTATTTTCATAAATAATAATATTTTTCTCCGAAATTAAATTATTCCCACAAATAAAATTTTTCACATGAATTCAATTCTTTAAAAAAAAATTTAATAAAAATCATTTGTAAGAATTCAATTATTTACATAAACAACAAAACTTATCCCAAAATTTCAATTATTTTTTATTCAATTTTAAATAAAATGATAGAAAATTGCATTTATTCTTAAAATTTTTTTTAAATTCGACAAACAAATTCAATTATTCTTAACAATTTTGAAAAAATTCAATTTCAAAAAAATATTCAATTATTTAATAAATTATTTATTTTTGTATTAAAATAATTGAATTCTGGAAAAATTTCTAATAAAATTGTCAAAATAAAATTAAAATATTTTTGAAAAAATTAATTCTCAGAATTAGTTCATTCAAATTTTGTAAAATTCAATAAATTTTCAATATTTTCGATTACATATTTCCGAAAATTCAAATACATACAAAAAAAATAGCATTAAAATTTTTAATTAAAATTCTTCAAAAGATTTATTATTTTTTCTATTTAATTATACAAAAATTTTGTTTAAAACTTCAATTATTTTCGAAAAATGACATTTTAGACTTACTAAAATTTCAAAGAAATCATTTATAATTAAAATTCTTCAAAAATTTGATTTTTTGAAAAGATTTTTCCAAATTTCATTTATTTTTCAAAGATTTTACCAAATTTCAATTATTTTTTTAAAAAAATTTTACCAAATTTCAATTTTTTGGACATATTTTAATTGTGTGTAATTGTAAACATATTGTCTTTCAAAAATTATTTAGAAATATTTTTTTAAAATAATTAATTTTAAGATTTTTTTATTAAAATTTTTGAAAATATTCTACCTTAATATCTTCAAAAAGAAAAATGAACAGTTTAAATTGTTATAAAAAATTGAATTTTTGTATTGAAATAATTGAATTCTCGAAGAAGTTTCGGAAAGTTATTAAAAATTAATATAGATAATTGATTTAGAGATGAAGTTTAGTTCAAAATTATGAAAAGTAATTTAATTTTGAAAGGGTTATAGTCGTAATTTTTAGAAATTAATCAATTTCAGAAGTTGAAATTTTTAAAATTTTATTTCCCGTGAAAAAAGAAATAAGAAGTATTTAAATATTTATTTAGCAATATTTGGAAGAATTTTTTATTAGAGAATAAAATATATTAAACAAGTAAAATACAGTAAAACTTTATAAAAAAATAAGTATTTTATACTTTTTTTGGTAGGAATTTCAATTTTGTTTGCTTGTCCCAGGCATGAATTCACGTTTTTTTCTATCTTGACTTTTTTGATGACTTTCAATAAAACTGTGAAAAGTTGAATCTTCTTCCTTTTCTTTTTGTTTTTCATGATCATTGATTGTCTCTTCTTCTCCTTCATCATCGCTTGACTCATTCCCAGGATGTTTTAAATAGATGTCAGAAACTTCCCTTCCGGTATTAACTGACAGCACAAGTGGTACCGATTCTCCCATAGCATTTTTCATTGCATTCTTAAGTTGCATTTCCTTTTCTTCTTCAATTTTCTTCGCTTGATTCTTATGCAGTTTTTCCAGTTCAACTTTATAGCTTCTTTAAAAAAAAATACAATCGTTTAAAGAATTATACCAGTTAACATATAGAACATAAATAACAAAGAAGTACATTTTTCATTTTGTTATTTTGTTATTTGAAAGAAACAGAATATATATCATTTAACGAAAAATAAAAACTCATAACTTACGTCAAGTATTCTTTTTCAGCTTCTTTAACCAATTTGAAGAATTCATCAATTCCTGTCCCAACCATAGCGGATACGCCACAGCATCTTAAATTGCAATAGAATTCGTCTAATGCAAGAGCCATACTGCGAGTCAAATTACTAATATAACTAGTTTGTGACTCCAAAGCTTGTTCGAAGGCATCGAAATCCGTCATCCACTCCACTGCGTATGCGTTTGAAACAATGTCAATCTGCAAATGAAAACGGCTACTTGGTGATTTTTGTTGATTCCAAAACCAACTGAGTCTTAAAAGTTTCGAAATATCGGATCGGTAATAAGAAAATAAAATAAATAAAGTGACTTACCTTATTCATAACAACGACGAACGGTAACTTTGTCTTGTATAATATTGAACATGCATACAGCATATTTGACATGAACGTTACAGGTTTATAACTTCTGACTGTATCCATTACGTAGACAACGATAGTTGGGAAAGAGGACGCCAATAAGTCTGTTATAATTGAGCCGCTGGCTGACCAAGTAAATACTTCAATTTGTCCAGGTGTATCCAAAATTACGTAATCATGATCTTTTCCCGCATTAGCAATGAGTTTCACAACTTGGTCGAATTTCGTTGAAAATAAATTTAATGCTGTCACTATACCACCATTTGGACCCAAACCGTATTGTTTCATAACCTCTTTATAATTAACAGTATCTCGAATATCTGAAATTAGTTATCAAACAATTAAAATATGTAGCAGGAAATGCATATTTTATCCGCAACATTCGTGATTCTAATGTATTTTATCTGAATTATACTATTAAATATAGAGTCAAAAATTCATACCAACATTAACAGGATAAGACACCTCCAAACAAGCTGGATCCAAGTTTATAACATAAGGCTTATTTGTTTGAAAAAGATCGGAAACAATTCTTTTTACAAATGTTGTCTTGCCAGATCCTGCCATTCCCAGAACAATAATGCAACAGGGCTTTTTTGGAGGATTTGAATCCGTCTCCATTGCAGTTTCCTTAATATTTTCTTTACTAATTTAACAAGAAATTTATTTTTTTTAGCAATTAGAATATAAATAATAAAATTTTGCAATTGTGCATTAATTGCAATCTACCAAAATATAAAAATCTGCACTTTTTGATTTTTTTGAAGAGTCATAATATATTCGTTCAGCTTGATAGTTTTTAATAAAATACGGGTTATATTTCAAGTCTGACTGATACCTAAAAGACTGACAAATTTCACATTGAATAGTTTGTCGTGTAGAGTTAATTTCAACATAATTTAACAATATTCCCGGCTTTTCTCACTTTCGTATTAAATTAAATTTCCTCTGAAAAGGTTAATGTAAACAAATTTAAAGCTTCTATAACTTACTGACTGATGATTGTTCGTTATAACTTCGTATTAATGCACACAATTCTAAAACAATTTTAGAATGTCATTCGCAAGTATATAAGCTCAAAATAAAACAATTCGTTTTATATGTCATGCAAATAAATATTTTAGAGCAATTCAAATAACTTGTTCAACAGCCAAAACTATTTACTTTTCATCATTTTATAAACAACACGTGGGTATAGAAATGTTATGGTGTGTCCCCAATAGGAAATTAACGGCCTTTCTCCAATATGATCCCTTGGCAGCGTTTTGCGTTGCGTTTTGTAACTAGGCTATGAGTGTGAGAGAAATACATTTAACACTTTTCACTTCACAGGAACTTCAAAATATGCTAAAATTGAAATGCGCTCATAAACTTTAAATTTTATATAAAAAAAAATATATCATATAATAATAATAATTATAAAGGCCAACGCAGAATAGAATCTTTAACCGGAACCGCAATCGTAAGCGTAAGAATGAGTTAGAGAAGGATAAACAATATGCCTATCCTTCTTTAACTCATTCTTACGGTTACGCTTACGATTGCGGTTCCGGTTACAGATCTATTCTGCGTTGGCCTTTATATAATATTCTAACGGATATCACAACTATGCAACTAAAAATGGCTATCACAGCAAGGCCGACAACCAGATGGCGTATCGCTATATTTTCATCTGGCAAGAGACCGATCTCTCCCTCTATTTTCTTTCTTTGTCTCTCTTAAAAAGGCCAACGCAGAATAGAAACTTTAACCGGACCGCAATCGTAAAGAATGAGTTAGAGAAGGAGAAGTATGTTGTTTATCCTTCCTATGGCGAACATACATAGGAAGGATGTTTTGTTTCGTTTTGCGTTTTGCTTCGTTTTGCGTTGCGTTTTGTAACTGGGCCATGAGTGCAAATAGAGCGAACATATTGCTCCATCTCTCTCACACTCATGGCCTTTTACATCCCGTTCAATAAGGCTATTGTGGAATCAACCTTAAGGTTGAGTTCACAATAGCACTTTTGAACGGAAAGTAACGTAACGCTACGTACAATGTTTCGTTATGTTACGTTCCGTTCAAGGTGTTATTGTAGACACAACTTGAGAAATAAAAGAACACAGACATCTTCTGTCATTTTCTTTTGCACGTCCTGCTGCCGTCTCGCATTCACACTCTGCTTTGGCCGCCCAAACGCTGTGTTGCGATCCCGGCCTAATTCTAAAACAGCCAAATGGCTAGCCTTGCTTCTTCATAGTGAAAGTCGCCAAAGGTTTCGCCTGTATGTATATGTACGAAAAAAAGTACATAGTCGTTGATTTGGTGGATTTTATAAAAGAGTAAAATAAAATATTATAATTTTCTAGTAATCAATTACGCATCTCAAGTTTTTGTCTCAAAAGAGCTTAAAGCAAAGCTATCTTAAGTTTGAAAAATTATTCATTTTCACTGCATTAATGAGATCTTGAATTGTTTGCGATACTTGATGTACTAAATTTAATGATTTCTTTACAAGCAGATTAATGTATGAACGAATCAAGTAGTTGAAATAATTTAACAATCAATTCAAAGTTATGAGTTTGTAAACGTAGATATGCGGACATGAGAAGGAAATTAGCTGTGAATCATTGACTAGGAAGTCGTGAAATTTATCTTTTTATACTTCGAAATAGTGAATATTATTCTAGTCTCTGTCTCTTAAGTAGAAAAATTTATTTCCGAAAAATCGTTTTCATCTCACTCGGATTCACTCTCAGAAAGCTTGACATCTATCAAATGCTTTTTTTATAATTGAGTCAAATGTAATGACTGCATTAAAATCGAGTTCATTTTCATAAGGAATTTCGGTGAGTATTTGTTTCATACATTTTTTATTTTTTTATAAAAAGAACAATTCATTTGGATCTGCGGCTGCTTCATAATAAAAAAATTATAAATTGCACTTTTGTATTTAGAAAAACAGAAGTGGAAGGATTTTTAATAAATAAAAGATCATTGCTACTAATTTGTTATCGACAACAAAATTTTCACATTTAAATTTTATTTTCCGAAATTCATCTTGCAACTTTTATTACCTTCAGATTTGTTTATCAGATAAAGTCGAATATTTTAAAACTTGTTTAGTTTTACAATTTATTATTATAATTCTCCTCTGACTTTCCGATAACGTCATTCGAAGAATTTTGGAAGAATAAAATATCGATTCGCTCCTTACGGCAAAATGCCAATTCTGCGAAATATATTGAAACAGAATTACAAAAGGGTTGCCACAGGTCAGGGGATTCAGAGAAAAGTCAGACATTTTAATTAAAAGTACTGGAAAAAATTAAATTTTTAGAATTCATGAGAAATCTCCGAATTTTTGTGTCTTTCTTGTTTATCTCATAAACTATGAAATTACCACGAATTCTAATAAAAAACCTTCAATTTTTTTTATTTCAGAGAAGAATTTCTTTTTAACGAACTTAATTCTCGAAGAACTATCATAAAATTATTCCTTTAAAAATTTAATTTAATTAATATAATTATTTATGAATAATTTATAAATTTATAATATATTTTATTTTTATAATATAAATTTATAATAATTAACAAATAATTAACTTAATTTAAACAATTTTCATAAGTAGATGAACTTCAAAAGGTTTCAATTTGAAGTTTTATACAATTTGAATTTTGAATGAATTCAATTAGAAATTTTAAAAAACTTAGATTTTTGAAAAATTATAATATTTCAAATTCTCCTGAAATTAGTTACATTTTTCAAAAATTTTTCTCAATTCAATGATTTTCAATTTCTACTATTTTAATAAAATTTTCCAAATGAATTCAATTATTAAAAAAAAATTCTACGTAAACATTTAATTATTTTCATAAATAATCAAAAATTCACAGGAATTCTATTATTTACAATTTTTTTTATAAATAATTGAATTCTTTTGGAAAATTTTATTAAAATAGTAGATATTGAAAATCATTGAAATGATGAAAATTTTTGAAAATAATTAAAATTTTGACAATAATTTTATTAAAATATAATTATTCTTAAAAATTTTAGTAAATTTAAGGTGGCAAGCCTAGTTGTAACGCGCAAAAATTGACCATTTTCATGAATTAAATAAAACAATTTATTGTCTAAAAGTACACAATTTAATCTACAAATTCCGATAATAAATTTTTAAAAACTGTAAGTTTTTCATAAAAAAATAAATCCTTCTATGAAAGACTAGATTATCTTCTACTTTAACTAAATTCGTTTGAATCCTCGAGTAACAAGTTTCAAGGGGATCAGAACAATTATTTTTTATATGTCAAATTTTTATGTTGTTAAAATCATTGAATCACTTTAGATACATCTTAAAGAAGAGAAATTCGAAATTAATTTTTTTTGTGCCGGTGTTACAGGAAAAATATAGCGAATGTGATTGGAGGTGATGGCCATAGCGTCGTCAAGGAATTTGTATGATTTTGGCCAAAAATGCATAAATTTTACAATTTACAATTTTATATTAATTTTGAATTTCATAACTTTAAAAACTCCCGTGTAAATATTTTTAGACAAATCTGTCAATTTTGAAAAAATTTGTCCGTCATATAGATTATGCCATTTTTAATTTTGAAAATCTGACATCAGATTCGTAATCAGCGACCCCGAAAATCCCCGAGTAACAAGTTTCAAGGAAATCCGAAATTTTTATTAAAAATTCACCATTTTAGATCCGCCATTTTGAATCCGCTAATTTAATTTTTTTTATATAAAACTAACTTTGAAATCGGACTACGTTTTTCTCTTTAGATACATCTTAATGAAGAGAACCAACCACAGGGCAGTCGTGGCAATCGAGATTTAATTTTTTTTGTGTGCCATGTATTCGGTAATAAGGCTGAATATTCTATACAAGACAAGTTTTAATACATAATTTCTTAACTCTTTTCAGGTGAAAATATAAATTTCGGAAATGGCACGCCGTAGAAAAAACGAAGCAAAACCAAGTGTAAAATCGCCACAAAAATGTGTAGCGGTTCGAAAATCCAGTCGACAAATAGCAAAGAAGCAGCAGCAGGAGCAAAAGGTTAATGGCGATGTTGTACAATCTAGTTCCAATAATTCCGATGATTCAAAAGACAGTCACGACGAAACAGAAGAGAAATTATCAAATTCGAAATTAATTTCCGATGTTCAGAAAAAATTGCAAAAATGTCGTCGACCACTAAACTGCGAAGAGACTATCACCACTAATGAAGTAATCACTTTCAAGGAAGAAGATAGACAAAACGAAATAGAAATTCTCGCAGAAAGCCAGTCAAAAGAAGAAGAGAAATATTCAAAAGATTTACTTCTATGTCTTTCAAGTCCAAATAACGAAGCTCGTAACAATAATACATCCCAGGAAATATGGTCCGAAGACGTTATCGAGGAAACAATTATTTGCGAGGAAATGGAAGTTGAAGAAATCATCACCGATGGAAATTCACAAGACAATAGTGTTGTCGTTGAGCAGGTATTAGTTGTTAACGAACCAGAGTTCGATAATAAAAATGTTGTCGAATTTACTGTGATACAAAATGCAGATGGAACAGAATCAATGCTAATGACTTCTCAGCTTGAAAATATCACTCAACAGGACTGTGAGAATGAAAATATTTCTCAAAATATCGAAAAAGATATCGAAGATTTACGAATGGATGACCTCGATATTTCAACAGAGCAAAGCAATAAAGATGAAACTAAATTTGAATTTGAGAATGAAGTAATAGAGGAAATGAAAATTATCGATTCTAATAACTGTAATTATATCTCTAGTGAAACTGATGTTAATTTTGAAAAAAGTGATGAACAACCACAAACTCTAGGTTTACTGGATAATTCATCGAATGAAAGCAGCTACAAAGGACAAGTATCTGATTTTAAAGATAGTGCTGAAAATCTACAAAATTCACAGGAATCGGAAATATTTATCGATTCCTGTGTAGAGAATTCTAGCGAAAAATTAATTCTTACAAAGAAAATGCTACTATTAAAGCATGATGATAAATCAAGCCCTTTGGATAAAATGAAACAATTAAAAATTCATGACCACATTAATTGTGATTCAGTATCAGAGGAGGATACAAGCTCTCAAATTGTTGCTGGGGAGAAAGAAACTCAAGGCAATGAAAAATTAGACAATTGCCAATTCAAAAATGAAAATAGTTCCAAAACTTTAACTCAGTCGCAAATTGAGGAACATTCGCAAGACAGTGAGGCGGATAGAAAGCAAGATGTTGAAGACGCTAAATTGTCGAGTGGCAGTGAAAATAGTAGCGATACTAGTTATAAATTTCCAGATTCGAATCCCGAGAGTAAAAATACACAAAATTCGAATGAAGTTGATAAAAAGGGTGAATTTCGATGCCGGAGCGGAAGTATCGATACAAGCATGGAATCCACTTCTAATAGTTCTGGAGTTCGTCGTAGTACTCGAATTCGAACTATAGGATTAATGAAACAAAGGTATATTAAATTTTTTACTATTTACTTGCAATTTATTGTCATAACCACCATAAATAACTGGCAACAATTCGCGAGCTTGAGCGCGGCTAAGTTTTTACTCCCTTTTGGAAATAAAATTAGCAATTTTAAAAATAATAGTACGCAAAAATTTTTAATTCAAATTTATTTTCATAAAAATAAAATATGAATTGAAATATAGTTTTAATATTATTATAACTATAATATCATATATTCTGACATAGGAAATTCAAGGAAAAGTCAAGGATTTTTATTAAAAGCTGAAAAAAATTAAATTTTTAGAATTCATAAGAAATCTCTTAAGGTCATGTTATTCAGTGGTCACGTGCCCCATATACTTTACTATGGAAAAAATTCACACTGAATAACATGACCTTAATTTGAAATTTTATAAAATTTTAATGTTAAATAAATTTAATTTGTAATTTTAAAGAATACTTAAATTTTTGAGAAATTTTAATAATTCAAAATCTTCTAAAATTAGTTGAATTTGTCAATATATATTTAATTAATTATTAAAAATAATGGATTTATAGAAGAATTTCCTTCTTGATATAAAATTGTACGCAAACATTTAATTATTTTCATAAATAATAAAATTCTTCTTCGAAATTCAATTATTTTCACAAATTTTAATAAAATTCTTGGCAAAATTTCAATTATTTTCAAAAACTTTTCTCAATTCAATCAAATTTTTTACAGAGATTCAATTATTTTTGATACAATTGTAATCTAACTTCTCGAAAAATAAAATTATTCTTAAAAATTTTATTTAAATTCATCAAAAGAATTTTATTTATTTAAAAAAATTTTAATAAAATTCTTTATGAGAGTTCAATTTTAAGAAATATTCAATTATTCAATAAATTAATTACTTTTGCATTTAAATAATTAAATTCTAGTAGAGTTTTTTTATAAAAATTGATTTTTTAATGTAAATTTAATTGAAGACTTTCCGAATAATTGAAATTTTGTAAAATTGAATTGTAAACAAATGAATTTAAAAATTGTCAAAGCACTTTTTCAAAAAATATTAAAAATAACTGATTTAAAGAAGAATTTTAGTTAAAATTGTAGAAAATAATAATTGTATTGAAATGATGAAAATAATTTTGAAGAAGTTACAATAAAGTTCTTCGTAAGAATTCAATTATTTTTGACAATTTTAATACAATTCGTTGTAAGAATTCAATTATTTTTAAAAATGTTGTATAAAATTTTTCGAATCAATTCAAGTATTTTAAAAAATGTTGATAAAATTCTCCGCAAAAATTTCAATTATTTTCAAAAATTTTTCAAAAGAATTCAATTATTTAAAAAAAATTTAATGAAATTCTGCTCAAACATTTAATTATATTTAAAAAAAATTAAAATTTCATGAGGAATTCAATTATTTACAACTTTTTTTATAAATTTCTTTCCAATAATTTCTTTATTTTCATAAATAATAAAACTCATCACAGAATTTCAATTACTTTAAATTCAATTATAATAGAATTTCTCAAAAAATGTCATTGTTTTTAAAAATTTTATTACAATTTCTCAAATGAATTGAGTTATTTAAAAATTTGTTTTAATAAAATTTTTTATGAGAATTCAATTTACTGAAGCATTCAATTATTCAATAAATTATTTAATTTTTGTATTTAAATAATTGAATTCTAGTTGAATTTTCTAATAAAAATTGATTTAAAAATTAATTTCATTAAAAATTTTATAGATAATAATTAAATATTAAAAGCATTTTATAGCATGAATTTTTAGAAATATTTGAATTCTGAAAAGGTTTTAATTTAAAATCTTTGTAAATTAAAAGTTTATTTAACAATTCTGTAAAATTAATTTTTTTTTCAAAATTAATTGAATATTTTAGAAATTTTTTGAAGTTATTTTCTAATATATATTTAATTGCAGAATTTTCGTATAATTGAAATTTCGTAAAATTGAATTGTAAAGAAATGGATTTGAAAATTGTCAAAGAACTTTTTTGAAAATTTTTAAAAATAGTCCGTAATTTTCCATTTTTGGTCCGTAAAGTCCGTATTTTTAAATATTTTCGGAAAACCAGTTTTTTTAATTATGTAATATTTTAATAATTAATACTTTAACTTTTTCTACTTTGTTTATGTTTTTAGATCACGTGGAAGAGGTTTGGTGACAAAACCAAACGTGGATATGTCGAGAACAGCTTTTCAACAAGATCGGGACAAAACAAGCAGCAGTAACTCTCCAATAACTACAGAGCAAAAAGATATTTCAGACAATGTATCTGAGACTCAGTCTGATAAAGAAAATTGTAATTACAAATTGATGTCATCCACTGATTCCTTAATCAGCTTGTCAGCTAGTAATACGACCACCGGTTACGATTCTGATTCCTCGAAACCCGTGAAAGTTAAATCGCGGTGGCGTAGATCAAGTGAATTGGAAATGGGTGGAACGAGTTCATTTTCAGGAGCACGAATCGGTACAAACTTTAAATTTTCTGCTGGAGGTATTTCCGGTGCTGCTTTAACTGAGTCCAGAGCAGAAGCAGGAACAGATGAAGATGCATTTATATCTGATTCTCTTGGGAAAATGGAAAATTCTGTTGTGTCACCTTCGTCTAATGCAGAAAGTGTACGTCCTTCAGACTCTTGTGAAAATAGAAGTAACACCACTTCACCTATAACTACAGAAATTCCAAAGATTGTAGGTGCTAAAATTTCATTGCCAATGGTTTTGGAAGTAAAAGACAGGGAAATGGAAGAAAGATTAAGTCAATTTGAGAACCTTAAAGAGAACCTCTATCTTACCGAAAGGTTTGTCTTCTTGCCTTTATCATTTATTATACATAAAGATTTACATTTAAAATTGCTATTAGGTTTCTTTATAAAAAACAGAATTGTAACTTATTCTTTAATATTTAATTACTATATAATATATTTAAATATATAATAAAATATTGAAATAAAAAAATTTTGAAAATATTTAATTATTAATTATTATTTAATAGATTCACAAACAAAGAACATAAAAGAATGGTGTGTGATTGTTTTTTAACGGAGGAGGAAATCGAGCGAGGCGAATTAGGTTGCGGAGAAGATTGTCTCAACAGGCTTCTTCTTATCGAATGGTTTGTAGAAAATTTACTAACTTGATTTTATTTTTGACATTTTTTAATAATAATAATAATAATACTAATAATAATAATAATAACTATTATTATTTCCAACGTTATAATTTTTTTTGTAAACAATTTTAGTGGATCTAGATGCGTTGTTGGAAGCAGATGTACCAATAAACGATTTCAGAACTGCGATTACGCCAAATGCGAAGTTTTTCGAACTGAAAAGAAAGGATTCGGTCTTCGAGCTACAGCTGATCTTGATGCGTGGGTTTTTTTTTTTTGCTTTATAATCGGTTAAATGTTTTTTTTTTATAATATTAAATTGTTACGTGTATTACAGAGGAGAATTCATAATGGAATATGTGGGAGAAGTCGTTGATCCTAAAGATTTTCGTAAAAGAACCAAGGAGTATTCAAAAGATAAAAATAGACATCATTATTTTATGGCTTTAAAATCTGATCAAGTTATTGATGCTACTATGAAAGGGAATATTTCTCGTTTTATAAATCATAGTTGTGATCCGAACGCAGAGACACAAAAGGTAAATATTTAATTTAATCATTTAGGCTGGATCTCTTAAAACTTGAAGATCCTCTTAAGAATTTCCAACATTTTTATGTTTTGAGTAATTTCTAGAGATTGCGAAAGTTGGAAATAAATTAATAATTAATATATAATATTATTCTAGTGGACTGTAAACGGAGAGTTAAGAATTGGATTTTTTATTAAGAAATTTATAGCAAATGGAGAAGAAATTACTTTTGATTACCATTTCCAACGTTATGGGTTAGTATATCTAACTAGTATGCTTGTTTACTTGAAATTATAGATTACAGGCTTTGTACTCATCTATTAAAACCTACCAATTACTACTTTTCTTACGATTTGATACTATTTTATTTAAATTTGTTACTCTAAAAACTACTTTTTTCTACGTTTCTTTCTGAACGACTCAATATTATTTTCAAAAATTTTTTTAAATTCAATTATTTTCAATATCCACTATTTTTAATAAAAAATTTACAAAGTCCTTCCCAAAAATTAAATTTTTTTATAAATAATAAAATTCTTCTCAGAAATTATTTTTAAAAATTCTAATAAAATTCGTTAGAAAAATTCAATTATTTTCATAATTAATAAAACTTATCACAGGATTTCAATTATTTTTAATACAATTTTAAATAAATTCCTCGAAAAATGCAACTAGTTTTGAAATTTTTATTAAAATTCTTAGAAAGAATTCAATTATTTTAAAAAATTTTGATAAAGTTTTTTTCAAGAATTCAATTTTAAGAAAAAATTCGATTATTTAATAAATTATTTATTTTTGTATTTGCATAATTAAATTCTCGTAGAGAATATAAATAGGAAAATTTCCCAAAAGAATTCAATTATTTAAAAAATTTTAATAAAATTCTACGCCAACATTTAATCATTTTCCTAAAATAATAATTACAATTATACAGAAATTCAATTATTTACAAATTTTCTTTATAAATTTCTTCTTAATAATTCAATTGTTTTTATAAATAATAAAATTTTTACAAGATTCAATTATTCTCGTAAAAAATAAAATTTTTTTTAGGAATCCATTATTTTCATAATTCATAAATAATAAAACCTTATGCAGAATTTTAATTATTTTTTATACAATTTTAATCAAATTCCGCAAAAAATATAATTATTATTAAAAATTTTATTTAAATTCGTCCATTTTATTACTTTCAAAAGTAATAAAATTCTTCGCAAAAATTCAATTATGTTCAAAAATTTTTTAATTCTTTTAATGAAGTCAAATTGTTTTCAATACAATCTCAATAAAATTCAATAATAAAATTTTTAATTATAATTCTTAACAGACACGATTATTGTAAAAGGTTAAAGAACATTGTTTATTTAATTTAATTATTTTCAAAGTTTTCAATTAAAATTATTAAGAAAACTACATTATTTTCAAAAAACTTCAATTGTTTTAGTGAATAATAAAATTCTTCGCAGGGAATTCAACCAAAATTCATTTTTCAATCAAATTTTAATAGAAAATTCTACGAGAATTCAATTATTTATAAATAAAAATAAATAATTGAATTTTTCTTAAAATTAATGTTTTATAAAGAATTTTATAAACAAATTTTTAAATAATTGAATTCATTCAACGAATTTAAATAAACTTCTTAAGAATAATTGGATTTTTTGAGCAATTCAATTAAAAATAATTAAAATTCTGCAATGAGTTTTATTATTTATGAAAATAATTCAATTAGGTATTGTGAAGAATTTTTTATTAAAAATTGTAATATTTTAAGATTTTTTAAATTTATAGTTTTTGAAAAAGTTTATGCAAAATTATATTTTCATAAATAATTGAATTCCTGGGAAAGTTTTATATTTATGAAAATAATTAAATGTTTGCGTTGAATTTTATTAAAAAATTTGTGTACTGGTTATATTTTTGTTAGTAATTGTTCCGTAATTTTTCATTTTTGGTCCGTAAAATCCGTACCTATTTTTAAATACTTTCACTGGTTCGAGCCTTGAATTTAAATAAAAAATTGTGAAATCATAACAGGAAAGAAGCACAGAAGTGTTTTTGTGAAGCTACAAACTGCCGAGGATGGATAGGAGAAACTCCTGAGGAAGAAAAAGAAAAGACTGAAAAGAAAGAAAAGCGCGAAAAGGATGTAACAAGAAAGAAGAAGGAAGAGAAGAAACCTACCGATTTTATGGAAGATGAAGATGTATGTAACACATTATTAAATAATTTATTTAAAAAAGAAATTTATTTTATGAAAGATTTATTCTCTAATGACGCATTATGTAATTTAAAATTATTATTTATTTTTATTTATGTTAAACTAAATCTAAAAGAAAATAAATATTAAAAAAATTTCAATTGCGTCATTAGGGACACACTGTTTATAAATAGAATGTCGAAACATCCAAATTTTGACAGAGACGAACCTATTATTTGTTACAGCTGGAGGAGGAAATTGATAAACTTTGCTCCGGTGGATTAAAGAATAGAAATCATACTTTAAATTTAAGTCGTTTAATGGTTCGCAGTAGAGAATTAGAGCATCGAACACGCCTTTTACGCGTCATACAAAATGGAGAGCAGCCATGTCGCAGATTATTCCTCGATTATCATGGTCTGCGTTTAATATGGAGTTACATGATGGATGTCGCTGCAGCAGAAACTGAACAAGTTCAACAATTTAGATTAGAAGTGCTAAAAACATTAACTACACTGCCAATTCCAAATAAAACTATGCTCATGGACAGTAAAGTTTACAGCGTTGTTGAAAAGTGGTCGAAACAATCATTTTCATCGCCAAGTGGCGAATCACCGGAGGACGAGCAAACAAAATTGAAAGAAGAACCAGACACCGAGAGTCCCAATAAAAGTACTAACTTGACTAACGTCAAAGAAGAAAAGGAGGAACAGGATAATAACTTGAAACAGGAAAAGGACCATGTACTTATTACTGAACTTGCCGCAAATCTTATAACAGATTGGTCTAATTTGAAGGAGGTTTTCCGGATACCAAAGAAGGAAAGGATCGAACAAATGAAGGAACATGAGAGAGAAGCAGGTTTGATATAGTCAAAAAAACTAGCTTCTTAAATTTCATAAGAAATAGTCAAATATTACGTCAGAATTTTAATTAATTATTTGCCGATTTACCAGATGCTTTGAATTAATAATAAATTTTTATCTGATTCTTAGATCGGGGATATAAAGAGGAACTCGAGAAGGAGCAGAAAAGAGAGACATACGAAAGGTAGGTTTTTCTATAAATTAAAATTTATCTTTATTCCTTTTTATCTTTTGAACAATCTATTTTCATTTCAATCATCATTTACTAATAAAAACCAAAACGTAAACTAGAAAGTTTCGTTTATCGCATTCCAGATATCGTTCTGATCGATATACTCGAAGCGAAACTGATAAACGGGACAGAAGACGAGGCCGAGAGTCACCAGACTTTGAATACAGTCGATCGAAAGACAAGAGAATTGACGAACGCTCGAATCTAATACCCGTGCCAAGGATGACAAAATATGAACGTCGACAACTATTTGCTCTGAAAGTTGCTAAGGAAGAGGAGGAGAAGCAACGTCGTCAACAGCAAGAGTTGTGGAAGGAACACGAGACCCGATGCTTGGCACTAGGAATGGATCCTCACACGACTGCTGCTCTTGATCCTCAAACTGGTTATCCACTGTTTTTCAATTCTTCGGTGGGACAGTGGCAACCTTATCCCATACAGGGTTAGTAAATTAATTTATTGAATTAATTTTCTACTTCAAATGGTAATTTTCAACATTTATCTTCTTCCTTTAATATTTACGATTGATAATTAAAGGAAGGGGATTTATCATTCGGTAATTAATGTTAAAGGTGGAAGAAGTTTTTCAACTTCTTTTTGTAATCTCTCCAAATTGATAACTTCTAGGAATAAAGGCATCAACTTATTTTCAGATGCTAGTGAACTGCAACAGCAGATGACTCCCGTTTACGTTGGAGGTTCGCAAGCAATATCCGGTACCTCGCACCAAACTCCTCCATTACACGTCCTACAAACTGGCATTTCTGTTGATATTTCGCCAAGTTTGCAGGCCGCAATGTATCCCATTAATCAAACACCAACCTACAGTCAACAGACTAGCCAATTTCCTCCCCCTCTCTCAATTCCTTCACAGCAGTTTCAGGAAAGTCCCCTTCAAATTCCAAACAATCTAGTGCAAATTCATAACGGCACTTCATCCATTCCTGTTCAAGGACAATCTCTGTTCATTGACAAATCCATTGAAAATTCTCCCTTTCAACCTGCTCATCCGGTGGAAACGCAAAAACCACCGACACAACCCGATATACCGCCTCCTTTGGATCTTCCTCCGAAGTGGAAGTGGGCAAAAGATGAGCGCGGCAGGGTTTATTATTATCATATTAAGGAAAGAGTATCTCAGTGGTTACCACCCCCTCCAGACCATATTGGCGTACAACCGGATTCATCGACCTCTTCTGATTCAAGTGAAGAATCTAGCTCGTCAAATGAAGAGGAAGAAGATGTGGAGGAGGATAAGAATTCTGATCGCACTACTGAAGATATGGATGTAGATAGCGTATGTGATGCCTCAGTAGAAGCAAAACAATCTCCTTCGAAGAAACCCGAAGTGAATTGTGTTGAAGTCAAGAAGAAGAGAGATGGATTGGTTCAGGAGAGAATCATCAGTGTAAGTATTTTTTTAATTCACTCCTTATTAATTCAAACTTTCGAGTCATCCCAAAATGCAAATATCATATGATTAGGGAAATTAAAAGTCCTTAACCCTCTGCTGAAGCTATGTAACTTATCCCCGCTTTGTCGTCAAAGAACGTAACTCCCATAGTCCCCACCAGGCGTCCAGCATGACGATTTTTGACGATAACGGTCGTTAGCATCAGCAAAGAGTTAAATACGATTGGTGGATTACATGAATTTTGCAATGAGTGACCTCCCCAGTAAAAAAAATTCGATACACGGACCGCGGAGTTCGTATACGAGCTCGGTAGCTCGTATGAGAAATATAAAAAATCTCTCATACGAGCCTTTTCCGTAATGAGAAGTGTATGGATGCTTGTATTGGAAATTGACATAAATCTGACTCCAACTGGTAGCGGAAAATCAAACTATTTAAATACCCCAATTCGATCAAAATTAACAGTGTCAAATGTAAATATATTTAATATTCGAAAATTGGAAGGTGTGAAGCTAATAAATCGTTCTAAAACTTCTTATCGGGAAGATTGTTTAGTTTCTAGATGTAACAGTATTGCAAAAAAAGACTTATTAGTATCTATACATAGATTTCCAAAACCAAATTATTGCATGGTACAAGTTGAATATTTTTTTGGAAAAGTGGAAAAAATGGATAAATTAAAGGCTTGGAAAATCGCCGTGAAATTAAATAAAGTTACAATCAAGAAAAGAGTGTGCTTTTTTGTTTTTTTTCTATGGAAGAAGTCGTATTCGCCCAAACAAAAATATTTTCTATTCTAATTAGCATTTTGGAAAAAAATTTAATATTACACGTGTATTTCGCACTATTTTGGGGTATATAAGCCGCCATGTTGAATAAGCCACGCCCTGCATGCTTCTGCCCTCTAATGGCAAATGGTTGTAACAAACGTCTTGCCCCCTGTCATTACATTACTTTTGTGGCTTTTGCATTTCCCATTTTGCAACCGCGTTTCTGCATGGATTAAAAATATATTTTGGATTTAGGTAATTAAGAAGATTTGTGTCAATGGTTCGCATTCAGATTTTGCAAAAAGTACTTCTGTGCAGAGAAAAACTCGTTCGAAAATGATTGTTTACTAATTTTACGTCATTTAAACCAGGCAGTACCGTTTTTGTAGGGCGAAAAGTGTAGGTCGCACATAACCTACAAATTTCAGAGACCATCGAACGCTCTTAAGTTCAAAACGTTCAAAAAAAAGTCTGTTTAGAATAATTTCCTCCGAATACTTGAAGTTAGACACTTTAAAAATACAAATAAGTCAAAATTAGAGAACTATAGACATTGTGAGGTGAATCCTCACTTAAATTAATGCTTGAGCACTGTACTTTGGAACGGTCAAAACCAGTCAAAACCGAACTCCCATAAGGGGTTGTCATAATATGTAAAAATCCAAATGGGGTATTGGGGATTTAAAATTGCAATGCGACACATAGTGACCATAAAGTGAACTAAAAAATGGCTGCTGTGGGTGTACAAGGTTGCAAAAATTGTTAATATTTAAAGTATTCTAATGTTTAAGAAATATTTGTTAAGATTGTTGGTCATTATTTATTTTTTTATTGAAAAACTACTTAAAATTAAAACCGAAAAGTCACAATTAAGTTTATATTTTTTTAAATTTGTACACCCATTTCGTCCATTTTTGGTGTAAAACACTAGCGACATCGAGCCCGCGGTGGTAATTTTTATTGCCAATACATGAAGAACAATAAAAAAAATTAAAAATTAACTCGAGTACTTTCCAGGGGCTCATCGTAATTCCCAGCGCCCACTCACACAATTAATAATTCCACACTCTGTGGATTATTGAAATACAAGTTGTAACTTAGCGAAATACAATTAATACGATTAATCAGTCGAAACCTAGCTTATAAAATTTATCTTTTTGGATATGTGACGCGCTCCGAAGAAAGATACTTCATAAGCAAATAATTTTAAGGTTATGTTTAAAATATTTTTTTCTTATTAAAAGTTTCTTTTTTTATTGTGTAAAACTAATATCAGTTTTCTTTAATTATTTTAAATGTAATAAAGACGTGAACATTAGTCGTTTTATATTGAGAGTTGATCTCCTTTATGTATTTTTATTTAAAAAATAGCAAACATAACCTAAAAGTTTTTGCTTTAGATACCTTTCTTCGTAGCGGATCACATATGTTTTTAATGTTTATATATTTTCTAATGGAAATTTCATCAATGTTTGATTTTTTTACTCTAAATAATGTTTTATGAATCTTTTTGTCTTACATAAAATAATTATGAAACAAAAACTTAATATTTTCAATATTTTATCGATCTTTAGTCAATCGGATTTAGTGAAGAAGCGTTACAACGAACGTTCTCTTATTCGCATTTTCTTCGAATGAAAGAAACCATTTTTTTTATTAATTTCATCTATAACGTGCAATATATAAATATGAATTTTATTTTTTTTAATAGATAACATAAATAATGAATTGGAATTTTTTGACTATAGCCACGAAGAGAAGATGATCGTATAGATCATAAGAAATATAAAGAAATGAAGGAGAAAATACGACGTCAGAAGGAAAGAGCTCGACTGAAAGATCACATTGATAAAGTTAGAAAACATCGACGTAGCAACAAATCCAAGGCTCATTTACGACACAGTATTCGACTTCAAACTGTAGCAGACGATCCTTCACTCAGTGCAGAACGTAAAATAAAGGACGCCTTTAGAATAAATATGGCTAATGTCATGGTCCACTTCCTCAATCCATATCGAAAAGGTGACTGCAAACAAGGGAGAATCACCAATACGGAAGACTTTAAACATTTAGCACGAAAGGTAATTTATTATAAATATTCTAAAAAAATAAACCTTATTCTTGTTTAAAATGTTAAGAAAAAGAATTGTATTAAAATTTAGATATTTTTTTTACGTGAACAGCAATAACAAAAATCTTATTAATGGTGTATAAAAATGTTTGTTTTCAGTTAACACATTTTGTACTAGCAAAGGAGTTAAAACATTGTAAAAGTGTGGATGAGTTGCAGTGTAATGATAATGTAAAACACAAAGCGAAAGATTTTGTACGTAAGTATATGAGCAAATTTGGAGCTGTGTACCAGAAGAGTACAGACGATGAATAATGACAGATATTGTGATGTAATTTTATTATTTATTTTTTGCGGTCATTTTATATTTATTAATTTTCACACACTACTTGATTTACGTGTGTATTGATTATTTTTCGAATTTAGATTTAGATAGCGATTAAATGAAGTACATTTTTATTATAGTATTGAGAAATACACTATAAATGACTCTTAATAGTCTGATTTCTTTTTTTAATTAATTCACTTTTGTACAGTTGTAAAATTTTTTTTGATGTTTGATTATCAACAAAATTGTTATTTTGTAAATTTTCATTTATTTTATTCAACATTATTTTAGCTCACGAATATATACTAACGTACTATTATTTTTTTTAATTGTGAAAGTATAACTGAAGTAGGTGTCAACATTATTCTTGTACATATTAAATCTTTACCATAAAAACTGATTTAAATTTAATGTGATTTATTTATTCTTGTCAAGAAATAATATGTTATCCTCTTCCTTTTAATCTCACTAGCAGTATTCGCACTCATCTACTATTTTCTACTTTTTTACGTTATGATACTATTTGGATACTTTTTTTTAGATTTCAGCCACTAAAAGTTACTTCTTTGGAAGAATTCAATTATTTACAAAAATATTAGAATTTTTCACAGGAATTCAATTATTTTCAAATATTTTAATAAAATTCTTCCCAAGAATTCAATTATTTACATAAATAATTTTTCGAAATAATTTAATTATGTGGATAAATAACAAAATTATTCCCGAAAATTCAATTATTTTGAGGCATTTCCATAAAATTCTTTGCAAAATTCAATTATTTTCATAAATAACAATATTCATCACAAGAATTCAATTATTTTTAAAAGCAATAAAATTCTTGGCAAAATTTCAATTATTTTAATAAAATTTTCCAAAAGAATTCAATTATTTAAAAAAAATTTCATAAAATTCTTCGCAAAGATTCAATTATTTTTAAAAAGTAATAAAAATTTTACAGGAATTATAGAAGTCATCGTAGAATTTAAATTATTTTTAATAAATAATTTTAAACGAATTCCTCGAAAAATGTAATTAAAAATCATATTAAAATTCTTCAAAGGAATTAAATTATTTTAAATTATAATGATCAAATTCTTTATAAGAATTAAATTTGAAGAAACATTGAATTATTCAATAAATTATTTATTTTTGCCGGTATTTAAATAATGCGGAATTCTCGTCGAATTTTCTAATAAAAAATGATTTAAAAATGAGTTTTAGTTTAAATTTTAGATAATAATTAAATATAAAAAGCATTATAGCGTGAATTTTGAAAACAAAATTTAACAAAATTCTGTGGAATTAATTTTTTTGAAAACTTTCAATTGAATTTTTTTTGCAATTATTTTGAAGTGAAGTATGAATTCGTAACTTACTCGATTTCATTAATCCTCAAGGGTAAATAAAAATGTTTTAAACATTGAAGAAAATATCAACAAAGTGTAATAATTTATTGATTCAATTGGTAAACAAAAATATATTTTTACAAAATTCTGAACTTTTTTTTTAATCCTTGTCGTCCTCCTCATCAGGCTCATCGAAATCTTTCGTTTTTACATCTTCTTCCTCTCCGTACTGAATAATATTGTCGATAGTAATTTTTATGTCTCCAATACTTTCTTCGTCTTTAATATTTAATGGGTAGAATTTGACAAGACTGTAATTTTCTATTAAGGCCCCTAGAGCATTTGTTAAATTCTTGTATTTTTCGTTCCAAGGATCATCTTTCATTTCAGCCAGTAAACTGTGTGGGTCAGGTTCCAAAAACTTGTCCAACTGTTTTTTTGCGCTCTTCGACAGTAAATCCATTTTAGTGACAATGTTGATGTGTGGCAATTCCAAATTAATCATTGTACTGAGTGCTGACATGGTACCTGACATAAATTTCGGACCATCAACCATAAACTGACTGTCTAATACAAAAACGCTACATAAATGAAAATTCATTTTTTGCAAAGTTAAAATTAACTGTTGCATTTCACTCATATGAGTGTAGAGTTCTATTTGCCCGGGACAATCGAATAATATGTAATCATCATCCGTATCGCCCAGTTGTTCTTCTAACCACTCAATATGTTCCATTAAATATCTGAAACAAATAAAGGAGTTTAATATTGAATATAAAAAATTTTTAATTTCATATTTCGTTTCTATATCAGGATTGTAACTAAATTTATTTTATTTTTCCCTGATTTACAGATAAAATTTTGACTTTTGTTCTTGACCCTAAAGAATATTCTTATTAAAAATAGAAATGATTGGACACTCAAAAAAATGTTTTATTACATTTATTTCCGAATTTCTTTAATTGGAAAATTATTCGAAAACATCAATAACTTTTATTTTAAATAAATAAATATTTAATCATTATTATTTTTTAAATATCAATATCATATAGAAAATTGAATACATACTCCATACAATAAACAAGGCCTCCGTTAGGACCAAATTTTAATTCCTCATCTTCCATTGTGTCATCAACATGAATCAATTCTCTAATATCTACAAAAGGAGTGTATTCGAAGTAATCAGCTGCAGGATCCAAATTGACTATTTCGATTATTTTATTGTCATCAGCTGCTTGTCTTTGCATGACGGAACAGAATGTAGACTGAAATGAGAAATAATTCAACTTATATAATAAATAATATTATGAAGGTCATAATTTTTTTGTAAAGTAGGACAGTTAAGAGATTAAAATAAGAAAATAAATAGAGGTGTCACTCTTGAATAAAACAAAAAAAAAGATTTTTGAAAATTTTTTTTGTAATCTCTTTAACTTGTTTTTTCAACATATCCAAATTTCATTAAAATCGATTCAATAGTTTTCGAGAAAATTGCTATTTTTTATTTTTCTTTCCCCTCCATAACTCCCACAAAACTCAAAATTTTGAGTTGAACAAAAAAAATAATTTATTAAATAATTGAAATATTTCAAAAAAATTTATTTAAAATTGTATTCAAAATAATTGATTTCTTTCGAACAATTTTATTAAAATATTTGAAAATAATTGAATTCCTGTAAAAAATTCTAATATTTTTGTAAATAATTAAATTCTTCCAAAGAATTTAAAAAAAACATTTTTTTAAATAATTGATTTTCCCAAGGAAATTGAAATTAAATTTTTAAGAATAATTACATTTTTTGAACAATTCCTATAAAATTGTATTAAAAATAATTCAAAATCCTGCGATGAATTTTATTATTTATGAAAATAATTGAATGGTTGTTTATTAAAATTTTCAAAAATAATTGAATTTCTGAGAAGAATTTTATTTTTTTTAGATATAATTGAATAATTGCGGAAAATTTTATTAAAATGTTTAAAAACATGGATTTCTTTGGAAAATTTTGTTAAATAATTGAATTCTTTTGCCTAATTTGATGAAAATAGTATTAGATATTGAAAATAGAATTTCGAATACTTTTTGAAAATAATTGAATTGTTTTAAAGAATTTGATTATATTTTTTGAGAATAGTTTTTTGATTTCTAGTCTTAGCGAATTTAAATTAATTTAGTACTGAAAAATATTATCGTCATATTAATGTCAAAATTGTTTATAAAATTGATGCAAAATCAACGTCATATTGACGTCAAAAATTGTTCAAAATGTGGCGCACATTTTCGTCAATTCGAGTAATCAATTTTGACGATCAAATATTGTTAAGCCATTTTTTTTGGATGAGTTTAACAGTGTGCAATTTAGAGGCATAGAATTTAAAAGCACTTTTCTAATTATTAAATAATTTAAATTGTTATTTGTTAATATATACATAAAGTTAACCTAAAAAAGACAACTCTACCTTCCCACAACCTGCAGGCCCTATGACAATTTGACCATATCTCATTTTGAAAAAATATAATTATTTTACATTTATGTTGAATTTATTCTGTGATAAAATTATTCTTCTTTCTATTAAAAAACTGTTAATCCAAAAATTTGTTTACATCCGGTACAATCAAGTACACGAGCAGCAGTTAATGCGCTATAAGGGTGCATTTACACCTTGGTTGGTTAGGTTGGTAAAGGTGTTTCTACAATAGCTTGCAAATGTGTATTTTTAAGGTGCCGTTCGGAACGTAAACGTAACGAAACAAGACGAGTATATTGTTTCGTTCGTTATATTTACGTTCCGTTCAAGGTGCTATTGTGCTTCGGGCTTTAATGCTTTCGATTGTTTATAAGATTGACATGTGATTGTTGGTTATGTTCTCTATTTTTATGATTTTTATTCGCAAAAATAATATGCTTGGATTATACTATTTTTTAATTTAAGTGAATAAAGTTAAAGTGGTGTTTATTAAAATTAGGTAAATTTGATAGAATACATTCTGTGAAAAGTATGTTACTTGTGTATGGGAGAATTGTAATTTAGTGTTTTGACGAAAAATATATATGTAGAGATCTGGAAAAAGTAAATATGAACGAAGCAAGTGAAGAATCTTTTGGCAGTTCGGACGATGATATTTATACAAATGCAGTTGCCAGATTTAAAGGTACGTTTTAACAAGATTTAAATTACTATTGGAGGATGCCTTAAAGAAATTTTTTATTTATATTATTTTTAATTCTACAGTGTAAAGAATTCTTATAAAATTCAGTTATAACATAATCGCAGTCTTGTTTACATTGCCCATACTGTTATTTTGAATTTAAATGGACCTTGAAAATTATTTTGACTATACCCTATAATATTTTATAACAAGATTTAAAATTTAAATCATTTAAATATATAAATATAGTACGGTACATATTTCATTGTTTCAGCCGCAAAAAAAAGGAATCGATGTAGGCCCAGGAAAAATGACAATAGTTTTCAGATGGATGAAGGAGTTTCTTCAATACAGTATGCGTTTTTTAACTTCACTTCTATAAATTGTCCCAAGACAGAAATTCAATTCTTTTTAAATATTTTAATAACATTTTTCGCAATAAATCAATAATTTTCATAAATAATAAAATTCTTTTCAAAAATTCAATTATTTTTGAAAATTTTAATAAAATTCTTAGCAACTATTCAATTATTTTCATAAATAATAAAATTCATCGCAGGATTTTTTTTTATTTAAAAAAACAATCTAATAAAATCTTTCGCAAGAATTTAATTGTCAAAAATTTTAATTGAATTCTTATATTTAATTATTTTTAAATACTTTTCGCAATTCACTGATTTTCAATATCTACTATTTTCATAAAATTCAATTATTTAAAAATTATTTTAAAAAATCTTTATAAGAATTCAATTCTTTTCATGATTATTGTTCATATATCTATAATTGTCAATAACAATAATAATAATTAACTTAAAAATCGTTTTTTTCCAAAAACAGACAGAATATTTAAATAAACTTAAATTTGTCTTGAAGAAACAATTTTTTTGTTATAAAGAAGGATTAGAGTTATCTATTTGTAAATTAACATTGTTTGCAACAATTTAAATAAATTTTATTATGCATTATTATTTGTCTGGTGGTCATGCTAGACTAATATAAATTGATTTCAATCCCACTGTGAGGTTTATAAGCTCAGAATTCTATGAAAATGTTGAAATTTTAATTTAAATTTAAAATTGATCATTTTTTAGACTTATTGCTGATGATGTTAGTAAAGAAATGGATCAACCGAGTTTAGTAATATTTGATGATAAAATAGAAGTAGACGCTGATTCCGACTCCGCAGACTCCTCTCTCTCCAATGAAACGGTAATGAGCATATAATTGCTTTTAATAAATATTTACTTCTAATTTTTAATATTTTTAACTAATATGTTAAATTTGTATTCTTGAATAGTGGTCCAATTAAATAAAAATAAATTCTATACTGTAGAATCCAACTGATTGGAGCATTATACTTGAAGAAAATTTGAACGTGTTACTATAGAACTTATGATAATTATTTTTAGGTCACAAGACCTCTAATTTTTACAATTTTTTGAAGAAATTTAAATTTAATTTTTAAAAGTAATTTTACTTTTCTTTATTAACGTTAATAATTTTTCAGATTGACAGTGATTTAGAGATAACGGGCGTAACAGCGAATCAGGCTTGCATTATTCTTGACCCCGATGATAACGATATTGCACCAACTGGAGCTGAATTATTAAGAACCGATTCATTAGAAAACGATAATTATAAAACTGAAGTTAAAGTATTATGGAGATCACACAAACTTGTTCACTTAGAAATGAATATGGTATGTATAAGACTTTCCATCTCTTAAATTTGAATTTCAAAAAAATATTTAATCTTATAAATTAAAGTGGCTACAGGCCGACGAGTAATGATTTTCACGTGAATTCAGACGATTTTTAATTTTCATGTCCGCCATATTGAATTCGCCATTTTGAATTTTGCAACATTGACTTGAAATTCCTAATTATCGTATTACAATTGAAAGTCCTATTTAGGTACAGTGTCTAATAAGGAAATTAAATATAAAAATATTTAAAATCATTTTTTTTAAGAATCTAACAATATTTTTTCTTTGTTACAGCACGAACCTTTTCAAAATGTATTTGAACATTTTGAAAAGTTAGAGAATGTACCCACCGAGAGAATATTACTTTTAAGGAAAGACAAACCAATAAGACCAGAAGACACTCCTTTTTCACTTGGAATTTCTGTTTTAGATATAATTGGTAAGATAAAATTCAATTATTTTTAAAAGCAATAAATCTCTTCTTGTAAATTCAATTATTTTAAAAAATTTTAATAAAGTCGTTGGTGAGAGTTCAATTATTGTCAAAAATTTGAATTGAATTCTTTGTAAAATTTAATTATTTTTAAAAACTTTTCGCAATTCAATGATTTTCAATATCTTTTCATAAAATTTCCAAACAGAATTCAATTATTTAAAAAATTTTTTTGTAAAAATCTTCGTAAGCTTTTAATTTTTTTCATGAATAATAAAAATTTCTTAGGAATCCAATTATTTAAATTAGAATTTGCATAAAATTAGTCGAAAGAAATAAATTATTTAAAAATTTTTATAAAATTCTCCACAAGAATTAAATTATTTTTCCAAATATTTAAATTCTTTCATGAATAATAAAATTTGTTGCTAGAATTGAATTTATTAGCAGAATCAGAAAGAAGTAAATATTTTTGATGAAAATTTGGAAAAAGTCAGAAAAATAAAAAATTTGGAATGGTATTTTTGTCAGTCCTTTTTTTGATTTGTAATTTTGTTATTTTTTGTAAATTAAATATTTTAGAAAATGTATTATAAGTGAGGATGAATCAAAAAGAAAAATCTTAACAAACTTTTTTTCTTCACTGGTAATTATTGTAGATGGTGGAGTAATAGATTTGGAATTTGCGAACGAACAAGGCAAAGGAAATACTGACGAGAATGACGATACTTGTAAAATAAAAGTGCAAATGTCGCAGAAGCAATCAATAAATGTAAATTTACAAAAAAATCAACCATTCAAAAACATCATTCATCAATGTGCAACGGAATTAAATATCTGTGCCACAAAAATCAAATTATATTTTGATGGTGATTTAATTGATTTGAGTGATACTCCAGAATCGTTAGACTTCGAAAATGAAGCTTGTATTGATTTGAAATTGTCAGCCTAAATATTTTTTAATAATTGTTTCTCATAAAACTTGATGTGTAAATATCTGTTTATATGCAAGATTTTCTCATCGTATACGTCTCTCTTTTTTTAAAAATAAATTATTTTTGTTTTATATATAAATTACAATATAGTTGTTGAATGTTTAACCTTCCAAATCTTTCTTTAGATGAAGTATATCAAATATAAAGAAAAGTTTTTTTTAATTCAAACAAATTTCATCTTTAATTTAAAAAATGATTTTAAATAAACGATTGTAACATTAAAAATGACAGATTAAACGGATTAAACATTTAAGTGATATATATTTTTTGTTTTAGTATTTTTATATTTTTTATAACAAAAAAATGTTTAAGGGGACCTTCTCATACAAATGAATTTTGTATTTTAAATATAAGAATTAGATGGAAAATTTTTTAGAATTCTGTTTATTTGAAAAATTCTATCAATTACTATTCATCATTTACAAATAAATTTGAAGGGTTGAAAATTTGTATCACCCTGAAAGTCAATGAAACGTCTGTGCCACAGAAGTCTATTGCGCATGCACTTATGTTGGTTAACCTCCAGTAGAAATTTATTAATTTTTTTCAGTATGACTACATTCTAGTTATATTAGGCATCACTAAAAAGATAAACACGATTGTTATGAAAACAATGCACATAAAAATAAATGTAAGTTACAATGATTTATAATTTTACAATAAATGATGGTACAAATATTGCTTGACGATTAATAATATTCAAAAATATCAGTTGTCTTTGATGAAATATCTCAATTATATTTATAAACAAAAACTTACAATACATTTGTATTGTTAACATATTATGTAAAATAAAAGGGGGTAAGTATTTTTTATTCCATGACATAAATTAAATATTTTTTTAAAAAATTAGTACTTTTATTATTAAAGTAACACTAATACACCTTGTAAAGAAAACTATTTACCAAAAATAAATTTAATTCTAAATTAAATGACGATTGAAATGAGTCCAAGAACGTTAAAAAATATTAATTAGATTCGCAGAAATTGAAAAATTAAGAAAAGCATGTAAAATCATTACTTTCTTATAAATTCTTATAAATTCAGAAGGTGTGACCTAATCTCTTCTATTATGTGTCATTTTTTTCTTAATTTTACCAGCTTTTAGGGAAAAAATAGAGATCGACTTTATTCTTTTTCTTTTTTACGTTTAACGCTTTTTACATTATAATGAAAAAAGGGGTGTCCACTCAAATATGGACGGCGGTGTACAAATTTTGTATTATTAAAATTAGTTTAAGGGGAATTTTTGGTCAAAGATTTCAAAAATATTGATTTTTCTTGTTTTCCTTCAAAATGTTCCTTAGTATTATAAAATTACTGTCCCGAAACATTTTTTAATTAATATGCAAAAGAAAAAAGTTATGGCAATTTTTATGCCCGCTTCTTATCTCACACTGTATTCCATTACAAAAACTTTAAACGCTTATATTCTTATATCTTATAAAAACGCATTTTTGAAAACGGGAAGACACTTTTGTGTAAAAATCCCGTTTGAATTTTCAATTTATGTAAAATCGGTTGCCCGAAAAATGTTTCCCCGAATAAAAGGTACCTTTTGGAAAACGCCACCTACAGCTTTGAAAAAGAACTGAAACACTAAAAAAAATTTAATTCCTTTTTGAAACAACATCCAAAAGTAATTTCTTTAATAACTATAATACATTTTTTACAATAAGAGTTCAAAAAAGTGTGTTTTTAACAATTCTTCACCAGAAAGTTCCCCTGAATTTATTGTCAGGTTTGTCTTCTTTAATATTACTATAGTTTACAAAATTAAAAGAAAATTCTGACCCGCGTCATTTTACTATCATTTCTTATGTAAAATTTGCTCCCAAATCCGAATATGAATTCTGTCAATTTCATTTTCCTAAAAAATTGATTTTAAAATTTTCTGTATTCTTTTTTTCCGAAAATTTTTTGCATTTTGTAAGTGGCATTCGGGCATTGGGTTATTGCATAACAGGCATAAAAATGGGTATTGTTGAGTCTGAGAATGATATTGTGTTTTTGAGATTGAAAAGGAGTAGTGTGTCGTGATCCAGGTCTGGATACTCTTTAATTAACTAAATTGAAGAGCGATGGAGCATATCTATTTAGGAATTAAAATCTTTAAAAGATATAAACATAATATAGTTCCAGCTATGATTCTTCGTTCCTCAAGGGTAATAAAACCAAACTTTTCACACAACGCTAGGTAATCGAATTCTTGATTAACTAGGGGTATCTTCCATCGACCCTGAAGGACAGGTACTTTAAAAAGCGTTTTTGGATATATTTGAGGATCAGATCAGATATCCGAAAGCTTTAGAGGCATTGGAGATCGCGGTTGTTATGTGATTGGCAAAAGTGAGTTTAAAGTTAACGGTGACTCCAAGATTGCAGATGGAAAGCACTCTTTCCAATTTTTCATTATTTATTTTATGGTTAAAATTTACTTGTATTGAAGTTGGGGTACTAAAGGATAGGACTTTGCATTTATTTAAATATTAAGTGGTAATTTATTTTATATCATTACAACATATGAAAATATTGTCAATGTCACTTTGAAGCTTGTTTGTATCTTGATTAGTTTTTATTTCGCGATAGACTTCTAAGTCAACAGCGAAGGATCTCTGCAAGGATTTTATGATCGATATATATAGTATCGAAAGCTTTTGCAAAATCAAGGTATATTCCGTCGACCTGGAAACGTTCTTGTAAAGATTGTACGATAGGTTGTTTAAATGAAATGAGATTAGTAATTGTTGATTTGTTGAACGGCGAGACTAACACACCCATGTTGTTCTTCGCGAAGAATTGTTTCAACGGGGTATTTAGTTACGACGATCAATCGTAACATTTACAAATGAAAAAATTAACTTCAAAAATACTTGCAGTATAATATAGTGATTAAGATTTTGTATGTTTATATTATCAATAGTGAATCTACTGAGATAAATATAAGAATCACTATTGATATTCTTTACAAATTATATAAAAATAAAATAAATAATAAAAGAAATAAATTATTAAATAATGTAAATGAACTATTTCTTTACAAATTTATTTTTATAATTTATATATTATTACAGAATTTTATACACTACTTCATGTCAGTCGGACAAATGAACGCGACACGGAAATTGGTTGAATCCTTAATGACTGCGGCACGGATCTCGGTGAAAAAAGGGACAGTACCCGGATTTTGGCACATAACTTGGTACGATCGCTTGTACTGTAAATAGCCTACGTAAATATAGATATATGTAAATATTTAAAGAAGAGACCGTTACCGTTGCGAAACTATCAGAACTTGTACCATGTCTGTCACAGAAAATGTACCATTTCAGCATACAAGATATTGTTTCAATCAGGTTTCAATTTCCTATGCTGAAATGGTACATTTTCTTTGACAGAAATGGTATAAGTTTTGATACTAAACTTGTACAGCAAAATGTGCAAAATCTTATACGGGGATTTTTAGTAGGGTAATGTCTGATGCAATAAGAAAACTTGTTCCAGAAAAAGATGTCCAAAGCTTATTGGACAAATGCAAATTGTTTCCGAAAAGTATTCGGAAATTAAATAGTCAGTTATCTTCTAATACATATTTTTTTCAAAATGTATGCTTCAGTGTTGTAATCATTCACATTCTTACTTTGTGTAAATTGACAGTAGGTTCTTAAAAATATATCATATATATATAGGTATATCCCCGTGCCCACTTGGTATTTTAAGACAGATTTCTATTACTGTTGGTGAAGGTCCATTCTTTTAGAATATTAAGATAATGAAGAATTTAAAACAACATATAATATTCATTAACACTATGTACAGAATGTCCGCGACATTCTTTTGTCCTGTTACGCTATTATTTTCTCATTCTCACACTCTTGAAGGATTATTAATTAATACCTAATAATTATACATATTTCAACGGTGTATACAAAATGATTGTATATAAATGCTGAACTTTTAGGATAATTTTAATTACTCAAGATGTTAATGTAAGTTACATATGTATATTCTTTCAGATTTGGCCAATGTTACTTTTTCTTCAACTAATGATTTTATGTGCTGGAGCGTATTCTGCAAGTGTAGGACAAAATATTTCTAAAAGAAACTACAGCGATAGAAGTATTAGCGGTTACTTAACAGAGGTAAGTTAGAATTTGTTCAGTGCACCATATTCAAACTCTTTATTTAATTCAAGTCCAAACAAGGTAGGTATTATAAAGGATTTCTCTTAATAAATAAAGGACATACTGAAAAACTGTATATACCTAATAGCAAAAAATACATTTTAGGTATATTTTGTAATTTTCATTACAGAGAACATGCTGGTGGAACGAAGTTTGTAAAGAAGAATTTCATAACAAATTTAGATGTCGATGTCCTAAATGGTCATATTGTAGAGCTCCTGGAAGATATTATGACGCTCATTGCAGTATAACTAAAACTGGATATATTTGGACTCAACCAGAAACTTCTTTAGTATATAAATAAGGCGTACAAGTAAACAATTATGACAAATGTACATAATTATTTTAAATAACATATAAATTAATAAAAAATAAATGAAATTGAAAGCGTATACAGTTTTCAAATATTAGAAATTATTTGTAGAAAAAATAAAGGTGTAATTAACTCTCATTAGTCATTTAGGTTTATTTCTAATCTAGTCAAATTAGTAATTTTTTTTTCAAAATGTAATGCTTATTAATTTGCTTACTTACTTGCGCTTGCTTACTTGCTTATTTACTCCCTGGTAAACCTAAATTCAGTGAATTTTGTAAAATCATTGCCTTGGTTATATGATTTGTAGTAAAATATTTCATTCATAGTAAAAAATAACACTAAAATAGATTATTTTATCCCATTATGGTGTTATTTTAACAACTTATACGATTTACTGTGTAACCAAACAAATCATTGTTACAAAATATTATAACGTAGTTATTTAAAAAAAATTAAAAAAGCTATTTCAATTAACTTTATAACCATAATCAGTTCTATATAATAATTAGTTTTAAATAATGACGTAATACTAGATGTTTTAAATAATTTTCCCAAATCAGAATAGACATTATGATTAGTGTTATGCCGAATCACTCCATATTGCCTTGCTAGATAGAAAACGTAAAAATTTCTTTTGAATAGAATTAAATTTTTTTATATTCATTAGTAACACTAACTCTATTTCTTTATGTGAAATCTGTGTTTATCTTGATTTTTAGGAAAATAAAATCAAAACTTTTGAAAAATATTGATCCCCATTTGTTCAAATGAATATTTAAATATAAAAATAAATAATTAATTTATTGAATATATCTAATTTAATGTTTCTTAAAATTGAATTTTTATAAAGAATTTATATATTATATATAAAGATTTTGTTTATTTGTCATTATTTAATCTTCGAAACAATAAATTAAAATTTAATTAATTTAAAATTTCCAAAACAAAAAAAAATTAGGGATCTAAAAAGTAAACTTCAAACTGCAAACTGTCATTCGAAATAGAACGATTATTAATGTAAAAGAAGAAGATTTATTAATTAAAGCAAGTACTTAATTAATTAAAGTAAGTAAATTAATTAAATTAAGTAATTTATTTATTTACTAATTAATAATATAAAAGCGGTAAAATATTTGTATTAGAAATTTTGTACGTACAACTTTTGTTACCATCTATGGAGTTTGGGAATTTCTTGTTGTATACAAAAAAAGAAGAAATGAATTTTTTTATTTTCGCGAATATTTCATTGGAGTTATAGATTTAAAAAGTATATAGTAAAAATTCGAACAAATATACACAATGTATATTATACATTTTGTATTTTCGAGGAAGTGGTTCCGTTCTTTGCATTAAATGCCCGTGAGTCATGGTGGGAGATATGTGGTGGGGCGTAGGAGAAGCAGCTAACGTTTTCAACCTTTTGTATTCAGTGAGCTTCAGTTAACCTGTTGGCGCCGAGAAGTTACTAAACTTGGCTTTCGTTAACAAAAACGCTTGTACACCGCGCCTTCAATTACTAAGTTTCAATTTTTCGTTTCACTACTATAGGTTCTTTGTTATATTTTTGTGTTAGTGTTTACTCCAAGAATTAACTATTTTTTTTAAATTATATTTTAAAATAATATCTTTTCTTCACATTCTTCACAATGGTTGCCAAAGATTCAAAAACACCAGCCGTTGAGCTTATGAATCCTTATGAAAAACCTCCATCGGTGCCAGTTGGTCAATCTATTCGAACATTTCTTTATAATCATGAAACCGGTGCCTTTATGGGCAGAACTGCCAGTAGTTGGGGTAAGTAAATCGCTATTTCTATATTTTTTATTCAAAACTTAATAAAAATCTAGCAATAATTTTTTTAAAGAATTATTTTTTGAGCACCATATAAGTAAAGTTGTTGTTTTGTGCGTAGCTGTCAAAAATTGTTTTGGACGTGGTTACAAATAGTTTTCTGTATAGCAAACTCGTGGGAACGCCTTTTGTTTACGTCACATGTCTCCATTCCAATATTAGTTTTTTTTACGAGTTTTTAATGTTTCGAGCTAAATAATATTTTAAAGTATAATAAATTTAATTTATTTCTCCATTCAGTTTAATTATACCTAAAGTAGAAAATTAATATTTGAAGATAATTATTGAATAGAAAATCGTCAATGTATACAAACATAAATATTATGATTAAAAATAGAAAGGTCTTCTTATGCAATTGTTATTGTCATTTAATATATCAGTGCAATAAATAATTTTTAACAATTAATTTTACTTTTTTCTAATTTAAAAATCGTGTAAACAATTTTCGTATTAAAATTTTTCTTGTAATATAATATATTGGTACCTTTTTCAACTCCACTCTATAGTGAATTTATATTAAGAGATTCGAGAGTCAAGGACTTGGAATATATGTGCGGCGGAAAGTGGGGGAAGGTCTCATATATACACTGTCTCAAATATCGCATTAATATAAATTAAACATTACATTTTGCAACAAAATGACAAAAATTTAAAAGATATTTTTAAATATTAAATATATTTAGGCCTCGGACTTAATTATGAAATAAAAAAAATTGTATCGGAATTTTTATAAAATGGTCGTAATATTTTCAAATAGCAAGCCTTGGATAGTATGACTTTGTGGATTTAAAATATGTAATAGTAGTTAGGAATGTAATAATTTGCTCCAAAAAATTTGTGTCACTTGTCTGAGTTGTCTAACTTTGACAAAATGCTTCTGAATGTTATTATTTTGTAGATAACTATTTTTAAAATGATATAAATGTACTAAAAGTGTTGAAAAATATTCAATTTTTAAAATATACATTAAATGATTTTTCTTATTTTGAAAATCATTAAATTTTTTCAATCATTTTTTGTACTAACTTAAAGAACTGTTACCTTTTAAAAACTAGCGCCTCATCGAACGCTTCGCGGTTGATTTCGTTGCTTCTACGTTTCCATTCAACAATATCCTTTTATCAGGTCTCTGATATTATGACTTTTTCGACTATTTTCAAATAATGCGACTTTTATCGACTTGTATTAAAAAATTGTGACTTTTTCTATACTTTTTTTTACAAATTTTACGACAAAATGCCACACTTTTAGTATAAACTGCAATTTCTTTCGATTTTTATTAGTGTGAAAATTATAACTATAGACAAATCTTTGAAAAGTTATTTTTGAATAATTTTTCTAATTAAGTTTTCGAAATATACAATTAAAAAACTTTTGAATAATTGAAATTTTGTAAAATTTAATTTTTATTTAAGGTTATGTTATTCACTGGTCACGTGTCCCTATAGTATAGTATATGGGGCACGTGGCCACTGAATACATGATCTTAAAGCTCTCGATTAATTTTTTTAAATATCCCAATATTTATATAAATGTAACTATTTTTATATTTAAAAAACAAAAATTTAAATTCAGGACTTTTTAAAAACTACACTTAATACTTTGAAACAACTTGTTTAAATTTTTTGTTCAAAAACTTACTAAAAACAAGTGCACATGCACCAATATGATTGCTATTAGTTTTGTCAGAAACTTGATTAGGAACAATCACACGTGGAAGAAATTTTAAAGAAATTTTAATGGCAATTTTTATAAACAGTATTCATTAAAAAAAATATTTTCTTAAGTGGTCGACTACTGTCCGGTTTACCCTACATCAATTTTTTTTATTTATTTAAAGAAATTAGAATTTTAATGTGATTAAAATATAGATATTGTACAAATTTTTACTTTTCTAAAAAGAATAATATGAGATTTTGTAAAATAAAAAAATTGTGATGAAGAAATAAAAATATTGCAAATTTTTGTTTTGATAAAAATTCTAACTTACACAATTTATTAAACAGAATTTTTTAATTAAGGTAAAAATAACATAAACATAACTTCGGAGCGCGTCACATATTTATTTTTAAAATTTCTATGATTTAGTTTTAAAAATTAAAATTTTTTTTATTATTTTTTAACTTTTTAAATTTTTTAAATTTTAAGTCATTTTTCTTAAGGATTGACGGATAACTCAAAACATTACCTCAACATTTTTATTGGTCTTATAGGGTACTTTGGTCGTTTTTAGCAACTGTAAGTCAGTTTTAGCTATTTCTTCGCATTTTCGAAAAATTTACATTAAAATATTTTTAAAAAATAATTTTTAAAATATGTAAATTGTTTTATCATAATCTTTTAGGATTCAATTATTTTTAAACAAAGTAAATAAAAATTTACTTTTTTATATATTTTTTTTAAATTTTGAAGAAATTATGGACGTATAATTATAAATAAAATTATTCAAAAATTCGATTATTTTTATTTATATTTTTCAAAATTTGAATTATTTTTAAAAGATTTTACCAAATTGTTTGTGTAAATTTTTCAATTTTATCTAGGTTAAAAACTATTATCTCTAAAAAATTATTTTTAAATTTATTTAAAAAAAATTAATTATAAGAATTTCTTTATTTTAATTTCTTTAATTATTTTTTGAAAATATTATACCTTAATAACTTTAATGAAAAAGCATGGACAATTACAATTATTATAAAGAACGGAATTTTTGTATTTTAAATAATTGAATTCTCGAAGAACTTTAGAAAAATTGTTTAAGGAGTCATCCATAAAGCACGTGATACTTAATTGTGAAAATTTCAACCCCTCATCATGATATCTTTTTCATTAACGATTAACAAGCAGCATGTTATTTTACAGACTCCCCCTAAAGTATCAGATGCGCTTTATGGACGACCCCTAAAATAATTGATTAAGAGATGAAATCTATAGTTGAAAATTGTAGAAATATTCATTTAATTGACAGTTCAAGCTTTAATTTAAGCCTAACTATAGACACCCCTATCACCTCGGCATTATTTTCTACACGTGATCGAAAAAGGTCAAAACAGGGTTTTTTGAAACTTAGAGGCCATTTTTCTCAAAATCTTGACGTGATAAGCACTTTTTGAGGCCAAATTTATATTCAGCGATGAAAATCCTATAAAATTTTTTTCGTAAACTATCATATTCTCCTGTAAAAAGAATTTAGTCAGGGAAAATAGTTTTAATGTCAGTAAATTGCCAGGGGAAATTGATAAACTGAAACTGGTAACCACCCTGTGATTCTGTGCGGGACTACTTTTAAAATCAGTTTTAATTTTAGTCTATAATGATATTTTATCCTTATAATTAACTGAAGAGTCTCGTTAACACATCTTAATCTTAAAGCAACACATTTACCTGACTTATTTTTATATGTATTAGTCTTTAATCTAGTCTCAGATAGACCAGTAGAAATTTTAAGAGCTTAACTTGAAATCTTAAATTTCACCTTAAAGATATGAAATTATAGGCTACTTTTTAGTCCTCTAGCTTTTAATTTTTTCTGAAATGGTAAACGCACATGGGCGTGATCAGGTGACGTGTCATTAGATGTCATGACGTTGAGTTCATGTACATGTTTTTTTCGTTTGTTGTTAATCACCTGTAGGTTTCGCAATTTCTGTAGACAGAATAAAGAAAATAAAATCAAGACTAAATTTTCATTATGCAAGTGATTCGAAAATATCATTTAATTTTTACTCTGCATGGAACTGTCTTATGGAAATAAAGTTTATCAAAATGCTTTAATTCTTTCTAAGTTATGACTTTATATTTTGTTACAACTCGTTCATTCATATATTTATACAAAGAAGACAAATTTAAAGGAAATATGTATTAAAAATTTTGATACGAAGTGTAAGCAGTTACATTGAAATGCATTTGATTAAATTAACTGAATCATTGCCTATTATCAAGTAATTGTTTACTTGTATCAAATAATGTTTAATTAAATTTCTTTTGAACTAATAAGTTTAGTATTTCAAGCAAATTACATTGGTTATATGGTTACGTTATCGGTTTATAAATGTTAGGGTCGTGCGTTCAATTCTCGACGTTAGGGGATTTTTCTCTGTTGGATATAAGAATTTTACTGCTTTTAAGTCTTTGAGAAAAGTTGCTTTTTAAAAACTTTATTATAGTCCATTGGAGGTCCCTAAATGAGCCTTAGTTAGTGACAAAAAGAAATTTTGGATTTGTATTTATTTATGAAGTATAAAGAGCGAATAGTGCTTGTTGTTCGTCTTGACGAAAGTGGTTGTAAAATTGTATAAACACTTGTACAGTACATTACCATGAATTCAATATTTTAGGGGACATAAAATTACAGACTGTAGGCGCGATAGGGGAAGTTACAATACATTTTAAGGTTATATTTACTTAAGAATTGTCCCTCATAATGGTGACGTCACATTCTTACTACATGGTGGGAGGTTGAAATGGGGGAAAGATGAAATTATAGAACCTTGAAATTAGAGGCGTTCTACTGTTATTATAATTCATAGTGATATGTTGTCTACGTTCACGACATTGGATACACAAAAGTTAATTGATAGCAGGGAGTGGTACACGCATGTATAGTTGACCTGATATACATAATGAAGCGTAAGGGTATATTTTTACAACAGGTTTGTCTCTTCTAAAGAACAGTAGAAGTAGAACCTAAAGGAATGTAACTCTATTTTCAAAAATTTTTTCTCATTCAGTATTTATCAATTAATTATTATCACTCACTTACAGAATGTTTACTGCAATATTATGATAAAATATATTTGAAGTATTTTTTTAAATTCATTTTTTAGTCTATTAAAATTGCTTTAACCCTTTAAAACCCGCAAATGTACAAAATTTTGACATGAAGTTTGAGGACTTATTTCGGTACTTAAAAATCAATAGAAAAATTCATCAATCAACATTTC